TAAAAATAAGGTAATCTCGTTGAGCAAAATTCAGTTTTATTGTATGTAGAAGACTAGTGTGCCAGTTCCACTGATTCACGGATTAACGTCAGGATATTTGAAAAAATGCGGCAATAATATAGTTTAAGTATGTTATAAAATAAGTTTTGCTATTTTTTAACATTAATGATTGCCGAATTTTTCTATATAGCTAGAAAATATACTGTCAAAGAAAAATTATTACAATTTTAATGCTGATATTAAAAGAACAATGTCTTTTCTAATATAAAACTAATATGGTGATGAAAAATTTATATATGGACCAATTTAAAAATAAGGTAATCTCGTTGGAGCAAAATTTAACTTTATTGTATGTAGAAGACTAGTGTGCCAGTTCCACTGATTCACGGATTAACGTCAGGATATTTGAAAAAATGCGGCAATAATACTGTTTAAGTATGTAAAAAAGGGTATTTTACTACATTTTTAACATTAATGATTACCGATATTTTCAGTTTAGCCTAAAAAAATACTGACCAAGGAAAATTATTACAACCTTCAAGCTGATATATAAAGAACTATAACTTTTCTAATATAAGAATTATGTAGTGAAAACAAAATTTATATTTGGACCAATTAAAAATAAGGTAATCTCGTTTTTAGCGAAGTTAAACTTTATTGTATGTAGAAGACTAGTGTGCCAGTTCCACTGATTCACGGATTAACGTCAGGGTATTTGAAAAAATGCGGCAATAATACATTTTAAGTATGTTATAAAATAAGTTTTGCTAGTTTTTTTAACATTAATGATTGCCAAATCTTTCTTATAGCTAGAAAATATACTGTCAAAGAAGAATTATTACAATTTCAATGCTAATATTAAACGAACTTTGTCTTTTCTAATATAAAACTAATATGGTAATGAAAAAAATATATATGCACCAATTTAAAAATAAGGTAATCTCGTTGGAGCAAAATTCAGTTTTATTGTATGTAGAAGACTAGTGTGCCAGTTCCACTGATTCACGGATTAACGTCAGGATATATGAAAAAATGCGGCAACAATACATTTTAAGTATGTTATAAAATAAGTTTTGCTAGTTTTTTAACATTAATGATTGCCAAATTTTTCTATATAGCTAGAAAATATACTGTCAAAGAAAAATTATTACAATTTCAATGCTAATATTAAACGAACTTTGTCTTTTCTAATATAAAACTAATATGGTAATGAAAAAATATATATATGCACCAATTTAAAAATAAGGTAATCTCGTTGGAGCAAAATTCAGTTTTATTGTATGTAGAAGACTAGTGTGCCAGTTCCACTGATTCACGGATTAACGTCAGGATATTTGAAAAAATGCGGCAACAATATAGTTTAAGTATGTTATAAAATAAGTTTTGCTAACTTTTTAACATTAATGATTGCCGAATTTTCTATATAGCTAGAAAATATACTGTCAAAGAAAAATTATTACAATTTTAATGCTGATATTAACAGAACAATGTCTTTTCTAATATAAAACTAATATGGTGATGAAAAAAATATATATGGACCAATTTAAAAATAAGGTAATCTCGTTGGAGCAATATTTAACTTTATTGTATGTAGAAGACTAGTGTGCCAGTTCCACTGATTCACGGATTAACGTCAGGATATTTGAAAAAATGCGGCAACAATACTGTTTAAGTATGTTATAAAATAAGTTTTGCTACATTTTTAACATTAATGATTGCCGATATTTTCATATAGCTAGAAAATATACTGTCAAAGAAAATTATTACAATTTCAATGCTGATATTAAAGAACTATGTCTTTTCTAATATAAGAATTATGTAGTGAAAACAAAATTTATATTTGGACCAATTAAAAATAAGGTAATCTCGTTTGAGCGAAATTAAACTTTATTGTATGTAGAAGACTAGTGTGCCAGTTCCACTGATTCACGGATTAACGTCAGGGTATTTGAAAAAATGCGGCAATAATACATTTTAAGTATGTTATAAAATAAGTTTTGCTAGTTTTTTTAACATTAATGATTGCCAAATCTTTCTTATAGCTAGAAAATATACTGTCAAAGAAGAATTATTACAATTTCAATGCTAATATTAAACGAACTTTGTCTTTTCTAATATAAAACAAATATGAAGAAGGAAAAATTATATTTGAACCTATTTAAAAATAAGGTAATCTCGTTGGAGCAAAATTCAACTTTATTGTATGTAGAAGACTAGTGTGCCAGTTCCACTGATTCACGGATTAACGTCAGGATATTTGAAAAAATGCGGCAACAATATAGTTTAAGTATGTTATAAAATAAGTTTTGCTAACTTTTTAACATTAATGATTGCCGAATTTTTTAATATAGCTAGAAAATATACTGTCAAAAAAAATTATTACAATTTTAATGCTGATATTAACAGAACAATGTCTTTTCTAATATAAAACTAATATGGTGATGAAAAAAATATATATGGACCAATTTAAAAATAAGGTAATCTCGTTTTTAGCGAAATTCAACTTTATTGTATGTAGAAGACTAGTGTGCCAGTTCCACTGATTCACGGATTAACGTCAGGATATTTGAAAAAATGCGGCAACAATATAGTTTAAGTATGTTATAAAATAAGTTTTGCTATTTTTTAACATTAATGATTGCCGAATTTTTCTATATAGCTAGAAAATATACTGCCAAAGAAAAATTATTACAATTTTAATGCTGATATTAAAAGAACAATGTCTTTTCTAATATAAAACAAATATGAAGAAGAAAATATTATATTTGAACCTATTTAAAAATAAGGTAATCTCGTTGGAGCAAAATTTAACTTTATTGTATGTAGAAGACTAGTGTGCCAGTTCCACTGATTCACGGATTAACGTCAGGATATATGAAAAAATGCGGCAACAATATAGTTTAAGTATGTTATAAAATAAGTTTTGCTAACTTTTTAACATTAATGATTGCCGAAATTTTCTATATAGCTAGAAAATATACTGTCAAAGAAAATTATTACAATTTCAATGCTGATATTAAAAGAACTATGACTTTTCTAATATAAAACTTATTTGGTGATGAAAAAATGTATATTTGGACCTTTTTAAAAATAAGGTAATCTCGTTGGAGCAAAATTTAACTTTATTGTATGTAGAAGACTAGTGTGCCAGTTCCACTGATTCACGGATTAACGTCAGGATATATGAAAAAATGCGGCAACAATATAGTTTAAGTATGTTATAAAATAAGTTTTGCTAACTTTTTAACATTAATGATTGCCGAATTTTTTAATATAGCTAGAAAATATACTGTCAAAAAAAATTATTACAATTTTAATGCTGATATTAACAGAACAATGTCTTTTCTAATATAAAACTAATATGGTGATGAAAAAAATATATATGGACCAATTTAAAAATAAGGTAATCTCGTTTGTAGCGAAATTCAACTTTATTGTATGTAGAAGACTAGTGTGCCAGTTCCACTGATTCACGGATTAACGTCAGGATATTTGAAAAAATGCGGCAACAATACATTTTAAGTATGTTATAAAATAAGTTTTGCTAGTTTTTTTAACATTAATGATTGCCGAATCTTTCTTATAGCTAGAAAATATACTGTCAAAGAAGAATTATTACAATTTCAATGCTAATATTAAACGAACTTTGTCTTTTCTAATATAAAACTAATATGGTGATGAAAAAAATATATATGCACCAATTAAAAAATAAGGTAATCTCGTTGGAGCAAAATTCAGTTTTATTGTATGTAGAAGACTAGTGTGCCAGTTCCACTGATTCACGGATTAACGTCAGGATATATGAAAAAATGCGGCAACAATATAGTTGTAGTATGTTATAAAATAAGTTTTGCTAACTTTTTAACATTAATGATTGCCGAATTTTTTATATAGCTAGAAAATATACTGTCAAAAAAAATTATTACAATTTTAATGCTGATATTAACAGAACAATGTCTTTTCTAATATAAAACAAATATGAAGAAGGAAAATATTATATTTGAACCTATTTAAAAATAAGGTAATCTCGTTGCAGCAAAATTCAACTTTATTGTATGTAGAAGACTAGTGTGCCAGTTCCACTGATTCACGGATTAACGTCAGGATATTTGAAAAAATGCGGCAACAATATAATTTAAGTATGTTATTAAATAAGTTTTGCTAACTTTTTAACATTAATGATTGCCGAATTTTTTAATATAGCTAGAAAATATACTGTCAAAAAAAAATTATTACAATTTTAATGCTGATATTAACAGAACAATGTCTTTTCTATTATAAAACTAATATGGTGATGAAAAAAATATATATGCACCAATTTAAAAATAAGGTAATCTCGTTGGAGCAAAATTCAGTTTTATTGTATGTAGAAGACTAGTGTGCCAGTTCCACTGATTCACGGATTAACGTCAGGATATATGAAAAAATGCGGCAACAATATAGTTTATGTATGTTATAAAATAAGTTTTGCTAATTTTTTTAACATTAATGATTGGCAAATCTTTCTATATAGCTAGAAAATATACTGTCAAAGAAAAAATATTACAATTTGAATGCTAATATTAAAAGAACTTTGTCTTTTCTAATATAAAACAAATATGGTGATGATAAGTTTATATATGGACCAATTTAAAAATAAGGTAATCTCGTTGCAGCAACATTCAACTTTATTGTATGTAGAAGACTAGTGTGCCAGTTCCACTGATTCACGGATTAACGTCAGGATATTTGAAAAAATGCGGCAATAATACTGTTTAAGTTTGAAAAAAAATTTTCTTTGCTAGTTTTTTAACTTTTATGATTGCTGAAAGTAGTAATAAAATCATTCCATTTCAAATAGTATTAAAAGATGATTAACATTTAATTCAAATTATTGAAGGACTGCCTACACTGTGAATCGGCTTTTCTCCGCCGACCGTCCAGTAACCGCGGTTAGGCATACTTTCTATCAAAGACCACGGTTGGTTGTATAAATAACGGAATTTTCACCAAAAATTAATCTTGTAGGTTAAACAAAATGACAAATTATTATGTTTGCTAGTTTTGATTGGAATTCTAACTATAGGTTTGTTATGGTTACGTTATTTACGATAAATAATATCTGCGGCTGCAATCCTAGAAAATTGATTACATTTTCATCTTATAACCCATAATTATTGCTATCACAATTCACGTAAGTATGCGGTGCATATTAATTTAAACATTATTGATAATGTAACAACGATTTTCAAATTTATAATTTGTTTTGACATTACTATTTTTAATCTTAATTTTTTTTAAGTTTCTGTACCTTTTGCCTTTTGGGTCACAGATATCATGGCGGATTCAATATCGGATCAGGAGTTGCGACGACGTTTATCATCGTTCAATGCTGTAGTTCCACCAGTAACAAATTCAACTAGAAAATTATTGCTAAAAAAACTCTCCGATCTTGAAAGTAGCATAACTAGTAACACTGCTGAAACAAGAAGCATGCCACCTCCTAAACAAAAGGCCAAAACAACAAATGGCACTAATGATTCTATAATAATATCATCTTCTGGAGTTGCTGGTCGACCATCACAGTATACTACATTTGATAACACCGACAGTCCAAAGAAAAGTCCTCGACGTCGTCGTCAATACCGTGCTCCAGATCCTTTTGATACAGGCTCGGATTCTGATATTGATAATGGCTCCCTTGGACGTTCAACTCTATCAGCTAGTCCAAATTTAGCAAGTTCTTCACCTAAATCACATGAAGCCTCACTGATGAATGTTTCTAACTGGGATGCTGTTAGTAGAGATGAAGATCAGACTTTATATTCATCACCAGGTATTATAAAATAACCATTAATTATTACTCTTATATATTCTATCTATAAATTATACAGACACGCTTATAAATAACTTGTGCGAAGTAATAAGGATTACCTCTATAGAGCGATAGACATTATACATATAATATGATCACTCAAGGTCTAGAACTGAGAAAATTATAAATTAATCAATTTTATCACATAATTTTGATCATAAATCATTGTTTTTAATTTTTTCAGATGTTAAAAAAGTTGTCAGTCGACCTAACGAAATAAAAACGGACAAAAAAATCAGTGGAATTTTTGATACTGGTGTGAATATAACTCCAAGAGAACCGGTAATAAGAAGACCACGTTCAGGTCCTGTTACTGAAACACCACATGCTGATCAAGCAATACAACGATGGAAAGAAAAGATGATGAATCAGTCTTACAGTATGTTTTGTTATATTATAAATATCTTGATTTCTAGTTTCTTATTTTAGATTAACTTAAATCAAGCAATAAAAATTAAGACTGTATTATCTATACCCTGTCTGCTGAGAGAACATGCCGGGTTTGCGCATTTAGACTGAAGACCGAGGACAGGCAGGGCGGTCTGATGGGGAGAACGCTAGACACTGGGTGCTACGTGGGAATACGCAGAACAGCTAATTTTCGTCGGGTCGTGGCATGTTTTCTCAGCGGACAGGGTATATATAATATTTGACACGACTTAATTTTGATTTAAGTTATCAGGCTATCAGTACCATTATCAAATAAATCCAATATTCTATTGTTTCTGTGAGCTTTATTATTTTATAATGAAAAAATGATTTTACAGATAGAACTGACGTATCTAGTACTTCTCAATTTGATTTGCCATCTCCAGTCTCACCAATTTATTCTCAAAATTCAAGGTTTGTATTCTTATTGTCATTTTATTTAATTTAATAATTAAACTTGTGTTGTTTTTTTTTCTTATAGGAGGTATATTCAGCCAACTCATCAGAGGCCTCAAGGAAATGGTTATACAAGGAATACACAATATATTATTTTACTGTTTGTAGCATTCTTTGTAGTTATTTTTGGACTTTATTTTACTTCAATACAATCTAGTACAATCGTATTACCTTCAGGTAAGCAAAATAGACATCTCAAAAGCTGTTACATTATAATATAATTTATTTATTATGCTTAAGTTATTTGTTTTAATATTTTGTAATTATTAATCTAAAATAATTTTTAGGTATTCTAAATTCATATTGTGCCAAGAAAAATCTACAAGGTTATGAATGTGATGCAGAACAAGAGAGAATCAGATCTTTGTATGGTTCATTAGTGTCTCAAGTTACAGATAAATATATAAAGAACAAATGTGAAAATTCAGATATAGAACCAACTGTGGACACACAGTCCGCCTATGAACATATCTTGACTTATGAAAATATACCATCGCGAGAAGTCGAAGAATTAGTAGAACTTTTTAAGAGCATTGCAAAAACCTATTCTGATTCCCCAATTGGATTTGACACTAAATTTAAAATAAATGTTCAACCAAACGTTCCAGTTGTCTGTGCTATCAAAAACATATTTGCTAATATGTTTTATCTTATTGTTTGGTTAGGAATAGGTATAATTTTATTTTATTTTATTATATATTTTTTTAACTATTTAAACTATCTTAATTAACTGATTTCAGTGGGAATTTCTATACTTGGCATTTACTTTGGTGTATGTTACATATCTGCAAAAAGTGAAAAACACAAACAAGAAGTTCACAATTTAATTGAAAATGTCATTAATCAATTAAAACTAAGAGCTCAACACTATCCTAATGAACCTTTTTTGGCTATTATTCATATTCGAGACCAATTAATTTCAATAAATGAGAGACAAGGTAAATGAATACATCAAAATAATTTTGTAACAGATATTTATTCTATGACATCTATTTTAGCTAAATCAAAAATTTGGGCTGACGTTGAACAGTATTTTACTGAATCCGAATCAAGAGTAAGGACCGAAATTCAACAAATCAATGGTGAAGACTTTAAAATTTGGAGATGGGTTCAACCTGTGTCACCTGGCACAGCGTAAGTATTAAAGACTAATACTCAGCATTAATTTAAAGTAACATTTTATTCAATTTATGTATTATATATATTTACATATATGTATGGTTAACAATACAAATAATTTGTTGCAATAACAATTTACATGGTAAGTTTTTTTCGTTTTATATAACTTATGTAAGGCAATTCAATTTTTTTTTATTTCAAATTAGTATACACAGTAGTTTTTTAAAAGACAAAATGTTAAAATTTTAAGCTAAAAATATATTCATTATTATAATTTTAAACTAACATAAGACATTTCAATTGTATAATAAAATTAATTTTTCATTTGTTGTATTATTAATCTCTTGTACATTATGTTGTAAGTTTTATAATACGATAGTTTTGTGTTGTAACATTAATAATTTCTTTAAAATATAAAATTTATAACCAATTATTAATTTATTAATTTTGTTGAGACTAGAATGAATTGTGAAAATACTCAACCTAGCTATTTAACTAAAAATTAAATGTACAGTTAATATAAAAAAATATTGATGAAGAAAATTATTGGTTTTATGTGTGTGTATATATATATATATATATATATATATATATATATATATATATATATATGTATAATAACTAAATATCCCTTTATTGATACATTTTTTTTAATGATATTATATGAAAACTCAACTTATCATCTTACAGCTGTTGAGATTTATATTTATTTTATGTTAATAGGAAAAAAGTTTGGCAGGGTCAAGCATTTGAAACTAACGAGGGTAGCATGAATTCTCCTCAACCGAGTCCTACATCATGTTTAAAGATACGTCATATGTTTGGACCAGATTCGTAAGCTCGACTATATTTTATTATAATAATGTAAATTTAATTCTTATTAGTGTGACAAAAATACACCTTCTAAACCTCGACACCATAATTGAGCGAATTGATTTGTATTGGTTTAAAAGTTAAGGGGCATTAGTATAGCTATTTATCAAGGAATAAAAATAGGTAATAATTGAAAATTTTCTTAAGGGTATTTGGATATTTGTTTGCACGTTTTAGTTTTTCCTTTAGCTATAGCAAAATTTCAATAAAATATGACCACAGGAAAAACTGTCACAGTTTTAATATTACATTTTTTTATATGTAAAGTGTTATAAGGATTCTACAATCTCTTATTTTTTTTAATTATATAAATAAATAAAAAACATTTATCATTAAAATATCATATTTTAGTACGATATTACAGATAACCTGGCAAATAAATTTAATTTTTAGAGATTGTAATGCTCTTTAGAAACAACATTTATAATATAGAAATAAAGTGATTAGGTATAATTGTATGGCATACTCATAATCCTTTAAAACTCTTGTAAAAAATCAAAAGCAGTACATTTTGGTGAAAAGGACATACTTTTAGTATAGTTGATTAAAAAAAGTAAAAACTTACTTTTTAGTTATTTCTGTATCAAATATTATATCATGCACTATCTCGGGAGACGGGGTATAATATTGATTGTAAACAAGATTTATAAACTAATTTCAGTTTAGGTAGTTATGTTTTAAAATGAGCTTGTAGTGAATAGTGTAAGTAATTCACGTAAGCTCGTCAAAGACAATTTTTATAGATTTATAATAATTATTTTTAAACAATTTACAGTATGACTGGTGATGATTGTGAGACACGTGTTAAAGATGCTATTTTAGAAAAATGTGAAGGTGTTGAATTGTTACATCTTTCTGTTGATCGCAGTAGCCAAGAAGGATGTGTTTACGTTAAATGTGTTTCGCCAACAGAAGCTGGAAAAGCTTATAGACAACTACATGGTTTTTGGTATGATGGTAAGTAGGAAAACAATTTTTAACCAAATTTTAGTAGTATTTTGAATGGGTTTTAAATATATAATAGCCATTCCCTCCAACTTAAAGCTTAATTCTAAATAAGTCATTGGATATTGTGAGGTATAACCCTTTTTTAATGTAGTTTTTCATGGCCAACCTAAAAAGTGTGATTATTTTAATATTGTTCTTTGTATTTAACCTTCGAGCTGTGTACTATAATCTGCCATATACTAAATAACAGGTAATAAATTGTAGATAACCAGATGGTGGAATGCCCTTTTGATGGGGGTAAAATTGAATTAAATTAGTCGATGTATGCATAGCACTGCTTATCTGTAGTTTATACATTTAAAAATCAATGCTTCCATTAATTTAACATATAAATTAATTTTTAAAAGTCAAAAATGTTATAAAGTTCTTTTTTTTTAGGAAAATTGGTGACTGTTAAATTTTTGCGTTTGGAACGTTATCATCAAAGATTTCCTGATGCTAACAACAAAACTGTACCGTTGAGACCATCTAATAATGAAATGCGTTCTTTACAATAAATTGTTTAATTATTTTACAACTGCTTCATACCACTAACACGGTTGTTCAAATTATTACAAATACCATAAAAAAAAGGTTTAATTATGAATAGTAAATACTGCTAGTACTCCAATTTGTTTTATTATTATTATTTTTTTTTTTTTTAATTTCTACAAATAACACTATCTTATGACTTGCTATTATGTAATGTTATTTTTTAACTTTTTTTATTATTTTAATTTCATATTATTATTTATTAATTTTTTTTTTATTCTTGCAACTCTTATCCAATAGTGTTAAGTTAGTAAGGAACGTTTTGTATCTATAATGATGTATTAAGTTTGATATAAAAAGTGAAGAATGTTAAAATATTAATTGAATTAGCTAAAAAATTTTCCTTGTAAATTATTAGTTATTAAATATATTAATTATGAATACTACATGCTAGTATGTTACTTAAAGTGGAATTTGTCTGTGTACTATGAGGGTTATAAACAACTTTTATAACTAATAGTATAATAGTTAACTTATATACTGTTTTATTTTAACTCTATGATACTATGTATATTATTAATATCATATTGGACAATAAAAATAAACGTTTTAAACACAAAATCTTTTGGTTAAGAATTAGTATCATATTTAGTAGTTATATCATAAGTCGTATTCGTTATCTAATCCTTTCATTTTTATAAATATAATATATACTGTTATAGTTCTATTTTAAACACTTTAAACTGTATTTGTTTTGATTTTAGTTAAGTAACGAGGAGTACTGTTTAAGTATGCCGGCAGTGCATTAGCACTGTTGCTGGTGTGCTGGGCAGAAAATTAGCCGCCATCCCTCTTTACAGTGATTGACTAACCACTTTTGGGACGAACTTATCCCAAAAGCAAATTTATCGAGAAACCGACTTATTGGTAGCTTTAGGCCTTCGCCTGTTAAGCTACATGATGATATTATTTTCTTAAAATCGGTAGCAACTTCTAACCCATTTATTATTTAAATTTCATAGGTGTAAAACGTCAATTTAGTTTTCATTAAAATATTCATAAAACATTTGGGTTTGATGCTAACCATAATCTAACATCATAATATAAAATTTACATTATTAAATTAAATAATAATATATTTTAATTTTGCTGAACAATGACCAATTAGCAATTACCAATTAATAGTATTTAAGAACATAATAATGGTTCTTGTTCCTAAAAATAATTTTTCTATTTTCCAAATATTTTATTTCAAAAACCACATAAATTTTTTTTAATTTTACCAATTGAAATTTTACAGTAATCAATAGCTCAAAGTTGAGTTGTTTGGAAAATTATGAAATTATTAACTATTCTTATAAAAGTTAATACATATTTTTTATTAGATATTATGAAAACAAATATATAAAATATAAATACAATATAGATCCAATTTTTTAGTTTTTAATTACATAATATTGAACAAAGAAATTACACAGCGGAATATTTAAAAGTTAGGCAATGAACAATAGTCTGAAAATAGATGAAAAAAACTTACAAAAGAGTGTTGAAGGCAATCCCCCCTCATCACGAGCATGCATGAAAGTTATGACGTATAGCCTCCTCACATATTTTTTTCTAACTTCACAACATCTGGAATTTAGAATTCCATATCGACTGTCTAGAATCTAGATCAAAACTATCTCGAAACACTTTTTCAGGAATCTCGAGAAATGTATAGTCATGAGCGTTATGAGTTTTTTATAATGTTGAATATTTCCGATTTCTGATAGTTGTTATTGTGAATAGGTAGTTATTTATAATTTATTGTGTATAAAGGCATAGAGCTAGAACTTGGGAGTACTGTAACTAGGTTAATGCTTGATATACTTGATTATAAATTATACATATTATTTTTTTCTTACCTACATAGTTGACATTTGGCAACATATAAGAAACGTATTGGTTAGGTTAGGTTAACGGTAAAGTATTTTTCAAAATATTTACTGTGCAAAATTTTTAATTTACAACAATTTTTTCGAGACACATTGGTTTTGATTCGTACAAAACTAGGTATTTTGATATAAAAAAAAAATTGTAATTTTTTCTATATAAATGACTGTGATAGCCTGAAAAAAAATAACCAGTAAAGAACCCTCATTTCTGGATTAATAGGTATACACTATATTTTAAACTTTAAGCTCTAAATTAAGATTTTTCGAAACTGCCTATACTTAATAAATGTGTGGGTGGGTCTTTAGTTATGTAAGTTATGCTTAACATTTCCGGCGTTTCCGACCATACTGGTAATTTTCGTTGTTTTTGAACACACCCAATAACCCTTGGAACATTTAATTTTTATTTATGTCACCCCTACCCGAAATCCAATCCCAAAATTAAGAAGGTATAGATAAACATCTAATCTTTCTGTTGTAGTAGGTGAAGTCACTTTGCCCTGTCTGTTACTCGCAATCCTTAATCTTGGCTCCAGTTTTGTGTTTACATAGCGTACAGCGCACTTGTTCTTTGCCCTTGGTTGGCCATGCCCTTTTGACCAGCCTGCTAACCAAATATTTAATAACCCTTGATTAAATTGTCTTTATACACCATAAATCTACATACTATGTCCAAAATCCAAATAAAAATAGGAGTTGGAAACATTCTAGAATGTTAACGGATTTAGAAAAAAAATTTCCAATTTGTAAAAAAATGTCACCTTAGGCAACATACCAATGTTGCCTAAACCTTGTACCGGCTCTATATAGATTAAGTAAAATATGAAACTGCAAATTATGGTTGAGTACCTACACACAATTTATCATCGCGTCTACATTAAAATACTTTTTTAAATACTTACTACTTTAATAAGTACTTAACAACTCATAATATATTGCGTAACAAACAATTCAGATTAATGGAAGTAAACTGTTTGTCGCAATTAAATAAAAATAATAAAAATATACTATTGATTCGAAAAATTATTGTTGTAATGTAAAATGTATATTTAGATGTCTTTTCGTTTTTATAATAAAATAGATACCCGTATCCATACTGTCGCCAATGCTGACTTTGTAATAATTAAAATAATTAAATTTAAGTTAATATTGATTAATTTAAACTACATGATTTTGTAATTAACTCGTATACAGTTAAGATTTGAGGAATGCAACGAATCTTTTATATTTTTAAATATGATATGGTAACTGGTGATATTTATTCATTCAACCCTTGATGGATATAATAAGGCATTTGAAAGCGAGGTAGATAATATTATATTAAGATAGGTATTATTTTAAATGATTTTTCAAATCTAAACAACAACAGTGTTAATTAAAAAAATATCATTAATATCAATACATGGCGCATTGTATTATTATTATAATTTATAACGAAGTACATATACTCGTAAGTACACTTATGACTTGTAGAGCCAAGAATGCACTTATTTGCATTGGAATTTTGTTTCGAAAACAGCACGTGGCTTATTTATTAATCGTCGTATTATTTCAAGCGTTTTCAGCGCACTTATTAAAAATTTTCAAGGTTGTAGAATTGACCAATATTTAATTATGTCCGTATAATATATATTATTTAGCAAGGAAGTTGTGTGCTTCCCAATATTATTAATTAAAACATAGTTAACCCATTAAGAACTTAATTACTAACATGGGTTATTTTTTATTTTACCTATACACTTGAGTAAACACACTTTGTTGTCTTAAAAGTTTACTTTATTTTTTACTGATACGGAGGCTCTAACTTAAGAAATGACACATACATAGGATGTATAGGATAACATAAAACTAAATTATACTATCTTGTCTAATTGCACTATTAATATAATACTTATATTATTGAATTTTTTAAAGTAAGTTAATAAATGTATTAAAAAAATATATTTACAATATAAGAAGATATATTGTAACTAAAACTATCTAACTCTCTTGGAAATGGCTATATTTCTATGCATACTAAAAGTGTTACCACAAAGAAGTTACGTGATATTTTATTATAAAGAGGAAAATACATCATGAACGAAATACTTTATAACCCCTATAAAATATTTTCCCGTATATTTTGGAATACGATGTCTAACTATAGGAGTAGACCTAAAGTAAATAACAAATATAAAAAAATGTACCCATAACTCATTTGTAAATATTTGAAAACGTCTGGATTAAAACATTGCATATAATTCGTTTACTATAATAAAGTTAGGTTTTGTTTTTGGATATCAATTTTTAGACTATTTTGATAGAATTCGTGGACGTATGTCGTATAATATATTTATTTATTAATTGTAAAAAGGAAGTACGCTATTTACGGTATAAATATATTATAATTTCATTATTGATAAAACAATTACAATATGGAAGGAAACCGGGAAAGAGTTATCAGTAATCGTTAGGGTAGATGTCATTGGGTATTAGATTCACATTAAATGTTATTTCTCTTTTATTTACATACATTAAGCAAAACATCAAACAAAATATGGTTTTATTTATATGATTAAGATTTTTTACTGTTTACTACTACATGTTACTACTAGTGAGGTTACGCCCGGTTATATTATTATAATTTATACAATTTTTAATCAGATATAAATAGATTATAGAACGATTTATTGCGTATTGTATAATAACAGTATCAAAACGATTAACGGGAAATGAATGTTCTTTTAAAACGCGACTGAACCGACAATTATTGTTTAACAATTGACAACACGATGACACATCGAGTGCCCAGTGTGTTCCCATAGTAACAATTCTTTCAAAACACCTGTTCTTTTTCACCGCCCAAATTTAAAATGCAACCCAATACGCACGTTTAAATAATTATTAAAGTGTTAAATACTGAACATTTTTTTGGCGCATTTTCATCCAAGTCAACTAACATACTTATTTGCCTATTTCACTGGTCGTTAAAAAAAACTAAGTTACTATAAATTATTTTTAGTTAATTTAAAATTTAACAAACTGGTTGTCAATTAAAAATATCGTTAACAGTGTTTTTTTAAGTATTTACATAACAACAATATATTAATTTAACTACAGAAAATTAATGAAAAATACAAATAAAAAGAGTATTCTACATTTTAAGTTTTTAATAATTTACCCCCTTCCCTTCCTAACATCCCTCAGATAACTGGATACCTTACTAATACAATGGTACTGCCTACATTATATATTTAACCATGAAAACAAAATTTAAATTGTTTGTACAACGCATTATAATAATAACGTATATTATGTTCAGGTAATCGTATTACATATAATGATCATAATGCGTATTATTGTCAACCGTAAAAATATTCTTTACAGACAAAAGTTTACAAAAAAATAATATAATTCTTGTTTTGAGCGTACATTGTACAATCTTGTACCAAAATAGTGTAGTCAGTAATACAATGTTATTATGCATTCATATCTCAATTTTTTTCCTCATAGCACGTTTTATATGTTATTTTGTTTTTATAACGTTTCACGTAGAAAAAGATAGCTTAGCGTAAACAATTTTTTTGCGAAATCACATATTGATAACGACATTCCAAAAATGCCGTCAATTAATAATCATATTGCTCTTTACTGCGCATGTTGATCGGATAGCCCGAGATGATAATAAAATATTAATGTTCGAGTACTATTATAGTATAATATAATATTATAATATCACTTCATAGATAATAGGCATCTACATCTGCCTATTTTTTTTTATCGAAAAACAACTCAATTCTAGTTTTAGCCGTTCTCTGAAACGCGTAATACGACAATAATTTTGAAAACACTATCAAAAGCGCTCAACAATCTTCGCTATAATACTGTTAATACCAATCAAATTGATTCGGACATGACCATTTTCTGTGAAAACCTTACCTTTTCTTTTTCCGTAAAAAAAAAGTTACAACTCAAATTAGTCGACGAATTGCCTAATAAATAGATATCACATCAGTAGAACAAGATTTGAATGAGTCATATAGTCTATAGAAGTTATTAATATTCAGGCCAAATAAAGAAACAAACAAAATAGAAAAGACAAATTTGATCAGCTACATTTTAGCTGCCTAAATAAACGTCATGTAAATCATATTACATCTCAGTCACACGCATCAATTGATAATTTTATAATTCGAGAAAAATTAGTCGAAATAAAATGCAAAAAGCTTAGATTCGCGGCCGGGGATTGAACCGTAAAACCGTCGCACTAAACATACCAGACACGATCATTGTACGTCGTAACATTGTACACAAAAAAGAATTGTGCATCTAGCCTAAAAAACATATCCCTATAAAATTGGTGATCTGGCTTTTCATCTATTGTTAATGACTTTTATCATAAGATAATTGGATATGGTTTATACTTCATTAAAAAAAAAGTGTCTGGCTTAAGTACATAATAAAGTCCATATATGATCTAGGTTCAAACCTATACCACTGAATTTGTATATTTTATTGTTTAAACTTTTATATTCTTTTATCAAATAAATATTATTAAATTCTATACATATTATTACATTCTATCATCTATGTATAAAAATATAAATTTCACCTTTTAAACTAATTGGAAAAACATTTCGTACCTACACGAGTTTATTTAATTTGTCTAAAAATTAAGTCCTGTATGATTCATTTAAATCTTGAATCTACTAATGTGACATTTTATTAATTTGAATTGTAATTTTTTTTTTTTTTCCAAAAAAGGATCTCACCTTATTGATTTAGTTACGTCATTGGTAATAGAATTTGTTGGCTTTTATAAAAAAAATAATAACATTTAATTAGACCAAAATCTAATGTTTAATTACTTAAACGTTATAATTTTAAAAAATGTCAAATGTTATATGCTACGTACTTAATGGTCTTGATAAAAAAAATAATAATGTGATAAGAACTGAAAAAAAAGAATTCTGTGTGTCCTATATACACTACGGTCTACACTAATTTATTTATTTATTTAATTGTAATAATTAGTTTTTAAACGTCATTACTTCAAATATGTAGTTAAAAAAAGATTTATACAAAAAAAGTTGTACAAAAAGATTATTAATAGTATATTTATACAAATCAAGGCTCTGGGGGTGAATATCGCCCTGATCATCCCCTGTAAATACGCCACTGCTCATTAAACGCTTTAAACTCTTAGTATGTTTTAAACTTGGCTTGTTGATTATAGTTTTCGCAAGTTATAATTTTCATTAAGTGAATAGTAGTATTCTGCATTAATTCATTGAATCAAAAACAAATATCATGTTCCTGACTTTTGGCATGTTAGCGTACTAATATAAAATTTAAAAACCTTTAAATTTTAAATGTTTAAATTAGTTCTTACAATCGACTGACACTCCCCCAAACACTGTTTATGATTTCACAGGTCTAACTTTTTACCATGCTTGTTTGTTGTGTGATTTATTATGCCGGGTTAACACAATGATATTTTTTTGTTATAGGTACACCGTACATCGCGAAAGGTGCTTTCTTGAGAGTTTAATTGCTTATATTTCTATTATTATTTATTAATGGCTTTATAAAAACAAATATAAATTATTTCAACAACAAGACTGCCTACTTTAAAATGATTTACTGACTGTTGCAGTTGCCTACCAGCCTACATGTAGTGTATGTCAAATCAAATTATTTATTACTTATTCAATATGCATCCTTATAACTCCAGCGCCCGTATATTAGAATTCAGAAACGTCTAGCGATGATTAGTCTTGTATAAGGGTCAATCACCTACGGCTATTAAGTACGACAGCAGGACACATCAATTTGCTAGATTTAGCACATAAGGATTTTCAATTTCCGACTTCTCGTATTTTATTTTATATTAAACTAATCATGTAACTACCATGTACGTTAGTCGATCAAACGTAATCCATACTAATGCATTTAGAAGTCGGACGTGTTAAATACTAAATCGATCTGTGTACCTACAATGGTTAATAATCATTAGGAGGACAGGACATTGTACCCTTTGGCCTTTATTTTTGGCAACATTTGTACATTTATGAAATTCTCAACGTAGGTACCGTTTGCGATCCTACACAATTTAAGGAACTAAATTATAGGTAGTACATATTTCTCTACTTGTCATAATTAAAATGATACATATAATTATTACGCAACTTCTTTTAAAATTAATAATTCCCAATGCCCCAAATTATATAGATGATTAGATGAAAAATTGTTCACATATATTATTACAAATTTATGATAATAAATTATTATTCACTACGAACAGAAATTAATATTTTATGTTTTTAGTCTTTCTTCAAATTATAATGAATGTACGATAGAGGATCAGGATCAATTATTCTTTTTATAATGATTTTATTTGTTCGTGTCTGCGTTAACTATAAATTTTGAACCGCGCGGTCATCTGAGTTCTGGCGTAATAATATTAAATTATATTATAATTTAAAGTAATATTAATTAAATATCCAGAGGATAATAAATATAAGATAATTTTTGTGTGCTCGGCATAGATGTAGTTTAAAATATATATATCAATAGATTATATTTCATAGTGAAAAAGGAATATACTAAAAAAAAAAAAAATAAAATAAACAAAAATAAGGGCGTGAGAAAACATATGTTAGCAGAATGGAGAAAAATCACGTCCGTTCATACACGTTGAGTGTGTGTGACCGCGATGCTGTCGATATTTGAATTATTATCATTTATCTTATATCACCCTAAAAATATAATTTATACGTTTGGCATGTATGTATGTGTATATAATAATAATAATGATAACAACGACAACGTGATACGTAATAAGTAATAAAAAAAAAAACATAATAATTCTACGTAATAATCCCTGTGGCGGAACCACACTGTATGCACGCCGCACAGTGTACCGGGCGTGGCTGCACATGACGCGTTGGTCAAAAGGCACGAGTTGTACGCATGCGCGCAGTTAGCGTCACTTTTGACCAACACGATACCCGGCTGCATCGACGCTTCCCGTGCTCCGACCGCTTGTCATTCGTGCATTTGAAGTCGCGTTCTTTCTATCGGTACTTGGTGGATTTTTTTTTAAATTTAAATATTTAAAACGATTGTGTACAGGAGTTTTATTTATTATTTTTTTATTCGTTTATATTAATTTAAGAACTCATTAATTGTATCGACTTGTGTTCGTTTTCATATTTTTTTACCGTATTTTGGTATCTACACACGCCCACTTAGTATTTATTAACAATGACCACAGCGACGGAAGAGACTAAGAACGTCCCACAAGACGCCAAAGAGCCGGTAAAGGAGGCGGCTGACGGTGCCGTGACGGAGACTAACAACAAACAAGAAGCCAACGACAAGAAGCCGGCTGACAAAGATGAAGCGGCCCCGGCCGCTCCGGCGGAACCGCCTCAACCGAAGTTCTCGGTGAAAAAACAGAATTTCGAAAAAGACGTCGTCTATTTGTATCAGTTCTCTCGCACACCAGTCATTCCGTCCATGTCCCCTTACTGCCTTAAGGTGGAAACATGGCTCAGGCTAGCTGGACTCAAATACGAGGCAAGTATTTCAAGATTGTTGTTGTTTTAACTCTTGCAAAGACAATCTCCAAACTGTTCGATCTTGTTGCTTTAGGACAATCGTGTAATCTTTGCATATAATTTTAATATTTGACTCCTTTTTAATGCTAAATAATTATTTACAAATTTTTTGTTAGGTTGTATTGTTAAATGTTAATGATACATTTCAATGACTCATTCTACATTGTTATTTGTTGGTTGAAAAATTTTAAATATTGACCCTTAGATACTTCCATTGGTATTGTGGTATACCTAACTATAGATTAAATATTTAGATATTTATTTTATTTTAATATTTAATGTCCATGAGTAGAAAGAGGTACATATTTGCTATATCTCCTAAGCGTATTATTTATCTTAACCATTGGCTGACTTAAATTACTTTCTGCTCTAGTAAAATAATATTTGCTGCCTTTTCACCATCATTAATTTTTTTATCTAAAGGTTGTCAAAGAAAAAAAAAAATTCACTGTTCTAGGTAGTTTTCTATGTTGCCTACCCATAAATTTGCCGCTGCTAAATTTGAGTAAAAAACATATATTTTACTTATTGGCACATAAGCTGTAAATGTTATATACTTAATATATATTACTCTTTAAGCGGCCATCCCTTAAATTATTCAGCAGAGGAGTAGTTTGATAAACTGCCTAAAATAACTGTCATTTACTTTGTTATGTTACTTAGCGTTGTTGAGACATTATTCATATATTAGATATCTATTTCTGTTTAAATCTTATCTATTTACTACCAACTTCTATATTACTGCTTACAAGTATTTCTCCTAGACTTGCAAAACTTATAATTGATCTTCTCTTTAATACTTGTAATAAAAGTTCTTAATTTTACATTTTATTGAACTTTCTAAGTATTCATTTTAATGAATAACGATAAATTATTTGAGTAGTAAAAATGTTTATTATTAGTGCTAAATGTATTGTTGCTCTCAATTAAGGTAACTGATTATACATGATCAGTTTGTAATTATATGTATTGTTCTTATATGTTATATGCACATTTTATATATTGTGAGACCATTTAATTTTATACTTAAAAAATTATTATAATTGTGTTTGCGCTGTTATCTGAAAAATATTCATCAAAATATTCAGGAAAACGCTATAAGAAGTTAGATTTACTAAATTAGGTATTCAAAGTGTAAGATTGGTGACATTTTAGGACTTAATATTATATTGATAATGAATAGCCTTTTGATGAAATCTATTTATACTTAATATATATCATCTTTGAAGTGGTCTTTAAAACAAGAAATTAATAAATCATTAAATTATTAAATCAATTGAATTATAGGGCATAATGTAAAATTAACATAAACAAGATTAATACATTATGTTAAACATGACAAATTTTAACAAACATGTATATCTAATGCATCATTTAAATCAGTTTAAATATTATTTTAATTTTAAAGAATTTCTTCATTATTAATCGAGTTATTTGTTTTTATTCTTATTATATTTTATATCTTCTATAATGATGTTATTATTATACAATTATTATCAATCATTTACTCAAGTCACAAATTAATTATAACATTCATTATTTGAAATTATGATAGGTACACTGTTTAAACTTTACAGAAATTTATATATAAAACCTTTAATCATAAATATAATACAGTGTGCAGAGAGTGTATTATTTTTATGGTTATGGGTTTTAAATATTAATTTATTTTTTATTACCATAAGTTGCTAATTTTTTTCTATTTTAAAGAAATGGTTAACATTGCTTACAGGTTTTTGAAATTAGAATAAAATGGTTACATTTTTTGTGCTGGCATTTATTTATACTTGTGAGTTATAGTCTAGTAAATTCTTATTGAGACTTCCCGCTGTTACTTTGGATTTCATACCAATTTAAGGTTATTTGGACAACAGTTATTGAGTGAATACAGTTTCTGTTTTGCCGTCTAACAGAACGTATTACTTTTTATACAATTATTTTTCATTTTACTTGATTTTGGTAATCTCTATCACTACGATATTAAATATTTTACTTATAACTATCATAATTTGAATTATTTAGATAAACAATTTGTATACAAGTTGTTGAGTGGTAAATGGAGGAATATGCAAAATGTTTTTATTTGATGAGATTTTTAATCCAGAAATTACTCTTAGATTATTTTTAATATAGTGTCAGCAATTAAATATACTTACATTTAAATGACAGATGTAATTACTTTTTAATTGCTCTGTAACAATTTATCAAATATCCAAAGAGAAATAACTACCCTAGCGCACACCCACACGTGTTATTTCATTGTAGCGTGTTATTATTAAGTTGTCATATGGCCTATGAGTCATGACTTTGGTCGTTATCTCTTACTTTTCTATACATCATATTGTAACGCTATGAAATAAGTGGGTTATCTCTGAAATGGGGACTGTTAGGTAGTATCCTAAATTAATCGATGATGGTGCGTGCCATATTTAAATTGTTGAGCAAACACTATAACACAGATAAGGTTTTATGGACTCGGGGTTATTAAATTGTGTCAATACAAGTTCTTTTGTTTTTTTTTTTCACTATTCCATTTTGTAACGACCTTTTTTTCGGGTGTGTACCACACTGACCATCGCATGTATTGATTTTTTTGTCAAAATTAAACCTATTATATACTACATACTTGGTAATGGATGATAAGTGCAGATAACAAATTCTAAAAATGTATCATTAAATGTCAATTTTCACTGACCCCCATCAACCCGTTACGTTCGAAAGATGTTCGCTTTGCTCGTAAACTTCCTTGGCGTTAATATTTTATTATTTATAATATTTTTGAAATGTGCGTCTACTATGGATAATTTGGTAGTGCGTTATCGTACGCATTCTATTATTAGCGACTATTATTTATGTTATGTAAAATCGTTAAAACGTTAAGCAACTTTGAGTGCTTGGTTTTCTGCTGTATTATTATATTATTATTGCCAGTTTCTAATAGACCGAATTCCTGAGTAAGGTCGCGTCTGCCATAAGATTGTTGGAGAATAATAAAATTATGTTAACCGCATATAACGGCTTTGATGTACTTATTTGTCGACTAGTTTCACGTAGTGTGTAGAGCAATAATCATACCGAACGCTGAAAAATATTATTACTAGTATATAATTTTCAACCCTGTCTCGTTTAAAGTTAATCATAGTCAACCGATCAACCGGTACGTAATATTGTAAGAGTCAATTTTTATCTTCTATTCTGTATAATTTCCTCAAGCTAGTCGACAAACTCATTTGTGCAAAACACGACATTTGTGCAATGTAATCGACGACGGGTTTTCCTAGTCTAAAAAAAAATTCTATGTAATGTATTATTATACTCGGGTCGTTGGCGGTGGTAGCAGGCAGTGTATATTAAGTATATTAGTATTACACGCTTTCACTTATTGCCCCGAACTCTAGGAAATGTATTTATTTTTTTTATAATTTTTTTAACTAGTAGAAATCCGGTGAAACCGTCTCCGTTGCATTGGACGTTTTCCGCGAAGAATGCACGAATAAAAATCTTTGTTGGCGGCGTCTGTGGAAAATTGCTGAGTCGTTAAGAAAACAAAAAAAACTGCTTGTAGAAAAATTGAGTGAAATCCTGCTGTTTCTTAATTATTATTATTATTTCATTTACCGACCATTAATCCCGTTTCCCGTGTCCGTCGTGTGCTAGTTCTAATACAGTTCATATCATATGATGATTTTTATAATATTCTCTGGACCGCCGTCGTACATATTATATTAACGCATTCCTTTGGTCGTAAACATTCTTGCATCGCTCATAATATAAAAAAAAATATTTTAACACGCGTACGGCGTACTATTTTATTTTAAATAATTAAGATTTTTATTGCATTGCTCTTCTTATTTTGTCATTTTTTCCGTGTCCTCGGTACCCTCTTGTTGTCATCTCTTGGCGCAATCATCATCAACACTTATCAGCATATCGTTTGTACGACATCACCGACTGGCTGTATTGTAATAATATTATTATTCTCATACTAGAATGCATTTATAAATATTCTAAAAAAATATCCTGTCCGTTAATTTGCACGCTTAACAGCCCGCCACGTCGCGCGTCGGCCTTGTGACACTATATAGGACCCCAATGATACCTATTACCGGCCGTGCATTCTTCAACGGCCAAGTATACGTGTTGATAATAATATATTATGGGTGCATGTGCAACGACAAACGCATAATATAATATGCAATCGGATACAGAGTATGTATGATATTTAAATCCATCGCACGCGACGGACAACGACGATTTAAAAAATGACTATGATACGTAAATTGACGAGTTATGCTCATGGGCATTGTGCACATAGTGAATTGTAATTCAGACGACGGTAGTACAACATAATATTTATGTGATAGTGAAACTAAGGATTTGTACAGTAGTAGCGATGATGATAAAACGCTTTTTCCATGCACTAAAGAGAGAGGGAGAAAGTTACATTAATATAAAAGCTATCTCCACGTATATAATAATATTTTATAGATATCGTTAATGTGTTATTTCGGCAGTCGTTTGTATTCGTACAACAAATGTTTGGTACTGCTATGAAGAAAATTCAAGCGTTTCCCCATTATAACAACGGCATAGTAACTGCCGTTCGAAAGCTTATTATTGTTATTTTTTTTTTACCATCGTGGGAATCACGTTGTGATCTCCGACGTAGCATTCGTGTAATAGTGACGCCTCGCTATTATAAAATAATAATCACTTTCGACGGACTCATAAAATAGGGGCCGTTATTTCACTGGATACACTAAATCGAATCTCTTTTTAGCAGAAATTGAAGTTTTCCATTGTACAGTATCGTTTTCAATAGTACAATTAATGCGTAGTACTACACTAACTAATTTAGCCTCTTGAAAATTGGGAACAATTCAGCAAAATGTCTTTCGTTTAAACATGTGTATTTGTCAAAAATTAAAAGTAATATTTTGTCTGATGGTTGTTATTATGTTTGTAAATTACTTATTAGTTTTGGTTAATGATGCGTGATCATTAGGGAAATACACATTGATAATAAAAGGTTTTTACCTTTATAATAGAAAACATACTTCGTTAAAATCTTAATCATAATAGTATTAGTGATTGAAAATAATAAACAGTTGGGCACATGTTTTGTTTTCTTATAACGCAGTAGTAAAAATGTATTTATACTAATTTTAAGTTAATCTACTTTGAACTTGATAATTTTATAATAACTTTATAATTTTACAGCGATGTGCACGCATAAAAAGTTTTTTTCAGGTCTACATTAAACATTTTCTCTATCCACCTTTTACGTAAGAATTATAGAACTCTACGCTTGCTCAGTATATAGTAGATATTTGTAGCCCATCGGATGAGGTAGCATTGTTAGGCCACAGTCTGTAATCTTTTGGAACAAGTCGCAATCCAACCATTGAAGGGGGCCGTTTATTTAGGTCAGCTTTAAGTTCTAACCCGCCAATTCCAAACACTCCGCTAAAGCTTGTCCAGTAAATAAATATACACTAAAAGTGAAGAGGAGTTTATATTCTACTCTCAAATATTGTATAAACGGATTACCTACTCACGAGTAGTACTTTAAATAATCGGATTATAGGAATAGTCAGCTTTGCTAAAATATAATCCATCGGTTTTATTAATTTTAAAACATACTAACTTCTTGGATTCCTCAAAAATAAAATTCTATATACAGAAAAGCATGACGTGCCTAATTCTGGAGTAGTCTGAGAAGTTTTATAATTCGAAATACATTTGAACTCGTAAAAGATTATTATTTAGCTTCTATGCAAAGCCGAGAAGGTATTTTCGAAAACAACTTGTATGGCTAATTGTGAGCGTGTATCCTTCTAGCGGGTAATCGTCGCGTGTATGCGTTTTCCGAGTTTAAAAAAAATGTTTCAATTGACGTCAATTGTGTGCGGAGTTTGTCGGATGGAGACTCTTATCGTACAGTGAAAGAGAGTAAGACGACACAATTTGTGTCGATTAATTCATTTATATGATAATAACGCGGTTAATACGAGTTAATAGTCGTGACGATTGTCTGGGACGGATGACTTGAATCTCGCGCGCGTTTTGTATGGAACGATACCGTCTACACACACACGACACAACACAGTTATAAGAGATGATGATAATAATAATATTAGTCGTGGGTAATAATAGCAATATAATACTACACACAGCTCTGCGCCTTAGATGAGACTTCCTCCGGCGGTTATCCGTTCGCCGCAAGCCTCGCATTCATCGGTCAATTAACCAATTTCTAAGAATGTTTTACAACACACACATTCCTGGGTCGTTGATATAATATATTTGTTATGTAATTTTTGTATATTCATACCCGACATGTGATCGGCGTTGATGACAAAAGGCCAAAAAGGAGGGAGGGTTCGTCTCAAAATCCGTGTAAACGCGCGCCACTCGGATGTATGTGTGTAACAGTAATAATAATCAATACACCGCGTCTCAAACAATAGCCAACTACCGCCACAATATCCACCGTCCTCGCCTCCTTTCTTGGCCAAAGAGCAGTTAACGTTGTACCGATAAAAGAATATAGTAGTAATTATATGACCGCCGATAGAAAAAAGACCTACGACCTTTGCTTTAAAATTTTGATTCTTGAAGTGTTAATTTAGTAACACCCTTTTTATAGTATGCTCGCAAAACAATCTCAGAAAAAAAAAATGAAAAATTTGCTTCTTAAATGTAAAAATTGTTTGGAATTTACCCTAAAAAATAAGTTTTATTGGGTTTATGTATACCTCAAAAAACTTATTTCAGTCAGAAATAAAAAAAAACCCGGGTTTTTTTTCTGTTCTCGCGTATTTCTATTTATTAAGAACAATGAATAGAACGCATATTTTTTAGGTGATGTGGCTTCTAAATCCGGGCCCTATTTATGAATATTGACTACGAAATGTCGTTGCTATGTACACTATTATTATTTTCATCGAGCTAGGATACATTCACCCGTTCATTTTTTTATTGTCTATGTATCGGTATAAGAGTCATTTGTTTTGTCATGGTAAAGTTTTCATTAGTTACTGTTAACCATCATTGGCCAGAATAAAACGAAATTGGGCGGATGATTGAAACAAAGAAAAAGTTTTTCTCGTCTCGGTATTGATGGTTTTTTTATCCACGTATATTAATTACTACAGTAGTAAAATATATATTGCAATTTATAATATTGTATAATAACCCTACCCTGGTATGTCTTATACCGAAAGGCGGCGTAGCAGCTAGCTGAAAAAAGCATGGCAAGAGCGAAGCGCGCAACAAAGAAGGAAGCTTTTACAATAATTTATTGTTATTTTTATTATTATTATTATCAGCAGTGGCTGATGAAAACGATGTATGCATTAAAAGAATGCGACCGCTTATACCATCGCATCACCACATTCTTCTATATATTATTATAATAATTAACACGCAGAACCGGTTCGGAAAAATATTACTCCATGCTATCCTACCAGAATTAACCAAACACCCAAACCAAATAAAAATCGGCAGGGTTTAAGCAAATTTTCGGTATTTACCCAAAAATATGGTTTATTGGGTTAATGAATACTTAAAAAAACTTCTGGGATCGGGTTTTTTGTGATTGCCATCTGTCTCTTATAGTCTATTTATCTTAGAAAACACTCAAGTGGCGTGGTCAATTAGTGTGGCCGCTGTCTGTGTTTCTTATCCTGGGTATGTACACATATCGTTTACTAGAATCGGAGTTAAAAAGAAATTTCAAAAGCTCGAACAAGATACATATGATTTTTAGGTGCGAGTACTCGGTATTTTGGTTTAAAAAAAACCGGCCGGTTTTTGTTGATGGGTGTGGTTAACTATTACATACGCACACGGGTAAAAAACCGATTTTATTCGGATGTTGTATTTTTTTTTTGGTTCAAAATAAGGCTCTCAGTTTCACCGTATTATTGTCTTTTCCGGCAAATGATGGGCATTGATTTACTGTATGATCAACTGTAAAGTTTTATTCACATTTTCACTTAACATATAAATTATAATTTAATATTATGTGATACTATTTCAGTTCAGAAAACACTAAACGCAACGCACTGCATTGATATTTTAGATAGTTGATAATTTATTCTATAACGACTTGACTGGTAACCTGGGGTTTTTTTTTTTGTTATTTTTAAACAAATGTTTGTTATATACCCCAAAAGTATGGGTTTTATTGAGATTATGAATATCAAAAAAAAACCCTGGCCGGAGACTAAATAAAGTTTTCTCTGTTCGTTGCTGTTGCCACCGCTGTTAGCCTCGCCTGTTGGGTTAAAAAGCCATTTTAATGTAACGACATTGTCTCGTGTGTGCGCGCCGAAAATAGTATACATGTTTTTTTTTGTGTGAGGGAAGGGAGAAAAACTACTATCGTGTCGACCCTGTGCACAGTTCGGCTGCGTGGGGTTCTACTTTCTAGTTGAATTTTCTGCATGCACACGGGGTGTGGTGTGTGTGTTAATGGTGAAGATCAATAACACAGTTGTCGCCGTCTGTACGATAAACTGCTCCTGCCCGACGCGGACCCTACCCTCATGTTCGGTGGTCCCCATAGCAACCGACTGTGGTATCTATCCAGGGGTTCAATAAACCCACCGGGCACATTGGGAGTTTTCTCTCCCCGGTGTTGTTTGAATGACAAAAATAGGGTTTGAACCGCGGTAAAGTACGAAAATGTGTAGTACTTGGCGACCGACATGAATTTTAGTCGCCTCCTTTTCCGCCAGCCTTTACTCGCTCGCTCGTGTATTATGCAACAGGGCGCTTATGTATGCTGTTCTAACCGAGACGTCACCATTTGGAACTACAAAATGTTTAAATGTCCCCAAAAAAAAAAAAAAAAATACTTCCATATACTGGAATAATGTAATGTGTACACTCGAATTGCGCTCAGACTACTACATAAATTGCTGCACCTCATTCGTATAAGGCTTATCTACCTATATCTGCTTGTACTATGAGCAGATCAAAATTCAGTGGCTCAAAAATATACACAATTTAATGTGTTCAATGTAGTTGTGTTTTAAATCTATTACCCATTTCTCATATTATACTAGTCATTTCCTTTATTTTTTTCTGACTTTTTTTGTTATTCAATATAAAATTATGACGGAATACGAGGATTCCTAGACAAAACAATTTAAACAATAATACCCGATTCTAATATTTGTTGAATCATTATTGTATTATATTTTGTAATTTTTCAAATTTTAATTAGGCATCTTTTTGTTGTGGAAGTTACATTTTGGATTCTGCTGTTTCTCTCTTATTATTATTATAATAAATAATAATTTGTAAATATTTCTAATTATATATTTTTACCCCTTCTTTATAATTAATTATTCAGGTTTAAAACTATATGTAATCTAAATCGGAATAACACAAAATAAAATAATTAGTTTTACCAAGTCGCGATAAAAGCATTCATATAATTTGTTTGTATATCTAATTCACAAAAATAAAAAAAACTTTAACCTGGGATGACGAGTAATAGTAATAATTAATAACACGACCCTAAGTTTATTTTGTTTTTAAGAAAAACGTATGCTATTTTTAGTCTAACATCGATTTCTTGTCTTGTGATGATGTATAATCGTCGCATTATTCTTGACACCCGTTGTTGTTACCCTAGGGTTGAATTTTGATGGATAACAGGACTCTAAAATCATTTTGCTTACCCTTATTGTAGTGCAGTTGGTAGTCTAGTTATTATTTATGTGTTTCCCGTGAGGAAGAACATCGTACAGAAAAATTAATTATAGCTACTTATTTTTCTGTTAAATACAGTTAGTCTGGGATTCTAATACAATTGTGTACTTATTTTCAATGTTTGGTGTTTTAGAATGTGGACCATAAGATAAAACATCGTTCCAAAAAAGGACAGTTGCCATTTGTCGAATTGAATGGCGAAGAAATTGCTGACAGCACGCTAATTATTAAAGAACTAAGCCAGAAATTTGGTAAAGACATAGATGCAGCTCTGAGCCAAGATCAACGAAACATATCACATGCCATGATCTCAATGATCGAGAACAAACTTGTTTGGTTAGTAGTCTGTATATTCGATATGATTTACATAACAAAATTTTAATTCTGTTTTGTTGTGGAAAATAGGGTGGTGACATGGTGGAAAACAAAAACCCCTGAAAATGTAATCAAGGGGTACAAAGTGAATTTGCAACATGCTCTTGGCACATGGGTGCCTAATGGCGTTCTCAACTTCTTTTTCAAATACAGCTATAGCCGAAGAGTAATTTAAAAATAATTTTTATACATTAACATACATAATAATATGTTCTTTGTGAAACATTAATTTTTATTTTACAGGGCTTGAAAAAAGTAAAAGCTCAAGGTATTGGAGTTCATAAGCCAGACGAAATTTTGGAATTTGGACAAAATGATTTGAAAGTCTTGTCTGACGTGCTCGGTGACAAATTGTACTTCTTTGGAAACGAACCCACCACTGTAATAATCCAATGCAATGTGTTTTACTTTATATTTTATAGTTTTAAAAATTGAATATTTGTTTTACAGCTTGATGTAGTAGCTTTCGCCAACTTGGCACAACTGTACTTTGTAGACAAAGAAGTTGAATGTCCATTACGCGACTACATGGTAGATAATTTCGAAAATTTAGTGGCTCACACAAATCGCATTAAGGAACGGTGTTTCCCCGACTGGGATGATATGTGCAAGAATCTGGACTTGAATAGTCATCTTCCAAAACCTCCCCCGGTAGAAGAAAAGCCTAAAGAAGACGGAGACAAGAAAAGCGCTGAAAATAAAACCGAAGCTAAGGATAAGGACGCTAAGGAGCCCGAGGAGAAAGTATGTCTATGCAACCGCAAATTTTCATGTATTTGGAATTTTGTATATTTTATATTTAATTTGTGTGTTATTACAGGGCGATGGTAAGAAAGAAGGCGAGAAAGAACCAGAAGATAAATGAGCAGTATTTGCGCTGGTTGTAACGAAGAAACAGACTCATCACCATCATTTTATATTAAGCGATTTCACCAACATTTTTGACCCACCATTATACTATTAACTAAAAAAAAAATCATACATGATATATTTGTAAGTTACGTAAATATTATGTATAAAAAATCGTAATAACTATGAATCCAACTTTTAAATTTATATTTATATACTTATGATTTTTGTACTTGCGAGGAAAAATTATTATATATACTTGCATGTCAAACGTGTGTTTGATCAAATCAACTCCATTAAAAAAAAAAACCTAAAAATGTAATTTACTGAGCGACCGACAATTGAAGCTCAGGTATTAAACGCATAACTCTTAAATATAATTATTCATTTTTATTATGTGTTACGAACGTGTTTGTTTGGGCCTATGCATTAATTGAACTGGGGACCAGACGAATTGGACCTCGATAATTCCGCTTAGCTATTACATTTCATTTTTTTTTTTAATTAATGAATATACCCATATTTCCTATTTTGGTGACAATATCCTCTCTGTACGATGTAAATTTTTCTACCATTTATATAATTTTATACATATTATTATAAATATTTTATGTTTTTAAGTGTATAAATTAATTTTATTATTTAAGTGGAAACATGTTCAACTACAACTTTCACTCTATGCCTATACTACTTGATTTTTGTTTCAAGAACAAATTATATACTATGACTGGCTATCCAATATAGAACACTACCTATTAGTAACTATTTTACTAGCATTTTCATGTTCTCTCAAAATATTAGCTATTCTCATATAATAATAATAACTATATTATTAATATTGATTTTTTTTTTATATTTATTTTATACTTTTACTATCAATTGTAATGAAAAGAATCTCGTTTGTATGATTTTTTTTTTATATATAATTTTATTAAGCCTTTAAAATAAAGTAAAATGCAAAATATATATTGTGTGTTCTGTTATAATTGAATTTTGTATAGCAGGAGTCCAAGTCTCAATTTTCATAACTTCAGGAGAGCCAGGAAACTAAAAACTCATATATATTTTTTTGTATGTATAGTATTACATAAAAGAACATATAAAGAATTCTATATTTTTAATTTACTAAAACATTACATTAGTCACGTATATGTTACGTTATTAATAATTAATATAATATTAATTATGATAGTCTGGACTTGGATCCTTCCGCTCTAGAAGAATTTTGGACTTGATGTTAATCATTTTGTTCATAAATATTGACAAATGGTCCAAGTCCTAGATTTGATAATATTTCATTGCAATGATGACAATTTCAGACCTTGTTTAAAATAGATCTGTATAAAATCTTAAAATTAGAGCATTTAGACCCTAGAGGTGTTGAGAACGGAATAAAAAGTTAAATAGGCCTAACTCATAACAATTACCATAATAATTTTGATGAAAATGGACTTGGACTGGACCCTTTTGCTGTTCGGGTTGAGAATTATACACTTTTTTTTTTTTAATTAAGTAAGTACATGAAACTTAAGCGAGAATGCATAGTTTCAGTGTGAGAATATAGTTTGATTTACAACAGCCAAGGAATAAGGATAAGCTTTGCCAACAGTTTATAATTATAGCATAACGTTCCTCAACATAATACACAACTAGCATTTATAGTTTTCACTAACTTAACATTTTAGAAATCAGCCATTCTTCCTGGTACAAAAAATAATTAAAAAACCAATCCAAAAAGTTGTATACACATAAGTGTGTAGATACTAGATAAAGAAGTTAAAATTGGCATGTGTCTCTTTATTAGAACAATAGATTTCATTAGGTTAAAAAAGGGAAAGTAGTCATAAACATTTTACTGTTTACTACTTGGTTTATTAAAATAAAAATTATAAAAAAAAAAAATGAATTTGGGTAGTTTTAAAAATGATAAAAATGTATAAAATAAAACTAATTTTTGAGTAACAGAATAGCTACATATACACAATGCAATAATGCATTATTGATTTGCTGTAAGCAATTAAATATACACAATTTGTAAAGTGAAAGAATACAAATATTGTATAATTCTTAAGTTAAATTAAACATTGTTATTTAAATATATTAAGTAATACTATTTTATCTTTGAATATATATAAATATATTAGTATAAAAATTATTTGTTTCTATGATGCTATAATACTAAGTATTTGTTATATAACTATTATGAACTAATATATACTGTAACCGTAGTTATTAATTTACCTAATACACTACACACAAAGTATATTTCTTACAAAAAAAAAAAAACCAAAATAACGCCAATTAAGATAAATAAAACATAAATGTTTAGTTATGAAATATTAAAAATATAACTACAATACACAAATAAAAAAAAATATTCTAATCGTCAACTAGAATTGTATAATTAGTTGGCTAACAATAAGTTTAAGACAAAATCTTACATTTTATTTATACAAAATGAAAGCTTCTTGTAAACACTGTTAGCATTTTTTTTTTTTTAATGAAGTTAATGTAAATAAGTCAAAAATAATGTTAAATATGATGGTCAACTTAAACAGTATTTTAAATACAAATATTTATGAATGAATAAAATAGAGGGAAAGTCAGTTGAGGTAATATAATTAGTATATTATTTGAGACTTATTTATTCATTCATAACTACTAAGTAGATTATTCAGCGGCTGGAACGTCCTCGCCTGGCAACACCACGCCCACGTCCTCCTCGTCCACCACGCGTTGGTGTTGTCTTAACCGGTGAAGGGGCTGGTTCGGCTTCTTTTACTGGCTCGGGTTCAGTTTCAGGCTGTGCTTCTGGTTCTGTAGCTGCCTGTTCAACAGCAGTATTATCATTATTGGTAACATCATTATTGGTATCATCATCTAGAACTTCAACCACAGGCACCGAACTTTTAATCTCCACAACATCATCGTCTACTTCATCAGTGCCATTCTGTTCAGTGATAGTTTTGTCATCTCCATTTTCCTCTAAACGTGGTCGTTTATCAACGTGTTCATTTTCAATTTCAGCTTCAGCTTGTGCATCTCCATTTTCAGTTTCCTTTTTGTTGTCATCTTTCATTTTGCGTTTTCGGTTATTAATTTTAGCCTATAACAAACAATAAAGTACCCTTTCTATAAACAAATTTTGCAATTTTAAAAAATTATAATTCGTGCTAATAATTAAATTAACGTAAATAAACTTTTTTTTAATAGTAAAAACTCAAAGCTAACAAATGTGCCTTTGGAAAACAAATATAATTTGTATATATAAATGTTGCTGATTTTTTCGAATTAAAATTGTTTAATATTATCTGGAAAATGATAAAAAATATACATTTACAGTTTTTAAATCCAAAACAGATATAATTGTAATGTAGGTAAAGTTAATATTACTTAATAAAATTTAAAACTATAAGGGGGGGGTTTACTATATGTTATATTAATATCTGAAATTTAATTTTAAAAAAAATTAAGCAATAGGGTATAAGGCTAGCTCATAAGTTTTGTTTTAACACTATTATCAAGTTTAAATACTTAAAATACAACTAATATTAGTAAAACTTACATGCAGTTTTGTAATTGTAGTAAAGTTAATATAATGTGATGCTGTTTGACAATGTAAATTGGCTTCTTCATCGTCTTTCATAAATACAGAACAAATACGGCAAACAAATCCTCCGGTTTTCACCACTAGTTCGCGACCAACAACATTTGCTGGATTATATTTTTCATCTTTTTCTTTTTTATTTTCCAATTCATCATCCTTAGCATTTTCATTAGTGTCATCTTCTTTTTCCTTATCATTCTCGCCATCAACAGCTTCAGCTTCAACATTATCAGTGGACATGTTATTTTTTTCACTTGGTTCATCATCATTTTCTTCTTTTATTTCTTGATCATCAATCATATCGGTTTTAGAGGCTACTGGAATTTCTTCAGCCTGCTCATCATCTTCAATTTGAATTACGTCAAGTAATTCAAATTCATCGTCTTTCAGATCGGGATTGTGTTGGCGTCGTTGTTCACCTACCTTACGCAAATGGTCAGCAGATAATTTATGGTCATCCCATTCCAAACGCGTATGGAATAATGTATCACACATTTTACATTCTGGATGTAAGAATTGTTTTAATTTCTAAAAAATAAAAATAATAATATCAATATTTGCCTACCCCTGATAAAACAACAATACTTTTTAAATTAGTTAACTTCCCACGCTTAATAATTTATACCAGATTTTACCAACAATTTTATTCACGGTTATCCGTAACCCCCTAAATTGGCTGGTTATATATGCTGTATCGGGCCTGAATAATATTATTATTATTAATTCAATAACCTACAGTAGGATGTCATAACTCATAAATTGGTAAATTGGGGTTCTTTATGACAATTTGGTTACAGATATTTACAGTAGGTATTCCAAAAAGCGGTAAAATGTTGTACGGCAGGGAGTTTTCATCAAGCTATAATTGCTTATATGAAAATTAATAGTTAAGAATGCATTTTGCATGAAAAGTGTGATTATATTTTATTATTTTGGATTTTTTTTAAAACCATGATTGTACTTACACGATGCCGGTCACTTTTACGATGGCCAGTCAAAGGACCATAGAAATTTATATTGCACATAGGGCAGTAATTGCGGAACAAAGGCTTTGCTTTGCCTTTGTTCTGAGCTTGCATTCGTTCCAAATCAATTTCTCGCTGATTTTCAGCCGCCTTAATTTGATGGCGCATGAGTTCAACTTGCATTTTGTAGCCTTCATCCAAATAAGTCATCATTAACTCATGAGGACGACCACGAACATGTTTTTCAAAAGACTAAAATAAAAATAGTATTACGTTTACTTAATTATTTATAATTTTGACTAATTCAATTATGTGTAGACATTTACAATTCAAACATTTTATCATACTTACAGCACCATCCCACATATGCTTTTGACAAACATGACAAAACAAAACAGCAGTCGGTATACCATCATAATCAACATGTTCCTAAAAAATGTTAAACAAAATTATAAAAGGTTGACAATGGTACAAACAAAAATACTTATAATATAGTATTTAAAAAGGTATTTATTGTTAATTATTGTGATTTACCCCACAAATAAATTATTTTCCAACGTTGACTGATAAAAAAACCTAATTTTTTTTATTATATAATAATAAAATCATCAAATGGAATACATTAAGAACAATATCATTGATAGCAAGAATTCAAAACATAAAGAAATTAAAAGTGTATGGATATTAACTACAACTCTTTACATTTATGTACGTTTTAACATTGATTATGAATAATACAGATAGCCCACTGGCATGTATTTTTTGCTGAGCATAAATTGTTGCTGTTGTAGAGCGCTTTATACTGTTTTTAGTTATGGCAATTAGTACAGTGAGCGCTGACGATACTAACCGCCATAACTAAAAACAGTATTAAGCGCTCTACAACGGCAACAATTTACGCGCATCAAAAATACATGCCAGTGGGCTATCTATATTATTTATAATCAATGGTTTTAAGTAAATTTACGATAAAGAGTATCTTAAATATTGTAGTAAAAACTAAGAATGTTGTATTTCTTACAATTTAATCATTAATAAAGCTATGTTCTCAGTATTTAATTAAATTAAATAGTTCTTATAATACTTATGAAAAAACGAATTATATATCATAACTAAATATATATTTTTAGATATCATAACTGTACATACATACATCATAACAATATAACAAAAATTATATACCTTTTCAGTCGAATCTTTTTTGGTTCCTTCAACATTTTCACCACTAAAATTAAAAATAAATAAATTAACACTTAATTATTACAATTAAAAAAAAAAAAAATATACTGTTAAAAGGAATTTTAAAGAAAATGTTTTTAGTTGGAAAGCTAATTTTACAACTAAATTTCAATTTTCTGGATAAAAGGAAACTGAAAAATGGGACAAAAATTGTTGTTATTAATTTTATTATAACATATTTTGACCATTAAATCATTTATGATGGCTGTAGTGATTGTCCGTTGTAAAATGTGACCAATATTATAATAACACCACATCGATATAAGTTTTGAACACAACAATCAAAAGACATAATAACTATTGATTATTTAGTGAATTTAAAATCACAAATGTCTCTTAGTACCTAATTAAAAATCAAAAAAAAAATAATACATGGATTCAACTGAATATTAATATATGATTTAATTGAAAATTATGTATCCGACACTAATAATAAATTTGTTGTTTATAATAAATATGTCAATAAATATAAGTATTAAGTATTTCAAGTCTGTTTAAATTTCAATATAAACAAATGTTCGCAAAAGTAATTGATAAGCCAATGAAGCTAAAATAATAATTTGTTGTGAAATAAATGTTTTGTAAGTGAATAAAAAATGATTTGTATGTATCTCCAATAAAATACTTAAAATTAATAAATAAATAAATGTACTGTATAGAGATGGTAAAATGCAAATTATTAAAATTTTAATATAAAACTGTATTATTATATGTCTTATGAATAGAGCTCGTAAGTTAATGCATTAAAGTTATGTTTACAACTTAACTTAAACTACTAAAAATTGTATAAAATAAAATCAGAAATTTTGCTTTATAACGTAAAAATAGGAAATTAATAATATATTCAATTGTATCAATAAAACAAATTTGCATCATTAGAATAAAAACACATTAATTGCCTTATGATACAATTCTGATAAGAATTTATAAGATTCCAATTTTCTGCAACTAGAATTGTGTAAGACGTATATTTTTAAAAATAATTTTAGTACAAACATCTACTAGGCTCATTCACCTTATCAAGTCTGTATGAGAATAACAAGGCATACGACTCAAAGAAACAAACAGTCAGCATTTTTATGTAAAGCATGTCATTTTTCTGTGAAAATATTCTTTTATTAGTTTTCCCATAAAATGTATTAGTTAAAAAGAGTACCTAATCAAATATCTGTAATAATATTTTGAAAAATGGAGAACTAAACAAATTTCAGTGAATACATCACAAATAAAACACAGCTGCATGAACTTACGAACCTAACTTATGATTAATGCATTAAATAGAAGCTTAAAAACTAAATACTTACTTGATTTAGTATTATCTAATAGTGTGCTTAATAAACTTGTACTCATAAAAATATCATAATTTTAGAACATATGTAGTTATATAAAATTAGGAAGAAAAATAAAACACAAGGGTATAAGTAATTAGAACTTATAGTTTAGTCTAGTAAAGATTCTAAAACTTCAAAAAATAATAATATATATAAATAATATATGGAATGGAATGTTTGGGCAGATAACTGAAAAAATTGCCAATGCCTTTATTAAGAGCAGCGAAGAAATATATAAATATGTGTTTATATATAATTCCGGAATAATAGATTTTATGAAATGGTTCCTTACCTCTTATCATTTTTATCCGCTTCAGGTTTAGAATCCTTTTTCTTATCGTCCTTTTTTGGAGGAGGTCTACGATTGCGATTATCAGGCCTGCGCCGGTTTTGGTTCTGGCAGTTATCAAACAATCGATCAATTATTGTGCCAGGAACATAGAGATTCGATAGAGCACAACAAATGAAAAAATAAACTCGATGAGAATATGAAATTTGTTCGATAATTCGATTGCCAGCGAAACAAATCAGCCAGCTCCAGAATTCAAATTGCCAACGGCAACAGGCCAAATTCAAATTAGCTAAAACGCTCATCAAAATATAATTGGCAAATCGAAATTATAATTACAGAAAGTGTAGATATACTAAAAATAGGTTTACACGCTAAACAAAAACCTATTGAAGCAATTCCCTAATAGGTAGTATTAGGATTTTGTTCTTTCTAAAAACCTATCTCTTTTATTTGATTTAATTTATTTTACAATATTTGTGATACCTTAATACTTAATGATTTTCATTAGCAAAAACAAAATTGTACCTTATAAGAATCTTGTCTTCTCATCATTCCTGGACTTTGATTCCAACTTTGACTATTTCCATATCCACTCTAAACAATTAATTGATACTGAATTATACAATTTTTTAACTAAAAACACGTTGTATTAAAAAATAAAAATTACAATTAACACCTTGGTTGTATAACTGATAATTAATTGTTTAATTTATCATATTTATTCTACTAGTTATGATAATAATTTAAATCCTATAAGTGTGTACATTTTACACTATTTATAAGAATATAAATTGTATATTTCTAAACGCTGGACTGAAATTTAGTATCAGATAAAGTTTTGTACAGGCGTTTCATCATTTATGTTTTTGTAACAAATTTTAATGCAACATGCTCTTACAAGTAGAACGGTAAATTAAAGTAAAGTATTTACTAATAGTAATTAGTACCTGATGATCATTAGCAAAAATTTTCGATAACAAATCACTAGCTATTGCCATTTGAGTAGGATGAACATTAGGCATCATATTTCCACCAGGAGAAACTCCCGATTCCCATGGGCTCATTTTAGGATTTCTATTGTAGGTATTATAGTTGCTGTATCGACCACTGGCTCCTCCTCCTCCTCCTCCTCCATTGTAGTTATTGTTTCCACCATAATTATTGCTGCCTCCATAACTATTATTGCCTTGACCATAGCCACTACCGAAGTTACCACTGTTTCCTCCATAGCCACCACCACTTCTACGATTGTACGACATTTCCTGTAAACATTTATTTTATTTAAACAACTATGACAATGACAACTATGGATTGGGCTACTTATTAACTTATAAGTTTTAATGTAGAATCAAGTAGTTATTAAGTTTGCGGTTTTTTTCAAATGAACTTTTAAACGCTACAAAATAAATGAATTTATCATAAAAGAATAAAAGATCTGTACAGAAACCAAAATACGTTACTCCTAGCTGCACAGGCGCATTCAACAGTAACATGTTTTGATTTTTGCATGGATGCAATCTCTCCATAGTACCAAATTTATTGGCATAAGATTAAAATATATTTAAAATGTATGACCATTGAAATAAGGAACTAGGTACTCTTAATAGTTTTAGTACAAGTAGTTCAGTAAAAAAAAAAATAACAAAAAGTAATGTTTACGAAATACAAAACCTCTAAATTTATTACTACTACTCCCTAAAAACCCATGATTAAGTAGTTAAATTGTACTTCTGCTTAATTAATCCAATACCTATAATATTTTTTTTGTTGTATTATATTTTTGATAAGAGACTCTTGTTTTGAACAATAATTATCTTGTGTAAATTAGTATGAATTCTGTACAATTATTAACCGTGGAAAAATAGATGTCAACACTTTACAAATATCTATTATAAATTTATTTTTATTCAAATAGTGTCGCCTGAATAAATAAGTGTTCTGTGGAGACAAGCCACAGTAACCAAGTACCTTGTTATTACTTTTAACCAATACATTTTATGACAATTAAGTAGTAGAATGTAAGGCGACATTGAACAAGTGTAACCTTTTTTAATATTCAAAAGTAGCTAACAATATATTGTGATGACCTATAATATTTACAAATATGGAGCACACTATGTGGTAGAATTAGAACACAGTAGCCGTACACTTACTATTTTAAAGATGACAACAATTACTCTGGATTCGTTGATGGAATATGACGGCTAACTTGATATGTGTTTAGCAAACGATTGCGAATATTTGAACACAGAAAACACCGATGACAATACGACACATAGACACACACGACACAAGATACGCTAAAAGCATTCAATAGATTTAATGTGCGAACGCCGCAACTAAAATGGCGGAAACAGACGCTGAAATTCGTAAGAGGCAAGGGATTACAGTGTCGCCAATATAAGTCATGGATTCATAAATTATTAACGCCAGTCCTCATTATTATTTAACCGGGTAATTTGAATCAATGAACATTAATATCATTAATCCAAAACTAACACGACTTATATGGGAATAGTTGAACAAAGTATTACTAAATAATAATAAAAGTATATTTAATTTGTTATATAGCATAACAGTTTTTGGTTTTTTGTTTTGAACTTTTGCGTAGTAGCTAAACTAATAACAATTATGAATAAACTACTAAATATGTATTCATCCAACTAAACCATAACACTATTCATTCTTGGATACTTGGTAGTCACATGAATAACAATATGTACATAAGATTCTGATTAGTGATTACGATTTATGGACAACGAATGCTTTGTATTCACACGACTTGCTTACAATCGGTGGTGGTGGGACACTACTCAAACCTTTCAACTAAGGTAAAAAACCCCGTGTCAGCCAGCGTAACTATAGTTATAGGGACTAAAGCGCTAATGGGCAAGGCTTCGCCACTGATGTCAACAGACTTCATTTGACTCGACCGTGGCTAACGCTGATTTCTGATGTAGGTACTCATTTAATCAGTAAATTATAACACATTAAAAAAAACAATCATATTTTCGAGACGATAATACGATATCAGATATATATATTTCTGCAAAACTTGCCTTCTGTAGTCTCATTTTTCAGCGTACCCATGTACTTTATGGTTCATACGCACTGGCCATGCTAATATTCACTAAATCATTACAATTTTAATAAAATATGTACTGTCGTCTGTCAAAGTAAGTATACTTTTTGTATTTTAAATACGTATAGAGATCAGTATTAAAAATGTGCTATTATATAATTCTGCCAATTTGGGTTCGATTTATTAAAGTGCAACCTACAGGCAAATTTTGTCAAAACATAATATTAAATATATTTATAAATTATAAACTCGGCTTAAATGACTAACCGCAGTGGACGACAATGAATCCGTATTCTGTTTGCCAGGCGAGCATTGAGCAATCGTCTGGTGAAAAGGAACCGCAATTCCCTCTCCGGCAACAGACTGACGACCCATCCCAGACAGCTAATCTGTCTAGAATCCACATCACCTCATGATAGCAGCGTTGTTCTATTTTTCTACTATAAAATCAATGTTAATAACTAAAAAAAAATGTATCACACTTTCCCGGACGTTTCCCAAGATAGCGAAATAGTATAAAATAACATTCAATAAGTTTAAAAAGAAACTTGCTAATTAGTGAATACTGCCGTCTTAATAACTTTAAAATTGACCATTTAACAATGCTAATTAGTCACATTTAATCAGTTGCTTACATGCTTATTTATCTTTTTGACCGGAGAGGTCTACCGGTCTTTCGGAGAGGTCTGCCTGCACAGTTTTTTTGGAGCGTGTGTGTGTACGCACAGGTACACAGTACGTCGTCACTCGAAACAATTGATTTTCGATCTTGCACCGGTCGCTGGTGCAAATTAAAAAAACTGCACAAGTCTATTCCCACACACGCTCCGGCTTATCTGTGCAGGCAAACCGGAACGTGTATGGCCGGCTTTACAGTACAGGTTCATACTATGACAGTTTTTACTGTAGTTAATTTCATCTGTGACGGATTAAGTATAACATTTATAAAGCAGTATATTTTATTTTAATGTTATATTTGTAGGTGAATAAAACAATAATTGGGGTCACATTTTAATTTTATATAAAATTAAAAATTATTTTTCGCAAGTGGAAATACAGGGATCTTAGAAGTTTTTTTTTTATTTAACACATTACTAGTATCATAAAGTCCAAGAATACGCACAAAAAATGATTTTTCGGTGATACAATTTATCATTTAGATTCTAAATATTGTGTCTCGACTCTCGCAATAGTATACACTAAAGTGACCAGATCAAAATTCTATAAAAGCGGGACAAGTATTCAATAGGAACTAGAGGAAGTGGGGTATCCCTCCTCATAAAATAGTACTCGTAGGATTTAATCTCCCTTAATAATTGGTTTTGGGTACACCTTTATTTCTTCATGCTAAAATTAGACAGTGCAAAAAAAAATCATAATCAAAATAGGATAAAAATCAAAATTTAAATCAATTTTTCATTGAACATAAAATATTTATTTTATTAATACCTTAATAAAATTAAGTATATTATATACTTAACAAAAAAATTATAAAAACAAAATGTAACTTTAAAAAACAAGTATTAAATATTATAACAAGTAAACTTATAATTATAATCAAAGTAGGATAAAAACCAAATTTAAATATACTTAATACAAATTTATAAAATATTTAATACAGATAAAAAAATTATTAATACTTAGTATTTATCATTTGATGCAATAGATTTGAGCAATAAAGGAGATTTTTTATCAGTTGTAACCATAGATATATATAGAAATTTTTATAGGTCTATGGTTGTAACCACTTGGGTTTCATTTCTAAAACCGTGGTTACCTATAGCCGATTGAGAGTCCAGATCATAACGTCCAATGTCTAGGTATCTATGACAATAAGTGATATCACAGTATAGATTATAGAAACTGTACAAAATAAACTGATGTGATCTGATGGAACACAAAATATACACACCATAAGTGAAAATAAGAAAAAAATAATTATTGTTTGAAATCGGGACGTCGATTAAAAGTCGGTACATTTTACTGTCCCGATTTGATCACCATATTTAGCGGGACACCTGCTTGAATATCGGTACTGTCCCGCCAAAATCGGGACGTCTGGTCACACTAGTATACACTGAAAATTTGTATTATCTTTGTTAACATTCATGTCTCTGTCTGGGTCCGGGGATAGAATAGACCCATAGTATTCCCTGCTAGTCGTAGAAGGCGACAAAAAGGGACTGAGGAAGGGCAGCAGCTTTCTCAGTACTGGATGCAAGTAGAGACCTAGATGGTCGGTATAGTTTCATACCAGAAAGCCGTAGGCGGGAATGACAGTCATTTTGACGACTACGGTACTGCGATGTGGAAGGAAACGGGAAACCACCACATAATATATTCCCTAGTATCCGCAGCATGAATTGCCTCAATGTAAAAGGATATGTAGACGGTAAAACTGGAAGAGGATGACCAAGAATGGAATACTTTCACAGATTATGAAGGACATGGAAATTGGTAGTTATCGAGATCTAAAGGAGCTGAGTTTTAACAGAGAAGCTTGGAGAGCTGCGGCCAACCAATTGAGAGATTGAAGACCGAAAAAAAAAACATTCATAATACATATATTTTATGTTTGTGAATACAATTTAATGACTTCATGATACCACATATTATGTATAAAAAAAAAGTTAGGGGTTGAAAAATTCTTTCAGTTATTCAATGTTTGGACAAAACTATTAATATCATATTCTTCTTCATAAATTTTAGTATCCCATAATTCTGGTAAATTTTCAAGTACAGATTTGATTGAGTTACTCGACAAACTGGTAGGTTTATTCTTATCCTTGGGCGATCTATCCAATGAAAACAAATCTAGTAGCTGTAAAAAATGGCATAAATGTGCATATTATACACCATGATTAAATAGGTCATTTTAGGAGGACTCCGCAGGTACTCTAGTTTTTTTAAATTACTTTGTCTGTTCCCATTGTTTGTAGACTAGAATTTTCAGAAGTTATTACTGTATTGGCAGTTTTCAATTTAAATTTTTGAAAGCTAAAACATTATAACATAATATAGAATATAATAAACATTGTAATTATTATTATTTTAGTTACTTCATAATTTTTTCTTCCAACGTTGATCTGGTTATTAAACGGTATACATTGACTACTTTCTTTTGACCTATTCTATGAGCACGATCCATTGCTTGAAGATCTCTCATAGGACTCCAGTCATGTTCAACAAATATAACCTGATTACATCATAAATAGTAGTAATACTTTACAAATAATAAAATGATAATGTTGTAGTAATTACTGTATCTGCTCCAGTTAAATTAAGTCCTAAGCCACCAACTTGGGTAGTCATAATAAGTAAGTCTATAGATGGATCAGTATTAAAGCGATTGACAAGCGAGTATCTTTGAGAAACGGGTACACTGCCATCCAAACGAAGGTAACAAACACTTGGCAAATGGACTCTAAAATAGTACATTCTATAACTGTCTAAATACTCATCAACATATATATATATATAAAAACACAGATATGTATCCTTACTTAAAGAGATCATTTTCAATAATATCTAACATGGCTTTAAGTTGACAAAATATTAATGCTCTATGTTGATTTATTACAGGTTCATCACTACTAGCTAATCCAATGCCACAATCCAATAAAAGTTGCCTATATTTGAATAAAACAAAAACAATCATACAAATTGAGTTTTAAATAAATATGGTACATACTTTAAAGCAGGTAATTTTGCAGCGTGTTGAATGTCTGTTAAAGTAGAGTTTGCTTTTTTAATTTGTTCAATTATTACAGAATACTGTGGATGTTGTGGAGTAAGCACTAATTTTGGATGATTACATACATTTTGTAAATAACGTAAAGCCTGTAATAATTTAGTTTAATAATTATTAAATAATCCAAACATTGAGTTACACTCATAAGTAAATGATTAACTAATGTTACCTGTAACATGTTATTTTTGTTAGTAGAATGAGAAGCATCATCTGTTGTTTCTGATACTTGTTTATGAATATGTGTTTTTGAAAAATCTTCATAAAGCTGTTGTTGGACAGAACTTAGATCACAATAATAATCCTGTAATTACAACATAGAAATTAAATTATATTTTACATAAATAATATAATAAAGCTACGTTATTCGAATTGTCCAAAATTAAAGGATTTAAATCCTTTATATTACCTGAGTAATTTTTGGAGGTAGATCACTCAAAACATCTTCTTTCATTCTACGCAAAACAAATGGTAACACTTGACGATGTAATGCTTCCATTGCTAAAACTCCTACAAAATAAGTTTAATAGTTTTATTATAAATTAAAATTAAAAGTTTGCATTATAAATTACCAGCTTCTTGTTCTTTAGAAGAACATTTTGCATCTCTACTAGCTAAAATTGGTTTACTGTACTTCGCAGCAAATTGTTTTTCAGTGCCCAAAAATCCAGGCATTAAAAAATCAAATAATGACCATAATTCCAAAACGCTATTTTGTATTGGTGTACCAGATAAAACAAGACGGTGATTTGCTTTTACTTGTTTAATGGCCAGACTAGCTTTTGTCTTTCCATTTTTTATAACATGACATTCATCTAATATACAGTAATTGAACTGTATTTTACTAAAGAACTCTATATCCTTACGTACAATATCATAAGATACAACAAATAAATTGTATTCATCTGCAAGCACTTGTAATCTATTTAATTTAAAAAAATCAAGATTTATTACATTTAATTATTTGATAAAAATAACATTATCATTTTACTTCTGTCTTTCTAAAGGCAATCCAGAGTATTGCAATGGTTTTAAAATGTCACTGGGTATAAATTTTTCTATTTCGTAAATCCAATGACCAAGCAGTGTAGGAGGACATACTACTATTGATGGTAAAAGAACTGGGGAGAGGGTTTTCTAAACAATATATATAATATATATTTTTTACAAACACAAATTTTAAATCAGCAATATAAATTATAAATAATTGTTCTTACCGTATATTTTTGTTTCTTGATATAATGGTCGCTTGCTAATATACACAATGACTGTATTGTTTTTCCCAAACCCATGTCATCACATAAAATTCCATGTAATTTATACTTATTCAAAAAAGCCAGCCAGTTTACTCCAGTCTGTTGATAAGACCTTAATTTTGCATTTATGACAATTGGAACTTGAAAATCTTCAATTTGATTAGGATTAAAAAGTTGATCCAAAAATTGACGTTGCGACTGTATTAATTTATTCATACTGTCACTCAAATTTGGTGGGATAGGTACAGCACCATCTAGTGGCATCAATTGAATAAGAGTGGCAAAACATTGGGATGCTAATTTACGCACACATTCAACTTGATCACTTAAACGACCTATAATAAAATATAAGATGATACATAAATTACATAATATAATATTAATCTTACAATTACCTAATATTGGTATCATTAATAATACAATATATGGAACAATATCAAATTGCAATTTGTCAACAACACAAGCAACTGCTTCAATAGCTCCTTTTCTTAAAACATCATTATCAGCCGCATCAAGAAGAGGTAAAATATCTTTAATAACAGCTGTCATGGTAAATACAGCATCCAAATCAAGAGATGAAGCTATACAACGAGCAGCCATGTGCCTGATAGCTGAGTATGGATTCATAAGAAGTTTTGTAAAAAAAGGTAACAATTCCAAGAGCTAGACAATTTTTTTTAATTTTAATAAGTAAGTCGTTATTTACATATCAATAATTAATTTCTAATAATATTAAGTTTGTACACTATACAGTACAAATTTACCTTTTGAGTATAACATTTGTGCATTTTTGAACATGATACTTCATACACTTGTAAGTTTCTAACAAGTTCTTGTGCTGCATCATCATTATTTTTTAATACACTTGTATCTAAAATTATGTAAAAAATTAAGTATCAAAGATACAAACAATTTGGTAGTTTAGACAAGTCTTATTTTATAACTACTACTCATTGATGGGCAAAAATCTATGTATAAAGTTTTTAAGAATAAAACGTCTAACCTAAAATGTATAAAATAATTTATAAGCATACTCGTCAACTTTGTATACCTTAAGTTTAAGAAAATGTAATTTTAAACTAACAGAATTAAAATTTATCTATAAAAAATAAAAAAATAAAGAGAAAATGTTGGTTCTTAGAATACATAATACATTTGTAGTTAAATAATAAATAATTTTTATTAAAAATTAGGATTTTTAAAGTTTTGAATCCTATCAACATACATATATTACTATACATAAATCATAATGCATATTCTAACGTTAGATTAATTACAATGTCAACAAATATATGAAAAGCTTTAAAAAGGAAGTACACGACCATTCATTGAACCGAACCAATCGCATCGTAGGAGGCATTTGTTGGGAGATTTCCCCTTACCATATGATTGCCACCCAGTATTGCTCAATATTATTTTATATATATATTTTTCAAAATGGTACATTTTAGAAAAATACCAATTAGAGAATGCTAAAATTAATACTTCAGTAATTAATAATAATTAAGATGATACAATTTCTTCTTTAAGAAGATATTTACATTGAAGTGTGAAACATATTTAACTCAATAATAAAAAATATCCTCCTTGTACTTCCTTGCACAATTACCTTCATATGGATACCATCTCACAGCAAAATACCAGGTAACGAATACGTCGACAGAATAGCAAAAGATGCATCACGAAACAGGCCCCTATCAATCAAAGACATGCAATTATCAATTGACATTGCATTGACAAGGCAAGAGACTTTCAACAAGCTGTACCAGATTAATCCAACAATAACAAACACTAAAATATACTATAACATGTAGAGAAAAGATTAAACAACTCTAAGAAGAATACACATTGGACGCTCTTAAATTACCATCTCCAGCTCATCACCAAAGAACTACAACCTAAATTTAAAGCATGCTACTCAGATCTCACAATCAAAACATATCATTCTTGAATGTCATCACTGGTCAAAAGAAAGGAACATTTTTGGTGACACCACATTATCAACCAAAATTAAACCAAAATTATACCTAAATTATTTTATTATTTAAAAAAGATAAACATGTACAACAATTTTTAAATGTAAAATTAGTTTAAAATGTATTCCAAATAATTCATATTGTAAATAACTAACTTATGTCTGACTAATAGTCTAGATACTGAAGTCATAATAAAAAAAAAAAAATAATATATAAGCTTACTTGAATCATTAACAGAAAAATTCAAATCATGTATGCTGTCATACACTATTTCAGTAAGCCGAGGCAGTTTAGTTTCCAAATCCTTCCCAAAATGTAAACAAATAGTTTGCAAAGTATAAAATGCCCCTCTCCTTTGAATCCCATTCAACATTTTAGTATCCTATAAAAATATTAAAAAATACATGTTATATATATATATATTATATATAATGTTACTAAATTTAGCCATTAGTATACCTGACTTTCTTCACTAGGTAATATTTCAATTCTTATATCACATTGTGTTGGAGGTCTACCGGGACCTCTACTTCCGTTTCGCTTCATAAGTAACTTTTCAGCATTCTACATTTAAGTAACAATTAAACAGGGTTCCGTAACGTAACGAAATATAACGTTATAAACTCAATTATTTTGTTCACCAAAATTAAGTTCACAGAACATAACATAATATTAGGATATGTTCGGTGAACGTTATATATTTTTTGGTCTAAGAACGTTATAACTTTTTTTACTCCGAGAACGTTATACCGAAAAACGTTTTAAATTTATTTGTTCCGAGAACGTTATAACCAAGAACGTTATAACTTTTTTTACCCTGAGAACGCTATAACGAATAACGTTTTAAATTTTTTTGCTCCGAGAACGTTGTAACAATAACCGTTATGACTTTTTTTACCCCAAAACGTTATACCGAAAAACGTTTTAAATTGTTTTGGTCCGAGAACGTTACAACAAAAACCGTTATAACTTTTTTTACCCCGAGAACGTTATACTGAATTTTGCTATACAAATATAAGTTATTCGGTTAAATGTTCTCAGGGTGTATAACTATATAACAATATTTATAATGACGTTCTTGGAACAAATACATGACGTATAGGTAAAGATATAAATTTTCAATTTATATTTTATAATGTTCTCAGACCAAAACAATTTAAAACGTTTTTCGGTATAACGTTCTCGTAGTAAAAAAAATTATAAGGTTTTTTGTTAAAACGTTCTCGGAGCAAATAAATTTAGAACGTTATTCGGTATAACGTTCTCGGGGTAAAAAAAGTTATAACGTTATTCCTAGTTAACGTTCATGAACATAATTTTGAACTGAACGAATAAATAACGGTTAACGGAACCCTGCAATTAAATAACAATTTTTACTTATTAGAGAATTGTTATTTTTACCTGTTGTAGTTTTTGATGTGTAAGAATCAAATTATACTTTGTATTGTCATCAACACCCTACAAAAAAAAATTTTTTTTTACTATAGTATTTTTTAAATAATCCATACCTATTAATGATAATTAACATACCTAAAATGTACATGTACTGTGTAAATATCTAACAACTTTATTGTAAAAGTAATTATTGAGAATAAAGAAAGAAATGTCTTTATTTTCATAATAAATGCATATTCTTATCTAGACATATTTTGTCAAAAAGCGAAGGGAAAAAATGTAACTATTATTTTATAATTAAATCCTTCACATTTTTTTTTTCGACATAATAATTTTATATTAAATATATTATAGACAATAGATATCTAACGCTAATGTTATAATCAACAAGACTAATATACCATTATTTCTGGATATCATAGAAGTAAAATCTAGTTTAAAATACAAAAAAAGGAAAAATTGTCTTCTAGAAACCTAAGTAAAATTTTTTGATGAAAATTTAAAAAAAAAGCTTAACTTTGACTGTTAATTGATTTTGGATTTTAACATATCAGAAATCCAAAAACAGTGTATCTTTTTGGTGTTGTATTATATTTTTACATTTTTACAGCTTTATACTGTAAAAATTCAGACCTCCGAATTCCAATCATTAATGGGCACACACAATTCATACACAAAACCAATGTAAATAATTTTTACTTACTATTTTTGGCGTGAAGTCTGTGTCAACACACAGAAAAGAACATAAATTATTGGCTATCGTCGAGTTTGGACATAATGGCCGATTTACACAAAAATCCATAAGTATTGCCAAATGATCCGCAGATCTTTTCTAAATATAAAGTTCAAAGATTAACAGATAGCATAGATATAATAAAATATTCGTAATATTTTTAACCTGTATTATTTCATTTTGTTCTTTTTTTATGGACTCCATCAAAGGTTTGACAACAGGTCGTATTTTTTCAGGTAGACACTGAAGCATTGTTAATGCACCTGCTAGAGATGCTTTTGTTCTAAACAATTTATAAAAATTGAATTTAAAACATAAATACAGATTTGAAATTACATACGATAAAGTTAATGCAGCAAGATCTGCATTTATTTGCTTCTGTGTATAATACAATGAGAGTCTTCTTTCTTCCAGCTGTTGCATAATTTTTGGTCTATTTTTAAGTGAAGTTAATAAAACTGAATCTGGTGCAGTAAGCTGTTCAATTTGTTCCAAGGTTACAACCTTAAGAATATGTAAGATGTTAGTTAACATAATATATGTTCAATAGAAATCACTTATAACAACTATCAATTGTGCATTATTTAAAAAAAATGGTTTGATTTTTGTGTATTCAGGGGTGTTCTAAATACTCCCACTGCTGAATATTGACAAATTAAAGGAAGACAAGTAATTTTTGCTATTTTTTCTACAATAAATAAAAAATTATCTTTAATTAATTCATTTATTATTCAATTATTTATTTACAAAATTATGTTATTCATCATTTGTTTATCTATAAAACAATTCATAAATTAATAGAATGTTTATTCTGATTCCACAAAACATTATGCTCATTGTGTAAATATAAAACTGGGTTGAAATTAAACCCAAGATCACTCGACTTGATTTACATTTTTTATAAAAAATTATTTAATATAAATTAATAGATTTAAATTTTGACAAACATAGTTAACACATTTTTTATACCCCATAGTCAGTACTCATTATAAATATACAGATACCAAACAACCGTAAGGCCCAAAATAAAAACATTCGAGGTTTTCATTCATGAATTATAACTTTATGAAGAACTAAGCAGATATTACTAAATTTGTAGTAAAATAATTATGAATCATTTTCTAATAACATCCTGTAAACAATTTACTATTAATTGCTGCAATTTACTTTATAGGTAGAACAATACTTTACAACTGTTATAAATATTATTATCTATCACACTGTTATTGTTATATTTTGAGGAATTCTGGTTTATATAACTATAGTAGTAATGTTTACATGCAGCTGATAGATACTTAATGTTATAACAATATATCACAAATATTTTGTATAAAAATAATATTTTTTAGAGCTGGTCTGGACCAATTAACTTTGGTTTATAATAGAATGCATTAATGTTTAGACCATAAAAGTCAATTTGTAATATTCAGTATAATGTAACAAGCTATGTTGTTATAAGTTATTTTTATTATTTAAATAAAACAATTTTTTTTAAAAGTAAAAATGTTTTACTAATATTTACTTGGTTTAACTGAAGAGGTATAGGTAGCTTGTAATGTTTTAAAGATGAATGATAGTCGTTAGCATCTTGAATAAGCTTAGTCATGGAGTAGGACATTTCATCGTAATAAATCACTCGATTCATACATTCTGTAATTTTTTCTGTTAAAATTTTTGAAGCTGAGCTATCAATTTTTTGTTGTTTACTCCATTCTGATATAACTATAGATGCCATTCTTTGCTGCATAGCTACATTAGAATCTAAATGACCAATTAAAAGCTTTGTATAACACGCTACTGGAGATTCACTTTCATTTACGTAGCAAACATTGGGAGCCGGTTGAACTATGTAGCTAGATAACAAACCTATAATGATTAAAAATATATAAATATAAATAAATAATATATAAATAAAACGAAAATAATTCATACCTAACATTTCTGCCCCTAACTGTCTAGCTCTATTAGCATTTTTCTCCCGTTGTTCTACAGGAATTGCTTCACTCCCTCCTATGTAGTACTTAATATCTATACTTGATTCATTTATTTGATTCTCTACCTAGATTAAATAGAAGAAAAATAAATAAAGAAGTCTTGTCTAGAGGCTACGATTACATGGGTATTAAAAACCATGAGTACCAGTGTAAATAAGAAACCCTGGTTTTAACCCATGTAATTAAAAATACCCAGGCACCTAGGCATTAACTTATAATACCTGGGTAACAAACACTGGTACCAGAGTATTTGTTTTACTTGTTCAAAACCGTTACCCCTAGTTTTGTCAGAATGATTTCTCATTTCAAGAATTAATATTGATTGAGAAGCAATATTAAGTTAAAAAAAAAATGTATTACTTTCATAGGAGCTTCTGTAATATTTTGAATAATATTTGTTACATCATATGGTATTTTTTCAGATTGCATGGTCATTGCTAACCACAATCCAACAAATGGACAAACAGCATTTAAAACAGCTGTTAAAGTGCTATGAGTCAACAAATTAATCCAAACCTGCAAAAATATATATATATATTTTAATCAAAAATGTCTAATGCCAAACAAACATAATAAAAATATATAAATATTTTGTATGTATACCTCTTTTACTATATTTTGTATTTCCTCATCTGGCTCAATCATAGCTCTAAAAAAAATTAATCTCATAGCATCTTGAAGTAATTTTATATTCTCTGTGCTATCGGAATAAACTAGTTGTGGAGCTGACGTCAATGTTAATAAAGATTTCATTGTAGCTAAACGCACTTGAGTAGCATTGTGTGACAAAAATGACCAAAGACGAGGTAAAATGTGAAGAACCGGTTCGTTACTACAAAATTAATAATAATAATAAATAAATTATTCATTATTTAATTTTTTTAGTAATTTAATAAATCTTATAATTAACTTACATCAATAATTTTCCAGAAGGGTGGCTAAATAATGCAGCTAATAATGTCATAAAATTATTACAAGATGTTGTTAAATCATCTTGTACAGCTAACATTTTCCATATAATAGTGATTATTTCAGATGCCCACATCTGATTGTATTTAATTAAATTATCTACAATTGGTAATAAAGATGCTGCAGCCACAGCACTTACATCATCTACAGGGTCCATTAATGCTTTGGATATATAGGGGAATAATATGTGTAACATTTTTTCAATAAGATCCTAAGAGAACACATTATTTATAATATGTTTACATCAATTAAGAACAGGATGAAACTTACTTTTCTTACGACTAATATGTATTTTAATCCTAACAGACCACCGTGTCTAGTTGTCCAGTTAGCATGTTCTATGAGCTGTATAAGAACATTTATGACATTCATAATATTATCTTCAGACATCAGTTTAGCGATGAATCCTATAAATAATTACAAATTATACAGTTACATGTAGAAAAAATTATGCATACCTATATTAAAATAGTAAATACCTAATGCTTGAGCACAAGTCTCTCTCACGGGTGCTACTACTTGATCACCCAAAAAATCTCCAAAAGGATCCAAAGCCAAAACACATAATAATCTTAAACTCACGTCTTCTAACCATACTTGGTGATGAATTTCCATCTAAACAAAAATATTCACACATGAATAAGTATAAAACAAAATAATAATTGTATTTTTAGTAATTTATACTTGGTCTGAAGGTAAGTTTGCAGCTTTTCCAGCACCACGACCATGGTGTTTAATAATTTCACGAATAGCAGTAGCAGCTCCGTGTCGTATTTCCCATTTAGTATCAGCCAAATCATTAAGTAGCGGTTGAATAAATTCTTCAAAAGGCCAATCATTATTCTTTGACAAAAAAAAAAAACAATTTTATAGACACATTTACTAATAAACTGATATTTTTGAAAAATAAAAAAATAAACTTATAATTTCAATATTTAAGACCATAATTTTTATTTTCAAATATATTGAAAAAAATCTTTTTAAACACTATTTTTATAGTTCTTTGTATAAATGTAATACTGTTAAAACTAAAATAATGCATTGACAAATAAGAAAATAAAATTGTCATTAATAGTATAAGTCTTTTGTACACTTTTTTAATTTTTCTGTACTGTAAAGAAGAAGTAAGTATTTAATTTATATATTATTGACACAATTCTTGTTCAAGTTATGACGTCATTTACCTCATCATTAGATGCAGTCATTTTAATTTTTTTACATGTATCTGAGATTCCACTGTGACTACTATCTAAAGATATTGATCGGGTTAATTTATTATTGAGTTCACCGTGTCGAGTTTTTCTTCGTTCTCGATTTTCTTCTCTAGAACTTTTATTAAAGTCAGTATTTATAACATCACTCAATTGTCTCTGAAAAAAGTAAATACAAATAATGATATTTCATTTAATTAATCTATTGGAAACAATGTGTGTTCCATACGCAAGGAGACGTAATGTGCAGGAACGTAGTGAAGAAAAATGTCATAAATAATAACCTATCAAATCCAGTAATAATGTATATTGTGGAGTATTTATCCTTAGATAAGAAAAATTTGATGAAAATTAAATTAGTAGAAATGAGGAAGTTATTATGGGTTTAACAAGTTACCATAAAAAAATAGATATGGTAGATTAAAGAAATTAGAGGCCAAATAAACAATACAATTAATATCTAATGATACTTACTTTTAAATTGGTTGTACCAATTTTAGGGACAGGTGTTATCATGATATCCTCAGAGGTTATAATACTAGATCCTAAAATTTCTAGTCCTAGAGTTTTATTAATAATTTTTTGCTGGCTTTGAATTACTTTTTCTATATCTAAATAATTAAGAAAAACGTTAAAAATACTTATTACATATTACTAATGTTGAAGTCACCAACTAAATTTTTACAAGTAGAATTAATTTTCATATATTCAAAATATATTGTTACAAAGGCTAATTAAACGAAAATAAAATATACTTAAAATTCAAATTTGTATACATTAACTTACCATTATCATAAGTATTAGGTATTTGTTGTTCAGGATCGAGAGAATTTGTTAATGTAGAACTATTCATTATATTAGCTAAATCAAATGTATTGAACGATAGTTTGTTATTACTCCTTTTTTCATCTACTTCCAAATCATTGTATTCTGAAAATAAACAAATATTAATACACATCTTTAAATTGTGATTACTTCTAAAGGATACAAACCATATTTAGTTGATGGCAATCCACAAGGACACCATTGAGGAATTTGTAAAATAACAGCTTCGATAGCTTGCGATGCAGCTATTCGTGTATCCCATGATGAACTATACAAGTAAGTGGAGATACGTTCTAATAAAGGTTTTAGTTCATGAGGATGAAATCTTATAACTTGTCCTAGTTGATTTGCAGCTGTTTTTCTGGTGACTGAACTACTTGCCGATTCCAATAAAACAAAGAGTCTATCCAGCCTAAATAAAAATGTAATCGTCAAACTTAAAATAATAATTGGTAGAAAATATAGCAAAATAATTAACACTAGTATGTTATTAAGATGCCATTGTAACTGCCAACAAAGCATTATAGCAGACCATTTTATTTTGTCTTTATTTAGTAATTAACAAAACTAACAAAATTAACTATTTCAGGCATAACTTTACTATATTTATACAAAAAGCAGTCAAGATATATTCAATAAACATAAAAATTACCTTGATGCCATATTATATATTTAACATAAGTTTCCAAGGCTTGTATAAATATTTAAGTCTGTCTGAATTGGTATCTGCAATAAATTTAAAAATATAATATATTATTTATATTTTAATATCGTATATTTGTACATTTATAAATATGTATTTATAAATTATAAATTAGAACTTTATATTTAAAAAGCAATATCCATATTTATAAAAGTTTGAGATTTTAAAAGTAAATTAAACATGGAGTTTGCAAGTTTTCATGAATATTTGTGGTTTTATAAACATATATTATTTGTTACACGAATACACAAATTCATGTAACTGCTCTAGTATAAATTATATAATTTCTTTATACGTTTTTATAACATTATAACAATAGAATAATTAAGTATTATTTGAATATTTTTAATTAATTTTTATTAAAATCTGTATAATTATAGCTATAATTACAATTTTTGCTGTATTATAATTATAATTATAACAAGATTATTGCGGAACCGAGTCACTATTTCAAGGAGGGGCTTAACATTAAGACACAGGAGCCATGGGAAGCAAAATTACCTTGAGAGGTAGGCATTCTCATTTGCAAATAATACAAATAAAGGAATTTTAATATTTTTTACCCTGTCTTTTTTTTTTTTTTTTATAAAAAGCAGTTAACAATTATACAACAATTATATGCCGCCTGCATAAAGTTAGCATTTTCGTAATACCTCTGTTGTTATAATTGCGAATTGTATAATAAATACATTTATTTTTTTACCTAAGGTTACAAGCATTAATAAAATTAAATAATATTTTATTTTTTCTTTACTAGTTGAGTGACATAAGTAGAGAAAATATATTCATAAATTTTATTCTGACTTACTCAAATATTTGTTATTTTACTCTATTTCCTATTTAGTTCGCGATACATAATGTCTGGGAGAATGCGAGCAAATAAGTAGAAAATTTAAGTATATGTATAATACTTTGTAATTTATTGTGGAATTATACTAGTTAGGGAAATAGTAATAATTTTAAGGTTGTTATTAAGGGGCTTTGAAATACATACCATGGAGAATTATTTAGAAATCTAAGTGATATTAATTAAAATGGTAGTTCCCTTTCAGTTTTCTACGTCTCTGATTACATGCAGATATTGTGAGTAAAAGAGATTTTTGTAATATTTCCCTCTCTCCCCCCCCCCCCCCCGTAATATAAGCTTTAATTTTTATAGGTGTTTCAGTTATTCTAGCTTCAGATAGTCGAAATTTATAAAAAAAAACCTTTCTTATTGCCTTTAATGTATTTTGTTTTTACGAGGGTTGTTGTCTATCTTAGAGTATTCTAAGTAGTAGTGTACATTCAAATGAACTGTATCACTTCATTTAGTATATTAATTTACTTATTTCGGTAAATAAGCCATGTTTGAAAAAATATTAAAGATAAAAGTAAATAATAATAAAAAACCTTTATTAAACTTAGATAACTTGGTAATAATTTCAATACATATACATTTTGATAAAATACTTAATTGATAAATCATTTTTAGGTTGGCACATTTTATCATAATAGGACATAGTTAATTAATGTTAAACACAACGAAATATAACAAAAGCATCACACTATGTCAAATTCTAATTTAAAAATTTAACTACCTTCACAATATCATCTCATTTTCAATAATAATTTATATTATTAATCACAGTAAAATATGTTCACAAGTGAAATAATGATTTAGTTAAATGAATTTGATCACAAAGATTTTTCAAGATATACAGAACAAATTATATAATCAAACTAAGATATATCCATATATTAAGAATTTATTAAGCATTTTTTACAGCCTACAATTACAGCTTGTAGGTTAAAAATTTAGTAATAATAAAAACACAGTTTTAATATTATAAAGTTTACGAAACACTAATGTACATTAGTTATATGAAAAATAATTAACGAAACGTGTATAATATTTAAATTCAGTGATAAATGGGTCAAACCTGTTGTTATAAAATATTTTCTTTACTAAATATAAATTGACTGTTAACATAATGTGCTACCTACTTACTTTTGTAACTAAAAGGCAAGAATACATTAAAAAAAACAACATCAGTGCATTAATGTTGGTTTGAAATAACTATATATTATAATGTAAAATCTATAAATTAATTTAAGTTGGTAATTTATTACTGTGTTTAAACAATTATTAAGCACACCACTCAAAAGGTAATTAATTCACTCTAAATCAGTAAAAAAATAGTTATAGCAATAATTACATTCGGCTACCTACACATAAGGGTAGTTATTAAAACGAGTACGGGATTAAATTACCATAAGGATGTTAAAGAGTAAAACTGCGCATCCAGTCTACGTGTGCTCCAATATCACGTCCTTTAAAAACACAAGAATACCGATTAACTGCAAATTCATCACAGAAACGTATACACACGTTTGCAGAGACAAGAGCCATGTTGCAAGGATGGAAGTCACATTTATACTGGCGGCCATTTCGGTAGGGAACGCCGCTTTAACGACCGAATAATCACAGATTGACGCGTTTGGCAAATGACGAATCAGCTGTCTGCTGATAAACATGTGTTTTGTCTAGGTGGCTATACTAATTTAAGTATAATAATATATTCCACTCTTTATATTATTTTAAATCATTTTGACATGTTTTTTTTTAAAAAGGCATAGCAATATTATCTATATTTGTGATAAAAATATCCGGTAAACGATATTGTTAAGTACAAATGTGGAGCGTTTAATTGGTATTACGCATTAATTATTATTGTATACTTAATAAATCATTGATACCTTATGTCCTTATACCAAATACTTAAAAGTTTTAACATAATGTAAATTAAACATATTATATTATTTGCCAATACTATATTGCACGATTTAATTAACGAGCCGACTAAGGACTACCGACTTCATAATAATAATAATAATAATAATTATATAATATAATGATAATTCGTAGTCGACATGTTAGTTGTTACTTTGTAATTTTTGTCATAGTGCATAGACTTTTTGCTATAAGGTACACCCATAGACCAACTCCGTTGAATAGATAACCGTGGGTTTGACTGATAAATAATAACTGATAATAATTTTTTTTGAAACAGAAATGCCGCCAATGCAATTACAGGTGTAACTCTGCACTTTTTAATGTTATTTGGTAAATATACCACTAGAGTGCTGTATCGTCGATAAAAGTATTATATCAGCACTGATAACCCAGCCGTTATCATAAATGCGACATATAAACAACTTTATTTTAAAAAAATAATAGATATAAAGTGAGCTGCATATTTATTATGACCACGGTTGTCAACAGTAGACAACCGTGATTATGACATATTATTTTGTGTTGCCGGTCGACACAGCATACTAATCAATCGCGTTATTAGCATAATTCATAAACACATACAATTAAGTACTTCATTTAAAATTATTAAAACATTATAAATTATTGTTAAACTATTGTTCCATGATTTGCCCATGAGGAGCGTTTAATATTTAATACATTATCACAGAATAACCAAATGACATTATATTTTATAAGCACAAGTATTATATAATAATCCACTCTTGTTTGAAGCAATGATAACATAATAGTTATCTAAATCAATGGTTATATCCTTTTATCTATTCTGCGGTTATATATAGTTATAGTTAAGGGTTGTTATATTCTCCTATTTGTTTTAAAATAAAATATTAAAATATAACCAAGTCGACTGTTGGGTGACATGTGGACCATACTTTGTTCGTTTGTTGACACTTTTTAAAGAAAGAACAGGGTGTCATTGTTAGTATTTTTGTGCTGCCGGCTGCGGTTGTTACTATTTTGTAAAATATTTGTTAGATCTATGTTGGTTTTGTCGTTACTTTCTTTTATAAAGACGTATTGGTTCAATGTTATATTACTTTTTTAATTTTATAATGGATAATGTTTTACTTTTTTTTTTTGTCATATTCTAGTACGGTATTAACATTTTTTATAACGTTGATCGACGTATCTAGTTTAAATTTGAAATAACTACGAACAAAGTATGTAAGATAAATATTTCTTTAAGATTTATGAATTGCCGCATTAATTAAATTTACATAAACTTAACTATATTACCACGAGGTAAATGTGAAGAACAAGATGTTTTAATTTCTCCAATATTTAATTCTATTAACATCGTAAGTGCTTATGGAATATTCAATTGTAATGTTGCATTTTTGTTGTATTACTTATATTTTTTTTACCTAGGTAAAATCCTGGTACCTATTCATTTTTTTAACATATCACATGAGTTGATAATTAATTATTTACGTAATTAATGACTAAAAACTAAGCCAGTATTTTATTTAGAAACACCATTAAACATTATTAAAAAATTTAAAAATAAACATGTGTTTAACATAATGTCCAAAATGTTATAATAAACTCCAAATATTTAAAATAAACAATAGTATAGCTTTTACTATACACTATTCCATTGTTTAAATTGGAAATAGTAATTAATTGTATGTGCATACAATTTACATTTTAAAATAAAATAAATAGAATACTTAAATCAAAATAAAGGTGGCAGTTTTAGATCTAATATTCAACATATCCTATAAGGATCTTATGTAAGGCTATAATTTAACTATATGTATATAAGCTTACTTGAAGAATCAATGTTTATATTTATTACATTTTTGTTTACATTAAAAAATAAATAAAAATGTGATTTTTTTTTTAAACCACAGCTTATATTATTACTACTATTTTTTTTTTATTTAGTAGCTAGGATAATTACCAAAATACTTTACCAAAACTGCTATGTGTGTTATTCTTTAATAAGTTTTCTTTGTAAAAAAAAAATTAACAGTTTTATTACATTAAATTATTATTTTTTTAATCTAAAGTATATTTAATTATTATTTTCATTTTATTTGATATTTATTATTAGATCAAAATGACGGAAAACTCAATAGTACCATTAACTGATAAAGAGATATATGTCACTAATGCACAGTATGAAGGATGTTTCATTAAGTTATGGGGTCGTTATCTATCTCATAAAAAATCAAACATGGAAAAATCATTACAGAATTATGAATCCTTTACTAAGGTACTATATTCTAATTATACTTAATTATGTGTCACAATCAAGTTAGTTTTATTATAGATTTGCATTGAGGCATTATCTTGGAAATAATTTTGTCATATGTCATGATATTCCTGTATGTCTCTGACCAACAAACGACTCCCACAGTAGTTAAAAATCTCATAATCTGGACAAAAATAATTCTTTAAAGCATCAAAATCATACTTCACAACTCATTTTTCTAACTTAAAAAATGTTATACCTACTCGTACTAATATATTATTTGTTCCCAACTATTTCTATGGCTTCCAAAAGAGCACAGTCGGTTTCTAAGTTACAAATGCTCCCAAACGAAATAAATTTCTTACCAACTATTCAAAACCACATAATCTAAAAAAAATGTTTGTCAAATATTTTACTTGATAATTTAAATGCGAAAACAACAATTGAGGGTTTTCCATTATTCCGATCTTACTTATGCATTGACACATATTTAAAGCATTTTATTTTGTTTGTAGGTACAAATGATTTTGAAACAACTGCAATTAACGAGATTCATTTATTTTTTCTTCACAAAGATAGACACAAATGAAAGAAAAAAATGTAAAATATTTTTAATTCACTTTAATTGAACAATACATAGTAGGCTCATTCTTTCGGATTTTCAGATGATCAGTTTCGCTAAAAAATGCAAAAACCAAAATTGCAAAATCCGCAATTACTTACTACTTACAACTACTTACTTGATAGCCGCCCAATATGGCGGCTATCAAGTTGAAAATTTGCCAAAATCATTCTTATGCCATGCGCTTTTGAATAGTTAATAAATTTAATTTTGTTTGTGAGCATATTTTACATAAAAACCTGGCTTTACCCTTTGCAAAGTTTTTATGTAACCTGTAAAGTTTTCTTATTATTTTTTTGAAAGGCTTTTAAACTACAATGATTATTCTCTTCTTAAGTCCATCTTCCAAAAGCGGAAGTTTGGTGACCCATCAGTTGACGTTGGCAACAATCTCTTGATTTGACTGCAGACAATATCATGATGGGTTTTCTTGGGAAGGGGTTAATCAGGGTAGTTTCCCGTTGCTTTCCCTGATCGCAGTAGCATACCTTATTTCTAAGGGATACTACTCAAGCATAAATAAATTATTTACGCTTGATACTAGTAGCGCTGCTGCCCACTACTAGATCCATTTTAGTCGGTTCTTATGACAGGCATGGACTACCGAGGGGGTATTCTAATCCCCACCCACAATGATTATTAGCCCAATATTAATTTGACAATCTAAGTTTAAGTTTTGCAAAATGTTATGTAGAGTAATATATTAGGTTTGTTAAAGCAATTATTCAGAAAGTAAATCATAATTATTAAAGGTTAATTTTGAAGTGTAAAAATACTATTTTTGTACAGTTCAATAGAATTTCAAAGCACTTTACTTTCCCTGACACTGTTCTAATTGTTGAAAATATATCATTTAAACATTTAATGAAACTAAAATTGAAGTAGAAGTGTTTAAAGTTAACTAATTTTTTTATTCTTAATTTATCTAAGCTATTGTAGTAGGTAAATCCTCATGGTAAAACTACACAGTGTTTCAATAACTGATTATACTCATTCATATTATAAATCAATGTACCTAGATATTAAAAAAAATAATGTCTATTTGTTACAATACTTTTGACATTTTGTTATAAGGAAATGAAGACATTAGATCTGTTTGGAAACACAGCATATTTTTATATTTGGAAATCAGATACTGAAAGAGTTTATAGATGCAACATATTGAGTTCAGATTTACAAGCAAGAACTCATACAATAATTCTTATTGACTATGGCCAAACAATGACTGTTTCTTTTTTGGATGTTCGAGAGATATCAATGGATATAAGCAATCCTACTTACAATTTACTAACTCAAAGTGTATCATTATTCACATTTCTTCTCAGTGGCTTTATAAGAAAACCAAAATCTAATGTTGAGTTAAATACTTTGTTGTCTAATCGTTTTTACAAATTTCGTAATGATTTTGATATAGGCGGTGTGAAATTCATAACACTGCTAAATTTAGACAAACAAATACTGGTTGACAGTGGTTTTGCAGAACCTATAGATATAACATCAACATTAACAATTGCTAATAATTTGTCTTCAATTTTATCATTAAATAAGAAAAATGGAATAGAAAATTATTGTCCCGTTCCTGCTAAACAATCTATGTTAAGCTTTTTAAGATCTCAAAAATTAGATCCTGTTTCAGTAACAAATGTTGTAGTTACAAGAGTGTCTGTTGGTGAAAATGTTATCCTTTTGACAGTTAGAACAATTGTAAGTACCTCTAAAATTATTTTTAAACATTATAAAAGCAAATGTAATTTGATTGATTACTATTATATTATATACCTTAATGTTACAATTCTAAATATACTTTTTTAGGACTATGAGTCTAATTATTTACAAACAAATTTAAATGCTATTGATAGAGAACAATTAGTGTTAGCACCTGTCCTTGAAGTACATACACCTTGTTTAATTCTTGTGCGTAACACTAATAAGCTTGCTCGAGCAATTATATTAGAAGTAAAAATAAACAGTTTATTAGTTGATTTGATTGATTATGGACTCCGTGAGTATGTACCTAGAACAACAGTCTTTAAGATTCCTTCAAAGTAAATATTTATTCAATATTCATTTTAATGGTAATAAATACAAAGTCAATTATTATTCGTTTATTTTTTAGTTTCAATGTAATTGAAATGCGTGCAATGAGTGTTGTACTAGACAAACCCAATAGCCAAATGACGGCTGAAACGGCTAAAGAATTGCTTCTTGATAAACATTTTGGAATGATAGCTAGTAAAATTGATCCTAGTTATGGCTTGTATAATGTAAAGCTGTTGGCTAAAAAAAATAATCAGCTTTCTGATATTTTTGATACATTGAATAATGGAAATACGTGTTCTTCTATACTAAGTACATCACCACCTAAGTCTCCTGAGATCTGTTCAATAATAGAATTACACGTAAGTTACTTAAGTCTAATATTTTTATATTTCAAATTTCAAAAATTAGTAAGGGTATGCTACAAAAATCTGAACCCCCCCCCCTCCCAATTTGAGCACTGTTGATTTTTTATAAACAACTAATGCCAGTGTAGATAATGTTAGAATTTTAAAAAAAGGTATTAAATTTTGTTTAAGCATTTCAAGACGCTGGAGCTCATGAAAGGTTTGTCCTACCTACAGTTTTTTAAGTTAAAAAAAATGTTAAATGTCGTTTTTCTCAAAATGTAAATAGGATGTTTCTAATGAGCACTACAGACTATTTTTGTAAAAAGTAATAGTAGAATATAGTATATAGATGTAAACATTACAATCCCTTATAACCATTATATAATTTTATAATAAATAATAAATTGTTTTTAGGATGAAGATAAGATAGATAAGAGATCCAGTTATTCTCCAGAACTATCCCAATCTCATGTTGGTTTACTAATTTTATTATTATATAATATGTGACACAATTTTTAATTTAATTTGATTTCATTATTCAATAAAGTTTGTAAATATTTGTATAATCAATAAAAAAATTGTCTTGCATATTAAAATATCTATATTATACTAAATTAAACATTATTATTCATCGACTACTAATAAATTGTATTTTTTAGAATGACAAAACCAGAAAATCATCTGAATCAGAAAATTATCAAGAAGTAAACCAAAAAACATGTAAGATGGCTAGAATTGTAAGTAAAACTAATTTATAAATTGCTTTAATAACACTTGTTTAGTCCTTAACTAGTAACGTGTCTTTTGTAACATAACTGGTGATGTGCTTATATGGGATACTTCTAAATTTTTAACTCTTGACAGCTTCAGTAATTTTTCATTAAACCTAATTGTTTTTTAGAACGGATCACACTGACTTATAGTTAAAAGCATCTCAAATAAAATACATGTGTGTTATGGGGATACCAAATGCTATTTTAATGTGATAGTTTAAACTAGAAATTATGTTTTTCAAATGAATATTACATACACATATTTCTCATAAGAGTGTACCGTGTTAAGCCAGACATAATTTCGACTACTTAAGGTGGTCCGATTTTATTTCTGTAAAGATATACATGTTCTTTGGCCACTTTACTAGGTTATATTGGAAACAGATTTTTGATATTTTTCTTTTTTTATTAAAAAAAATTGTGTTTTAATATTGAAAAAATTGCAAATTTACTTTATTTAATTACATAAAACTGAACTTTTTAAATGAAAATTGGCTTCCTAAGTAACTTAGTAAAGTAGCCAAAGAACTCTAATCTCTTTACAGAATTGAAACTGGCCTATCCTATGTAGTCGAAATTTTGTCTGGCTTTTTGATCTTAAATAAACCAAAATGGCTTTTACTCATAAAAAAAATTATTTACATTAAAAATAATACCTCGAAGCTTATACAAATTAAGCGGTAAATTAATTTACATAGTCGAAATTTATTAAAATCTCTTTTTTCCTCTTAAATATTGCCTACAATACTCCATAAAAAAACTGCATTTAGTCTCCTTAAAGCTTAAATCTAAAAATGGATTTTAAATTTTAAAGAATTTATCAATTATTTAATTTATATGTATAATGTAATAATGTCTTTAGATTATTCCTATAATGAGTTTGCAAAAAGAACAATTACTAAGTGAAAATGAAATAAAGTGTAAACTACTATACTACAAATCGCCATTATATTTCCATATGAGACAGTATAATTCTAACTTTCAAACTTATCTTGAACAAATTAATTCCACTTTGGAAAGTCGGTGTATTTTGAAGAAAAATGACATTGTCAAAAATATGTATGTCATATATCAAAATGATTCAAAGTCTATTTACCGAGCTCAAGTAATTAGTATGGACTCGGATATTGAAAGTTAGTATTTTTATCATAAAATATTATAAATCGTTTATATATTATATAACATAATAAAACTCTTTCATAGTCCTACATGGTCTAGAAACTAAACTTTGGAGTCCTTAAATATTGATGTAAAAACCGGGCAGCTAGATTCACTCTCAGTGTTGCTGTTATCACAAGTGTTGCAGTTCAGTTACTTTCCCTAAAGAAAGAATTGAAATGTATAACATTTAAGGTCTAAAAACAGAAGGGTTTTTTGAGCAAAACTCCTCCCAAAATTAAATATATTATAATTATTATAACACTTTTTTTTATTTCATAAAATATATTTTAATCTGCCAATATACATTTTTAAGTATGACTGTATAATAGGGTGATTAAAAAAAAAAATATATATATTTTTTTCTTGGAACCAGGCTTAAAAGTTTCTTTTTGGTGTAAAAAGACACCAGTTAAAATTTGAGCCCTTAATATTAATATTAAGATTGTCCGCGTTGCACTTTTCTACTTCCCAAAAGAATAACATGGGAAAAGTTGTTTTTACACATTCTGATTTTTATTACTGGCCCATTGAGGGTTATATAAATAATATCTTCACTTACTTTTGTAGAAAATTGAACGCTCTACAAAAAAGGTCTCTTATGATTTTTCATGAAACTTAATAGTTCAAAAGTTATTCGAGGTCAAAATTCAATTCATTCTCAATTGAGCAGTTTTCTTCATAATTCTCGAAAGTTTATGAATTTAAAGGTCTCAAAACAATCTGAAAGTTTATTTCTAAGCTCTCAGAGTTTAAAAAAAACATAACAATCATCTTTTGCCCTCAGGTATGGCTAAATTTTTATTTGAATTTAGAGTTAACTGTCATAAGTAAATTATTTTAAGTTGTCCGTTTATCTTCAATACAACGAAAAATATTGGTTAACAGTCCTCGGAAGTTTTATTTACATTTTTTACAATATTTTGGGTACATTTTTTAAAAGGTACATAACATTTCTACCAAGTTATTCAGAAAAACGAATGAATTAAAAATGAATTGAACTTTGACCTTGAAAAACTTTTGAACTATTGAGTTTCATGAAAAATCATAAGAGATCTTTTTTGTAGAGCGTTCAATTTTCTACAAAAATAAGTGAAGATATTATTTATATAACCCTTAATGGGCCAGCAATAAAAATCAGAATGTGTAAAAACAACTTTTCCCATGTTATTCTTTTGGGAAGTAGAAAAGTGCAACGCGGACAATCTTAATATTAATATTAAGGGCTCAAATTTTAACTGGTGTCTTTTTACACCAAAAAGAAACTTTTAAGCCTGGTTCCAAGAAAAAAAAAATTTTTTTTTTTTTTTTAATCACTTTACTGTATAATTAACATGTTTTCAATTGAATACTGTTCCTTTTTTAACCGATCCAAATTTTGATGTACAATATTTAGATAAAACGCTATTTTCATTCCAATTTAGCGGTTTTTATAAATAGAATTCCTTTATTACAAGTTTGCACTAGTCCTATTAAATGTACATACGTTGAACAGTATGCACACTGTTTATTGGCTGGCTTTCCGTTCTTTATTGTCATAGGACAAGATGACCATCATAATAATAGCATAAAGCAGTGTGGATCAAAATAATTTAACATGTATTTTATATTTAAAAAAAAACCTTTAAAAACATTCCCTACTAATCCCATTAATTTATGCTGTTCGATTTATATTTTTAGAAATTGAATTAAAACTAGTTGATCAAGGCGACGAAATTGTTAATGAAGAATTCAATAAAGTAACATTGTATAATTTTATGGAAAATGACTGCAACATGCCAGCACAATTAGTTTTGGAATGCTCATTAAGTAACATGTGGTTTCCACTTCTCAATACTGATATAGCTTCAATTATAAAACCACATTTTCATGACGAATCATTATATACATGTTTTATAACTGGACAAGACGAAAATGGACGAAAATTGGTTCAATTGATTGAAAACGATACTAATATTAATGTTTCTGATTCTTTACTAAAATCTGGAATTGGACAATACTTGTCATCTGCAATGAAAACTGGTACAATATAATATTTTGTTCATTAATATTAATAAAATCATATTTTTATAATGACAACATTTGGTTAAAATGTCTTCTAATATTTCGTTCTTAACAAAAAATAATTCTAATTTTTCTTCATTACATAATACATATTATCTGTATTGTTATATATCATTATATATCAAATGTATTAATTTATCCTTAAAACAATAACAGTTACTACCAAAAAATTACTGTTTAAAAATTATGTATTCTTTTTAAATAACTATTATTTACACTATATAAAGTAAATATGTTTCTAAAAAAATATCTTGCATATTTTTTGCAGAAGAAAGCCCATATGAAGAAAATATATTAAAAGGTCAAAGTTTTTTATCTTATATTTTGTATTCTCATTTTAAATTATGTATACAACCAGAACCTAGTTCTATCGACGAACTAGAAGAAGAAATTGAAAGACACATTAATGATAATCCAGTAAGTTTTTTAATAATTCACAATGTACTCACTTGTAAATAGTTTTTTTAAACATCTAATGATTTTAGTCATTAGTGATCATAACTAAAACTTGTATAGTATAAAATGTATTATAAATTGGTTATAATTTATATATATTAGGTCTACGAGCCAATGAATTTGAATAACCTGCAAGGAACTTTTTGCTTAGCGACTTTAAGCAATGACCAATGGTATAGAGCTTATATAACCAACATTTCAGACGAATCAATAATTGTTAAATTATTTGATATTGGATTGTTAACTGACGTCAGCCTTACACAGGTATAACTATTTCCAGTTTTGTTAAAATTCATGAAAATATTTGCTTGTACTGTTGAATACATTTAATTTTTATAATAATTGATTTATATTATTATTATTTATAATATAGATACGACCTATAACTAGTAGTCTAATGAAAAAACCCCAGCTTTGTTTAACTTGTGAATTAGAAACAAAGAATTTAAACTTCAAAGTAACTGAGAAGACCTTATATAATGTGACTGTAATTGCTATTAAATCAAATGGAATGTAAGTACCTTACTGATGTTCGTTTAATTTTCACTATGTTACTATGTCACTATAATGTCCCATAATTAGTGTATAGTTTTACTATTTAGTGAAGTACAATAATAGTTCACAATTATTTTATAATTAACAATTATTTTAGTTTGAGTGTCATTGTGAATGAACATAATTCTGTACCTCTACCTACTCCAGTCGTACGAGGCATAGAAAAAATATCTGTTGTGCACGTTGATGGTGATGTGACTTATTTGCAAAGAGTTGAAGACCGTGATAAACTTTTAAAAATGTCTGTAACTTTATCAAAGATAAATAGTAAAGTTTCGTTCAAACAGACAATGGATCCAGGTGACATGTACGTATTTGAAAGTCATGGTCTATATTATCGAAGTGTTATAAAATCTATCAGTTCTAAAATGGTCGTGGTCCACTGCATCGACTACGGTTTTGAAAAACAAGTAGAAAAAAAAAAATTACAATATATTGGTCACACCAAAGTTGCGTATTTACCAGCACTGGCTATATCGGTTAAAACTTTCCCAAAGGCATTTAATATGATAAATGTGTTCTTAGCTAATTTACATATAAACAGCGATGGAACAATTAATACAATACCTTACAAAACCAACTCTGTACTTCCTCGAGGAGATTTAATTGAAATGCTTCGAGACAAATGTTTGATAAAATTAACATGCGTTTATTCTACTCAAGATTGTTGGATTGTTCCTGATATGTACTTTGAAAAACTAAATACTATCTCTGAAGCGTTGGAAAACATACAATCAAAAGTTGTACCATCAGTAGCTGAAGCTGGTGCTTTATGTGCTGCACTACACCCACAAACAAAAAAATGGAATAGAGCCCTAGTGTTAGATACTAATAAAGAATCTGATAACATATTATTTATAGATTCTGGTGAGCGTTTTAAAGAAGTAAAAACAACAAAATTGGCTAGTGAATTGCAAAATATTCCGAATCTGGCTATAAATTGTAGAATAAAAACAAATGTTGATTTAGAACAATATATAAACAAGACAGTTCCATGTAAACTATTATCAATTGATCAACCTTTAATAGAATTTGAATTGTTGCTTGATGATAAATCGACCAAAGTTGAGACTGCATCTACAGCAGTTAGTTGGACTGTAAAGATTATTAAATTTCATTCGTTAAATCATTTTTATGTTTCCAAAGTAATAGATTGTAATTCATCTCAAGTTAGACCTAATGATTTACTCGTTGAAAAATTAACGTATCACTGTTGCGTAGAAGAAATTGATGACTGCAAAATAAATGATCCAAAAAATTCAAATGTAATTTCAGATATTTTGACTTCTCGTAGTTGGACAATGAAAATCATGAATAATCAACAACCCTTTTTGGTAACATTAGAAAATAATGGACAAAATTGTAGAGATGTTATTTATGCAAAAATAAGCAATAAAACATTGTATGATGAGTCAACAAATAGATCATCAAATCTCGAATGTCATGTTAATTCAAATGTTAAAAACATTAAACTAAATGTAGAAAAGCAAGTGGAATATGATAACCCAAGTGCATTTAAACAAGAGCAAAGCACTTATACTGTCAATACTCTTGAATCACAAATTGTTTTACCAGAATCTGAATGTGTTATTGTTAAACAAGTTGACACTCTTAATTGGTTTTATGTCCATTCTATAAGTTTATCAGAACTATATAAGCAGCGTATTACTAATGAACTAGATATGTGCATAATTGAATTGCAAGTTAATCAAAGTTCAGTTGGCAAAGTTGTAGTTACGTTCAGTGAAATGTTAGGTCAATGGTGTAGAGCTGTAGTGGAAGAAATCAAGTCGAAAGAATCAGTGTATTGTTATTTGTTAGACTTTGGATTGTATGAGGACTGTTCACAATTTTATAGGCCAACTGAATTTCTTCATCTATGCCCATACCTAGTGAGACGTTGTGCATTGTTCGCCCCAAAGCTGGATGGTAAAGAAAAAGAAATATGGTATTCTGATGTTACTGAAATGTTTAAAGATATAACAGGCATCAATGGGCTCAAATTAGATATGACTGTTAAAAATGATGGCTCCCCCTGTTTGATTACACTTCACTTAGAACAAATTGAAATAAGTGAAATGCTACTTCCTATGCTTGTTGTAGTTACACAAATAGAATCTTTTTGTGACTTTAAAGTTCAAACTGTGTCTGCCGATCTTAATACCATGATAAAAATATTGAACAATGAAACTATAGCTTTAGTGCCAGAAAATGATCCAAAATCTGGTCAAATATATTTAGCACATATTGAATCAAAACTCAAACGGGTAACAATGGACACATTGGGCGGAATTAAATATGTTGTTATAGATATTGATGATACATTGGATGCTGTTTCAGTTGACTGTTTGTATGCACTTCCTCAGGAATTAAAAGAATTTCCTCCTTTTACTTTGCCATGCGCATTGATTTTAGAAGACGATCATAAAAAATATTCATTAAATACATTTAAGAAAATAGCTATGGATAAAAGAGAACCATTTACAATGTGCATCTTAACAGAGACTGATGGAAAATCTCCAAATTTAGTTAAACTTTATTTTGAAAACAGGAACATACAAGATTATATTAATACATGAATAGCTCTACTTATTATACTTACAAGACATTTCTGTTGTTCATTAGTTTATTACTATTGATAATTAAAAAAAGTACCTGTTTATTTTTATGGTGGATGTTATAATATAATATTATATTATTTTTTATCTTGTGTTATTTAAAAAAAATATGTACGTGTATAAATTAAAAATTAAAAAACAGTTGTTAATTTCTTACCTAAAATATATTGTAAATTTGTCATTACTATACCATTTAATTTTATGTTTTAGTTGAAGTTGTTTTATACTATAAAATGTTCACAGTGTTTAAAAAGTTTGTTAAACAATTATGTTTTGTTGAATATTTTATTTGCTTATATATTACAGAAAAAAGCCACATCGTTATAATACAATTTATATACCACAGTATCGTGTAAAAGTTTTATTGACAAACATATTTGTAATTGTATTCTATCTGTATATATAAAAATGAATGTTTGTTTGTCCTTTATGCATTTGTGCACCATTTATCTGATTGCCATGAAACTTTGGGAAGTTGTTGAGTACACTCCCGCGAACCAAACTGGCATAGTACTTTTTGAAAATTCCACCCCTAAGGATGACCTCAAACACGAACTTTGTACTTTAAAGACGAAATGTAAATAAATTAAATGTTTGTAACCATGGTAACCCAAAATAAACACTTGGTTTGTAACAATAGTAACCACGGTACTCGAGTAAATGGTATAATAAGGCACATACCCGTTATTTTCTTCAAAAAACCCGCTTTGCATGGATTAATTTTACAAAGGCTGTAATCAAAACTAAGAAACTAAATTTTCACATAATATAGACAACAACATCGCCTGTGTTCTATCATCGCCCTTTTTTAATTATTCAGTTAATGAATAATTAATTAATTAAGAAAGGACTTTTGACTTTTTTAAAAATGATTTAGCGTTGGTTGTATTAGGTATATCGAAAAAATACGAATGATGGAACACAGATAATTTTGTCATAAAAAATATGTATGAATTTCTTTCCTTAACTATGTATGAAGCCTGAGAAAAATTAATCCGCGTAAAACTCAACTCAACAGAATTTTTTTTTAAATCGCTGTCAAGGATGCTGTGATCGTCTGAAAAATAATTTAACTACTAAAAAAGAGTCCTAACTACTGAACTCGTAGTTACACATCACAGTTAAGATTTTGTAAAAATTTGCCTATACTTTACTCCTTTAAAATGGGCGGTGTGGCGTCCTCTTAAGAAAAAAATAACCGTTATTACTTTAGTTTCAATATTATATTTTTAGATCAATAATAAAATGTACATTCTATCCGATTTTTATGTTCGGGTCCTTGGACTTTTCAAAAAAATGCTGGGCCTGTCCGGGATTTGAACCCGGGACCTCCTGCACCCAAAGCAGGAATCATACCCCTAGACCAACAGGCCACGTGTTATGTTTTGCTCAAAACAGTCACATATAAGCTTATCATAAACTTGTCACTACAAAATTACATATTTTTTCATCTGTATAATTTTAGTACATGGCAAAATTACAGAAGTTTTTAGCAAATATAAAATTATGTATTGTTAAACTCGATTATAAAAATATATAAATACAAGTAGGCAATTTTAATTCACGAATGTATATTAATCAGTACGAGTATTATATTTAACGGCGCCTGTCGACAAATTATAATTTGTGAATATTAATATGACTCAACGATATGTTTTTTTAAGGAGTAAATTATGAGGACTTTTTTATGTAACTTGTTATATATTAACACGCCATAGAGAAATCCATAGTAGTATTTTTTAAATTTGCATCCAACTTTTACAACGTAGTGTTGCTTTCAGGGGCGGATTTACGGGGGGGGGTCCATGGGGTCTGGACCCCCCCCCCCCAACGCTGATATAATGTTTTATTTGAAATGAAGTATATATTTAATGTATTAAAATAACATGTTGAAGTATAATTTTTTGATATTTTAAAATTTTTTCAATTATCTTATCTATTCTTGTGTAGGCAAACGGAAGAGTACCTACTATCTGCCCCTATCGAAAGCTTGTATGTGTATTAGCCATTCGCATTAAATTGCTGATATTATGTTAAATTATTGACGATTATTATAGCTACAATATCTGTATTTCCAGTAATCGATTATGTTGCGATAGTGAACTTATACGTATTTTTCCTTTTAACAGTTCTTTTAGAAGGGACGATTATATTACTATTTTATACTGAAATACTAGTATTGACATTTGACTGACGCGAACATACGGTAACGCAATACGAGTAGTCGACTACTCGGGAAATTACAAATTGTCTAAGCTTAATTAGTGAAATTCGAGATTTCTTCATATTTCCCAAACGAAAAAACGTTTTATCACAGAAAATCCTAGATTCTTCTTATGACACTACAAAAAAAAAACACTGAAACGTAGTTGTGAAACGAGGTGGATTGAACGATACCACGCAGTCCATGATTTTTTAGAGGTTTTCGAATTTGTTGAAGAGTCTTTCGGTGAAATATCGGAATGGAATGATAGTGATATTAGTGGAAAGGCACAACGATTGCGAAAATCCATGTTAGATGGAGAATTCATTATTGCATTATTAATTTAAAAAAAGGATTTGGATTTGGGTTACCTCTATCAAAACAATTGCAAAAAGTAAACATTGATTTGAGATTAGCAACTAAATTAGCTGCTGAAACTCTAGAAGAAATGAAGATATTTAGAAATACTGCCCAAAAAACATTTCAACAAATATATACAGCTGCACTTGATTTAGCTGGAAAATTTCAAGTAGATATAACAATGTCTAGAATTACAGGAAGACAAGTATAGAACGAACATTCAAACAAAATCCACCGAAGAATACTACCGCATATCTATATTTATTCCATACATGTTTATTCTTACATTAATGAACTTGAACAAAGATTTGTCCATCATAAAAGTACACTTTATAATTTTCAGTCATTATTTGAATCCGAAGAAAATGAAGATAACTTCATAAAATTAGCCGATTATTACAAAGATGATTTGGAGTCCATAAACCATTCGTTATTATCAACGGAGTACAAGTTATGGCAAAGAAGATTAAAAAATATGACGGAAAACCGGAAAACGCACTCCAAGCTATGACTGTTTGTAACAAAGAAATATACCCAAGTGTCTTGAAATTATTCCAGATCCTTGCTACTTTACCAGTCTCCACTGCATCAAATGAGCGCACCTTTTCAAATTTGAAGCGAATCAAAACATATCTAAGAAATACCATGACTGAAATAAGGATAAATTATTATGTCAAATTTAAAAAAAAATTATTTGTAAAATTAATTAATAAAAATATTATTTTTAATTAAATTTCAGGCTCGATTGAACGGCTTGGCAATGATGTCGATTCACAGGGATGAAAGCTGTTTAACAGTTGATTCAGTATTAACCGAACTTAGTAAAAAAAAAAAAAGAAGAGTCGATTTTGTTTTGTAAAATAAATATAATATAATATTTAACATTAAACTCTATGTGTGAATGACGATATATTTTATAATATATAAATAAAAATACAGGCAACACTTTTTTAATAGAAATAATGCCTTTGAAATATATATCATTTTTCAGGACCCCCCCCCCCTCCAAGAAAATGTTGAAAATCCGCCACTGGTTGCTTTTAAATTTTTTTTTACAAAAACAGATTTAGCGTATAAAAATATCTACAAAAAATTAGAATAAGGCTTATAATTTAGCTTAGACATTATCCTATCGAAAATCTACAACGAAATAAAGAAACATTTTGTCTACTAATTATACAATAATATAAAATATAGATATAATTATTTATTATCATATAAAATGAATTATCTTTTAACAATTTCAAAAAGAATTATTTATAACTAATCAGTAGAAATTAAATTTTAATTACAAATTCAGCTACATTATTATTGTTAACTAAAATACAAGCAATTTAACTTTTAATAGGTGATACCTAAACCGTACACAAGTGGCAACAATTTAGAATGTATACTATTATAAATTGGCAAAAACAATTTGTAATTTAAACTCTAAAATCATAATAAGTAAGTAATTTAAGTTTGATCCAATACAAATCCTATAATATTCACAATATTGATGAGCTATCCACGAACACAAGTCGAGAATATTAAATATAACATATTATTATTATTGTATTCTATAAATACATAAACCGGAATAATTTAAGACAGTTAATCTATTTATAGATATTTATTCTAATTATATTAGACAGGTAAATTAATTGAATGATGTCAGGAAGAGGAGGCATCGAATAATTATTGAAAAACATCATTGCATATTTGAAACCTAATTTTTTTATCAATAAGTAAATAAAATATTAATTGTCGCTCCACTGAGGACTACAATAATGATTGTATTTCAGACATCAGGTATTTAAAAAAAAATAATAATATAATTCGATAGCTTTGCATAATTCCTCATTTTTCTTAATTTATTTTAACTTAAAAATAGCGATATTGAGTCTATTAAACGAAAGGTATACAAAAAAGATAGGAATAAATAACATAAATTAATAAATAAAAATTGTGTCCTTTTTTAGTCTAAAATCCTTTATTTAACGCGTACAATGAATTAATTTTTCTGTTCAGTGACAGTAGAATCGTCAGATTGTCTTTGCTGAGGCTGGAATGATTTGATTACACCTGGCGTATGCACCATTTGTAAAAACCTAAAACAAAAAATATTTAATATAAAACATACTGCGATAAAAAATTGAAATATGATTTTCGATTATGTTAGGTAAAATAACAATTTTAAGAGGTGATTTTTAAAGGATCACCACTATCAAAGGCGTGCCCATAGGGTGTTTTTCAGGAAGAGGGGGCATCTGAGACCCACTGATAAAATACAAAACTTGTCAAAAAAAAAATTAATTTGTTTTTTTTTGTCAACAATATTTTATTATTGCAATACAAAAAAATTTAACTTTTACATTTGAAGGTACCCCATGCAAAATTTCTGACCACGCGTTTGCGCGTGGTCTAATTTTTAAAAATATTTTTTATGACTTAACTTTTAAAATGTTATTTTTAATTTGATTGAAGCTATTCAGAATCGTGGTCATGATACTTCAGTAAACTACAGTTAGATATCAAAAAAAAATGTACGATACTACCTATTATTTCTCATCCTCCATTCAAAACGGTCCTCATATTATTATCACCAACTACCAAACATCCGAGAATTTTCTCTACCCTTTTTTATTTATCACCATCGTGTCTACCAGTACCACCCTTCCGACTTTTTTCTCGTGACATGCCAAAGTCATCTGAAATATATTATAGCAGCTATTGATGTTCTTTATCTTGTCTTTTTTAGTCACCCTTCTCCATGGTGTAGTGTTTCGTCCTTTACTCATCTCCACTGACTCATCCTCTGTCTCTCAACTTAATACGCTTCATAAAATATGTTATGAAATATTTTTTAACAAAGAAAACGGTTTAAAAATATTCTGGATAACTCGCAGTTTTTGATATTTTTTTTTACAAACGGAGATAAGTCTGTTATCTTAGCGCAATCATTAACCAGGATTAATTTTTAAGAGTCAACAACAAAGCATTCCATGTACCTCCGGAGTAATTCATAGTTTATTCGCTAAAACAAAAAATGAGCTGTCTTGGTTCAAAACCATTCGGGAAGAAAATTATGAGCTTTTCACTCTCTGGTTACGCGTATATGCTCAACATATTACTCCGTCGAGTTGAAAATTATATCCTATAGGAAGTGATCGAAGCTCATAAAAATAATCCTTACGGTAAATGAGGCTTTCGGATTCGTCGACACCGTCCCATGGGGTCTCTGAAGTATCCGGGTCCACACTTGCGGTTGGCCGTGCTCGCAGACGTCGGGGCCGCGGCGGAGTTGGTGGCGATCGCGGCCGTCGTTGTGGTGGTCGCGATGGCCGCCGACGGATCGGTGGGCATGTCGGGCGTATTACCGTTGCTGGCGATTAACGCTTCGACCATCTGTACGATTTTTTCGCTGTTGGACGGCCCGAACAGGTCCGGCACTCCCGTAGTAGTAGTGGACGGAACCACGGCAGACACGGGCGCCGAGGCCGGCGGTGGCGCCTTCGTAGTAGACGAAGCGATCGGCTTAGACGTGTTCTCGGTTAGGTCCGAGTAATCCGGTAAGTCGCTGTACTGTAATCAAAAAATATAAAACGGTTGTAAAAGTTGTCAAGCCAGCTCAAAATTCAAAACAATTTAATTTAAAAAAAAAAATGATAGAGCTATAGCATAGTTCTAGCTATGTAATATTTGATTCACTGTTAATAATATTTTCTCGTTGGATTACTGTTAGAACTGAATACACTCGACTCATTTAAATAACCACTATACAGTCACTAATCTCCAATAGAAACGGATGGCTATTAACTGAATTATTTTACCATTCATAATAACGACCTCATAGTTTATTACAAAATAATCATACGAGAGTATGTTATAAGCTGACATCAGTGGTCAATGTATATCATATGTTTAAGCGGCTTTCGTCAATCAAACTTTTTGAGTTCAAAATTCAAATCGTTAAAAAATTATAAGACGTAGAAAATTATAAGAATGTGACTCCAGAAATTACAGTTTGGATATTATAATCCCGTTCAATCGAAACTTGATTATCCACATTAACGAGATCTTTGATGCTTGACGTCTAAAGACGGAAATATATTAACGGTTATACTTTATATACCGATCATTAATGCAAATGAATACGACCGAGAGCAATCCTTAAAATATACATTTGGACACTTAACAAACAATTTCGAAACGGAAATAGTTGTACATTATTTTCCCCTTTTAAGAGTTTAAATTTAAGGATTATATTTATTGTATATTTAATGTTAATTACTAAGATTTGAAATAATTAACCAAATTATGTCGTATACGATTTATTCAAAATCTTACAGTTTTATTGTGATAAGTTTATTCGATGTAATCATACAAAACATCCTTAGCCGGTATTTAAATGCTTAAATGGGGATACATTTTTGTTTGTTCAGGCAAAGGTTAGATTTTAAAACTCATTCCCACTTATTGCCATTTTTCGTCTACTTTTTAAAAAGTGTATTAGATCTAAAAGTTTCTACACTTCACTGAGTTCTATCTTGCCAACATAGCGTGGACGCACTTTTAGGACAAGTGGTGCATTAAAAAATTCACAGTTCAAGCCCTCTCTTTGTCATCAATCACGAGGGTCAACATTTATAATTGTATTATTTATTCATTAGTTGTCTACAGGGTGATTGCTTAACTATGACCCAGTCAATATTTCATAAAATACTACTCTTAAAAGATTTTTTTTTTTTATACTTTTGAAGTTTGTAGTTCGATGAAATGAGTTTGGGGGTCAATACTAAAAGGGCCGCTATAGTGCACAGGCACAAAAGCAAAGTCTGCAGTCGCACATCAATAACTAATACGGCGAGCCTTATCCACAAGCAGGGTTGGACAATTGTATCTATAGGGTTTTTCAAGATACAAAATGAAATTTTTTTATTATTTTTATTATTCACAATAACATTGTTTTGTTGCACTCACGTCGTCGTCGCTTGTCGATGAATCGTCGAACACGGCGTACAGCTCTATGTTTTTCAGGTGTATCTGCAGGTTGTAATCGCCGGTCTGGCTCTGGTCGAACTTGATCGTGGCGCCTTGAGCCGACCGCATCGCCACCTCGGCGAGTGCCGCCAAGAAGAGGACGCACCACCTCCGCCGCGTGTACGACATAGTTGTGTTCGAATCGAACTGGATTCAACACGATATGATGTGAGCGAATTTCGTTGGGTCGACCGCGTCCGTCGGATTGTCGACGATTGATGTGTTGTGACTTATTTGTGAATAACAAAAAAAATACAAAACGACCAACCGACCGAGTGAGTGAGTGAATCTGACGGCTACTAGTCTGCACGGCGTCAAAGAGGCGACTGTGAGCGGACCGTTGGCCGCATTCGTTCTCGCCGACAGCAGCTCTAGAGGACCAGTTCGCGTGGCGGATAAGGCGGCAGCGACGGTGTATTTTGTTAGTTTAGCGGAGGAACACAGGGTGAACGCATTGATTGGCCACAAACTGCACGCTTCTTTTAGTGGATACAATATATTATCATGTATTAAGAGTATACAAATATTACTATATTAAAAACCCGAGTTAAAAAAAAACTGTTAACGAAGAGGCTATAATCAAAAAAAGGTACAAGTGACATTTTGTCATTTTCAAGAAAAACTAAACATTAACTTCCAAATCAATAAATAGAACTAAAATAATTAACGTACAATAATGTAGCCGAACACAATTGTGGTTCCTTAAAAAAGTCAAAAGATCAATAATAAATAATAATAATTTAAACATTTTTAGAAGCAAAATACCCCATTAAAATTCAAACGTAGAACTTGTATCATACCAGTAGGACACAAATGCACTTATTTCATAAATTAATTTCTGATCAAATAAAAACTAATGTTGTTTTAACCTAAGTCCTAATTTTCGAATTTAGAAAGAAAAAATGTTGTCAATTGTATTCTTTTGGTTCTCACGACTTCAAATGTAATTGGTTAATATTTAATAATAAGTGAGGTATTTCAATAATTAGTTACTCATAGTTAGATCCGGGCTGGCTAAGACAAACTTCACATTTTTTAATTGAAATAATGCCATACTTTATAATGATTATTAAATAAATTACGCTTATTGAAAATCTCAACATATACCTTAAGCTAAAAGTTTAACTTTAAAGCATTTATAAATGGGGTTTTCAAAATTCTGAAGAAAATCCGAATGTGCTGTAAAGCAACAATATGGTGGCTTAGTCCGCTCGTGTTCATAAGTTAGAGAGGCGTAAAACGTTTCCAAAGGATTGACATGTGAATAGTGACACGTGTTAGTACTTAAGATGAAATACCGAAAAGATAGGCAGGATAAATTTATCTGGTACTAAGAGTTAAGACAAAAGAAACGGGTGGGAAATAGAAACATTTTGGATAGACACATCACTTCTCTTGAGTTCTGTCACAATGTCGTAGGTTACGTATTATTATTATATTAAATAGGCAGTAATTCCTTAAGTAGTGTGCCTGGAGAAAGGCAAATATAAAACTTTTAATATTGCCCTAAAGACACGTTGAGCGTTGCGGGCTTATTCTTGAAATTTAGTACAGTTCTATAGTCCTTTGTATATTCGTATATATTTTTTTTTCTTAAATAAGTACTTTTACCGCGCCGTCAATGGCGGTTGAATCATAATTTTCAGACGGTTTTGAAATGAATTCAAACCCGCTTGTTACATCCGTGTGGAAACCACCGATGCGCATTCAAACTGTGTTGTGTTCGTTAAACAAATATGCGAATTTTTTTTTTTATAATACGAATGAGATATTTTCTCTTTTAAGATTACTCCGGGCGACGATTGAATGGTGTAAATGAATAAAGATGAATGAAATGTTTTACATTGATGTATAGTCAATACACACACATATATTAGTATCCGGTGCCAATGTGCATGGTAAACGCGGAACCAATATTACTTTTTCTCGCCGAGCCCCCCATCGACAAGTAACTCCATTGTATTGAAAAATTGATCTTTTACGCGAGACTGCCAGTGGCGGGCCAGACGTCCTAGACTGTCTGAATCAGTTTAAATTACGACATAGTCACCACTTCGGTTTTTATACCTACAGCATGTAAATCGATTTGATTTTGTCCGGAAGTTGTAACTAGTATTTGTTCATAATATATCGTTGACTGTAAACGCGAAAAGAGCATACTTGTATTAATACCTCTACACCTACCTTAATAACGGAATGTACCAGATATGTACATCGTTTTCTGAATCTGAATGACTTTAAAGATGTTAACGCAGTGACGTACTTATGTGTTTAAACACTAACTTTAAGCTGCTACTAGATAGAATTTTAGATTGTAAAAACACAAATTGTTTTTTTTTCTATTTCTAATACAGATTTTTTACTATCCAAGTTATTTCTTTTAACAACATTCAAAACTAAAAATTACTCTTGAATATGTACCAACTGGCTATCGCGATAAAATGTTGAGATGAGTGATGAATTTACAATTCTCTGAATCAGCCAATACATAATTTAAAATATAAATGCTCAAATGCTTTTAGTGAAAACCGTTTGAGTTAAGTATGAAATACAATTATGAAGAACACTGGTTCACATCAAATAGGCACCAGTAAAATACGGTAAAATCTGGTTCACCAGTGATTGGCATTATAACAATGAATTTTATATAACAAATTTATCTCAACGGTATAAAATATGATATTCATGTATGAGATATTTAAAATATCTGTTATAAAATATGATTCTATATTCTATCTGATATAAAAAAAATACTATATTGCCAATAATTGGGGTAGTGCCATTCACTGGTGCTGTTACCCTACTTTATGCAAGTCTACATTTTCTATTTTTTTTAATTATTTATTCGTTTAAGGGTTTAAATTATTATGTTTTTTTAACTATATACTCTACTGTATTGTAGTATGTATATAGTAGTATTCGTAATAGTATACGAAGGGCACAGGGGAAAAACGGTAGTTGTCACATTATGAAAATTTTAGAGTATAGCAAAAACAAAGTTCGTGAATTCCTCTACCTCTTACATAAGAACAAAAAAATCACATTAAATGCTACTCTAATAATAAATGTATTTATTTAAACAATCTATTGATATAAATAAAAAAAATTATTGGCATAAATTGAAAAAACTATTTGAAAAAAAAAAATGTTCATAAGACACGATTAGGATTTGACAATACGATAAAATAAAAATTGGATCACGGGAACCCATTAAAATCGTGTTGGCATATTCAAGACACAAAACGAAACACATCATTGTACATAACAGTCTTAGGTGTAATATAATATAAACGTCGCCAATACATTTCGCTTGATGCAGATACATTATTAATCTTTTGACGGTATGAATCGTGACCGACTATACATTTGTTCGGGTATAGACTACATTATACATCATGTTCACAGAGAAACAACAAAAAAAAGTAAATCGGCACACGAATGCACCGTGTACGTGCTGCCAGTGTTATTGACGAAAATCTATTATATATATATATATTATTTTGCCATTTGCCATGTAGGTACATCTGATAAACAATTGTCAAATAACTAACGTCGGTCCGCAAGCACTCTTCGCGCAGAATAACCGTAAGTCGATTATATTATTTATAGCAGTAAGTCTGTTCAGACAATGGACTCGGGTAGAATTTCTTTTTTTTTTTGACAGTCAAACGCGTTACCCGGAACAACGTAAGTCGTCTCACGGATTTTTTTGATTTTCGTCCTGACCGGTTTCCGGTTGCTTTTCTTCGGATTGACAAACAAAATTGCCGTTAAAACGCGTATTAATTTTTTTTTTTTGAACATTCGCCGCCGTTTTTGAAGCCCTATCGCTCTGGTGTGATTGTGACGATATTGCCGGATAGATTTTTTCAAAGTTCTAGAAACACCCGTTGGCAGTTACGGAGGAATAAAAAGCGATATTACGATGATCCGCAATAATTCCGAATAATAACATATGGTAACCGTTTGAATGAGGTGTACAACGTTTTGAAATGTAATCACCCGAATAACTGCTTAGGTTTTATTCGGTACCAGTGAACTCACGGTGATTTCATTCAAAACAGAATGACAGTGCACAAAACGTCAGTCCTACACAATGGACGATGGGGTAACTGCAGCGCACCGTCTTATTACAAAACGTTAACGAGTCGACGAGTTCACGTTTGAACAATACACGGAAAGAAAAAATTGCTTCAAGAGTCAAGACTCCAGCTAGAAATTCTAGATTGGTATCAAAATGACAGATTCCTATTAAGTTTCACCAGAAAAGGTACGGTATACCAATTAGTAATAGGGACCACCGCCTAGCTTCGAGAATCGAACACATTTATAGTTAAATTTAATATTTATGATATAATCCGAAACATTTGAGATCAAGTCACAGTCAATGAATGGGGCAAATGTACAGCTGTGTTATTTTTGTTTAGAAAAAAACAAACAATTATTATATTTTTAATACATACATTACAAATATTATTGTAATAAATACACTAATATAATGATGTAGTACAATAAATTTACGTTTTATATTTTCAATAAATAAAATGTACGTACTACTTTAACTTGACCCTTTGGTCCCATCTGATGTGGTTCACACCTACAAAATTAATTTTATCGATCCGAGGAGAAAACTATACACAGGTCACAGAGTATAGTACCTACTCGTCTGTTACTCTTCTATCATAACAATATTGGCCGAAATAACTTTATTTGCCATTAAGTATAATAATATAATAATGTGTGTGTTTCGTGTACGTGACTTGGCCACCCCCGTGACGAGGAATGCCTTTCAATTCAAAGCCGCTTGTACCACTGAACCAATTTATCTGTATCTATCTATATCTAAATACACCATAGAGGAAATAAATAGATTCTATTCTATTAGGTTCTTTTTCAAAGTAAGCCAATGAGTAATCGAATGTAGTTGAGTATCTTCAGACAGACAATCGCTGTAGTGTTGACCAAAAGGATACGACGTGAAAAGTAATTTAACACCTACATAGTAATGGTTAATGGGTTATATCAATGTATTGAATTTTATTCAATTAAAATACAGGCTGTAGTGAACGGCATTCAGATATCGAGTACTCACATAAAAAATAATTCATGGAATAACGTTTTCAGTAAACACATAGTACCTACCTATATTGTAGTTTGAAAACATATTATTAATTTAGGGAACTCAATCTGAAAGAAAAAAAAAGTGTATCGACTGTATTTTTTTACTATAGCCTATAGATAGTAAACGTGAATTAGGTTCGGATCGTAAAAGTCAAGTAATAGCAATTTGATTAAGCAAAAGATAGTCGGTATGCAACGACTATCAGTAACAATTAGGAAAGGGATAAAGACAGGGGTGTTTTTTTTCACCATATCTTTGCAGTTTATTTATAATGGAAAAATTAAATAGTAGATAAAGTGTTTAAGTCGAGAACACTTTATATACAATTAGACTTTTAATATATCATTTCTGGATTCGTATGCGAAATTAGGTCAACATTTTCTCCCAAAACCCGAGACATATGCTTTCTAAAACTTATGAAATAATGTAATTTAACTGTCTAAAGTAAATTATCTTAATAAACTGCAAAGTATCGCTGTTTAAAAAAAATGTCTGTGCAATAAAAGGATTTAACAAGGTTTTTTTGTCGTCGGTTGTTAGAGGAAAATCATATATTTTTAATGATTAACATACAATGTTGGTTAGATTTTGTAAACTTCAGGATACCATTCGAATTGAGTTCATAATTAGACTTAAATTTTGGTAGATAGCATAACATCACACTAAAAAAAATACACTTTTACAAAAAAGTAAAGACATAGATTTTGTAGTTTAATATAAACTGAATAAATATTATTTTTGATTCAAATTTAGTTAGGTAAGCCAACTTAAAGTTAATTTAATATTATACTCGGTAAGGTACCTTATACAATGATTTTTTATAGATACAACTATATTTTCCTCCTTGTAAGGTCTTTTGAAAGTAACCCACCTTTTACAGAAAGAGACGCAATCTAATAACTTTGTAGAGAAGCTAAAATTTTAAGCCTTCCTAGTTATACTTACTGTTTGGTATAATTTGATGTTTTATAATTTTCAGCAACAGTTAATTAAAAAGGTATAATCCACGTCATAATTTATTTTATATTACTACCAAAAGCATACTTTTAGATTTTATAATCTAAAAAGTAAACATTTTTTACCTGTACACCTTGCATGACTAGTTTATTTTTTCAAATTTCCATAACTATTCCAAAATAAATCTTGAATTACTACTAACATTGATTAAATACAAATTGTAGTTAATCAATGCTAATACTAACACACGTTACATTGTATACTGAACAAACTTTCAAAGTGAACGTTAGACAAAGCGGACATTGAGCCAGGGACTTTTATGGACCCGAGTCGATGCCAACTGGAGATATCACCGCTGGTGCAAATAGTATAATAATATGTATAAATATTATTAAATTATTGATGTTATCGGTGCGCCTTGAGTCACCGTGACTGTACAAATTTCCCTTACGAGGAAGACTTTTATCAAGCTCTTAATATTTTTTTCCTCCCCAAAAAGGAACCGACGACGATGACGACGATGATGTACGCGTTAAGAACACATCATGAATGTATACATTATAATGTATACATTCATGTTATTATTATATTATACGATAAACAATAGGCACACAACGATTCAGTTTAGGGGACCGATTTGGTCGGTCGAAACGCGGTTTGTGTCACACGCATGCGAGATAATAATAATATTTTTTTTTTTATTATTATTATTGTGCTTACAGTCTAGGGCGACACGCCGGGACTCCAACGACTTCGTTATCTACAATGTGAACACTTACATATTTGTATATGTATATATAATATATATATATATATATCTCGGTTGTATATGTATGTATGTGTGTTTTTTCTTCTATTCAGTGGGACACTTTGCTTTGTCTAGACGCCTCGGTGTTTTCTGGCGATCATTCGACACAGAGAGTGATGAACTTCCTGGCCGCCATCGAAATCGCACGCGTGACCTCTCCTCCTCCTCAATTTCTTAGAGCCTGAATGACAATAATTACGGTTTAGTGTATTTTATTTTCAATTTTATAGGACCGACAAGTAATGCTAGAACTTTTTTCTTTTTCTTTAAAGTCACCTCATAATGTTTATTGACGAGACCCGGAGCTAATGACGCGTGTAGGGTAACCGGCTATTATCGGGTAACCGGTATAGTCTTAGCCCTTAGGACATTCATCGACGATTCGCCGTTAACCGAGTAGAACGTCCGAGTTAATCCGGAATAGGTGCACACGCAGAGTTTTTTTTTTTTGCATTCCAACAGCAGACCGTGCAAATATAATTACATGTTAATGTTATGCTGGAATTACCGGGGTAACTGTTCCGTGTAAAATCCACGTCGTTTTTGCGGGCGTCTTATCCAATCCGGTGACGCGTAACTCATAATTTATTATTAGGCATCTTTATTAGATCAACAATAGCACTTATTGAACCATTTTCTGTATTAGTGTTATAGCACTTAGGCCTTAGCACGAAATACAACCGTATGCAGAAAAAATCAGGGGAAGTGGGTACAGACTACATGGGAGATTTCGCCTGACAAAAACCAACACGTGTCTGTAGTTAAGTTACATTTGGGGGGGAGGGATATAACTGATTGAAAATATCAATTTTAAACTAATAAGAAAGATTAAGTTCTAAACATATTTTTAAAACTTCCACCTTTATGTGGGGGAAGAGTTTTAATGAATTTTGGATTTTAGATTGTTACCGGTTACAGTATACATTTGATTGAAATTTTGATAAAACACAATTGGCTCAAATGAGGTTTCTAAGTGGATATAGTCAAAAAATTATTTATTAAATACATAATGACATGCATTTAATGAATATTATTTGATAATCACGATTATCTTTTTGGCGAAACAATAAAATATGCCATGAAACCTGGAAAAATTACTAGGAGTCCACCCTTGGTCAGGCCTTTGCTCTTTGTCGCAGTTGCATTTTGATTTGGCTGGTTGACAGGGTTGTGGTTGATAACTAAACGTTGACCGACCACAAGGTTAGTGAATTTATGCCGAGTTCATAAAAATTTACAAAGTTTGTTTCCCAAGTAATTATTTCAGATACGAGAACTCATTTAATTATTTAAACACATCGAATAAAATCGTAAACAAAGTCAATGACTCGAGACGAAAAACTAGTTTACCCCTTAATTGTCACCTTCCTCCGTTGCGTGTACGATTATAGTTGCTGTGGTGTAGAGTGTTACGGTCAAGATCGTGATGATGCTAGTTCGTTGACCGAAGGAGGAGGAGGAGTGGATCAAGAAAGAGTGGTACACTTATATGTATATTTATAAAACTCATTTACTCAAACGCTGACGGAGCGACGGACGGTATATCCATAATGCTTGTTAACTATAAACATACGCACACGCACGCTTGTTCTAACGGTATGGACGGGTCGAATAAAAATGTCGATTAAACCATACGAGTTGTTTTTCCAGTCGACATAGGCTACTACCGGTTATGAACGGCGGTCAGCAACGAGGCGGACGACTAACACACAACACATCAAACTGCAGTGCGATTGCTGAACGGTACGATGACGGTCGATTTGCGAACAATTTGTCGTCTGATCGCGGCGGCCGCCGTGTTCTGCACGCTAACCTTAGCGGCGCCGGTGTCCCGCAAGACTGTCACGTACGACCAACGGCAGAATGGTGAGTTCAATCTGCAAGTGGACCTAGAAGACGTGGCTTTACTGTTTTTGCCAAGCGACGAGTTCCTGTCACGGAGGTCTGGCCTGCTGGGCGATAAGACGCTCCAAATGTACGAACGCCGGCACAACGGAAATTCGAGAAAAAAGCAAAAGAACTGTGCGACCACCACCGAGAAAAACATACCCGAAAAGGTAACCACCGAGAAGAACAAACCAGAAAAGGTAACCACCGAGAAGAATACACCAGAGAATAACAATTACGGCACCGGCGGAAGCGGACCGAACACACCAAACGGCGCTAATACAGACATTGAAAACAATATACCTGAAACGCAAGCCGGACCGGAAGAACAGTCTGACCCGTCGGCAATGGATAAGTTGTCGGCTCAGCTATCGAACGCTGTCGAGTCTACCGCCGATATGAAATTCGGTAACGAAGAAAATTTAATCACTAAACCCAATGGCGTCGCATCCTACCCGAGTGAAATTCTATCGCAATCAACAATCGGTAATACCGAAGTAAAACCCGCAGAAGACAATACTATGGTAGCCGTAAAGACTTTGAGCAGACCCACGCCAGTATCCGAAATAGTCGACAGTATCACTGTCGCTGCTGAAAACGACGGAAAACCTGAAGCATTGGTAGCCGTCAACACGGTAACCAAGTCTCCCTCGGAAATGGTGATCGTCAAGACCGTGGAGAAACCGGTCGAAGTCTCGGTCGCCGAATCTATCGTTAAGTCTCAAAACACAGACGCAGTCGTGACTGCAGACGTTCAGTCGGTCATCGCGGACAAACCCGCCGAAATGGTCGTCGTCAAAACGTTGGATAAACCCGTCGAGCCGACACTCGAGGGCGCACTAGCTTTGGTCGCCGACTCAACTGTGAAGTCTCCAAACTCGATTGTGGCCGCGGCGCTCGACGTTAAGCCGGAATCAGTCGAAAAGCACGCCTTTGCGGACAACCCCGTCGAAACGTTAGCCGTCAAGACTGTGAAACAACCAAATGAAAAGGAGAACCCGGCGACTATCAAGGTGAACGATAAGGCAGTCGAGCTCCAAGGAAACGCGGTCAGCCCTAAGATCTCTGCCGGGCCCGTTGACACTTCGAGACAACCGGACAGGCCGTCAGAAAGCGTCGGCAAGTCTGAAGAAACGGTTGTCAAGAAGACGGCGGAGAAAGACTCGGTTCCGGTTAAGTCTTCAGAAATTCAAGTGAGCGCCAAAAAATCAGTGAGACCCGTCGAATCGGTCGGAGCGAAGACTGAAACGGACAACAATTCGAAAAAATCGACAGAAAACGTCAAACCCGAAATGGTCGCCATGAAGACTGTGGAAAATCCATCTGCGGCAGCACCGACTAAGGTTGTCGCTGAAAAACTAGTAGCGACCACTGTAAAAGCGACGGAGACTCATTCCGTTGCGGACGACAAGCACGGTCTAGCGAAGTCCAGTAACAACGCCGCCGACATGGTGGTCGTCAAGACGGTGGACAACCCAGCCACCCCCGCAGTGATAACCGTCAAGACTACGGTGTCCATGAAGGCCGTAGTAAAGCCATCGGCGGCCAACTCAAAGACTTCATCGGTTACGACTGGTGGCACGTCGACGTCGCGCAAGGTAGGAGATCGTAAACCGTTACCAGCAGTATCCTTACAAGTTGCACCTTCGACCTTGGTTACTGCGTGACCGCGAAAAATTACTTTTATTTTCAATTAACTTCCCAAAAAAACGCGTCATGTTTGTGATTCGGCATTTGCCATTGTACTTATTTTTAAGATATTTATTGCCCGTTTTCTAATGTAGAAAATGTATTTTAAGTGATGATTTAATTGTGTTGTTAAAAAAAAAAATTTTTAAAATTGTATTCAACAAATGATTCGTTGTTTATTATTTTTTAATTAATTATTATTATAACTAGAGCTTCGCTCTAGCTGGGGGCTCCGCTCCCAGGCCCCCGAGTCGGGCGGGTAGGTCACAGATTCCCGGTACTGTACCCGGCTACGCCGGGCACGCTCACGTCCCCTCGCTGCAAAGTATTTTCGGGGAGGTCACAGATTCCGAGGGGGGTGCCCGGCTGCGCCGGCCACGGTGTCGAGCCATCGCAATACGTCTTAAAGGAATGCCGTTATAATTCATGGTACCTATAGGCTGTATCTAGTAATCAGAATTCATACCTAGTTATGGACAAATATTTTGCAAGCTAGGTACTGATTAAGTGTAGAGTAAGTCTAGCTATGTATCTGTAATTTTTTTTAATTTTAAATTGAAAAGAATAGTCTAGAAGTTAGACGGTTAATAAATATCAAGTGTCCGGTGTTGCTTACTTGGGTTGCTACCACTTTTACCAATTTGTATGAACTACCAATGTCCAGTTCCTTATCAGCGGGCGGAATTCGTATAGATAACTGATAAGGACGGCAGGTCTCCGAGTGTTTTGGCATTCGCTCGCTCGGAGCCGTCGCTTCGCTCCGCCAACTAAAAATATCCTAGGTTTGTAGGCTACAGTCTATGAGGAGGTAGCAGGTTTAAAATTAAGTTTAAATTAAAATTTTAAAAAGTTAAAGAGACTTGATAAGAAGCTGGCCATTGGGAAAAGTGTACAATGGAAATTGTCTTTGGTAAAAGTTGTTATATTATAGACCACGTCATCAATATAGGCCGGTGTAATCCCGCTTAATTTTATAAGTTGAAAACAGATAAAAATGTCTAGAGGGCAGTCAGCTAAATGTCTGTTAAGGTTTACCTTTGTGAAATAAAATTTGTTTAAACGTAGTATGTTATATGTCTGTACACAGCAGTTCCGAGGGGGGGTGCCCGGCCACGGTGTCGAGTCAGCTCACTACGTTTTAAAGTACACCGTTATAATTCATCGTACCTTTATCTAGTAATCATAGTTCATACTTAGTTTCAAAAAAGTGTTTTGCAAGCTAAGTACCGGTTAACTGTAGTGCAAGTCTAGCTATCTGTCAGATCAGAAACGTCCTACTACTAAAGCGAGTGTGCTACTTGCTTAAAGAACAATTTTTTTTTTTTTAATTTGAATTGTTTGAGGTGTTGTTTACTTCACGGGCTTGGTAATAGCTATGGTTAAAAATAGAAAGAAATGTTTGGAAGACAGTCGGCTATATGTCTGATATGGTGTTCCTATGTGCAACAAAACTTTTTCAAACGTATACGTTATATGTCTAGATATTGGTTGAATTAAAATCCTTATTTGTTCAGAAATCACCGTCTATGCCATTGTTCGGTAATGACGTACTGTACTTTTAGAATGTAACCAACAGCATAATGCATTAAATATGTATATTAAAGGTCTGGTGGTTTAACAGAAGTTCATAAGTGTTTAAGAATTCAAGAGTAAATCACATGAATGAAATGTCTAGAGGCCAATCAGTACATACTATATATTAAATAGGAAAATAATTGAAGACTAATAAGTAAAAATAATTTGTAGCAAATATTTTTGATTATTTGGAGTGTCCGGCGGTGATTATAAAAACGGTCAGAGTACAAAATGATAATAATAATAATAATATTCAGTGCATAAAATACCTATATTATTTTATACTTATCCAGACATATTTTATACATAATAGACAAATTGATATATACATTAATACTTTTTTAAGTAAACCATGAAAGGTATAAATCCATATGTTGATATATTTTTAGATGGCTAACCAACAATTCATCCTACTAAATGATAATAATCAAAAATTTAAAAATAATTTGATTTTTCATTATGTAGTATCAATTTAAAAAAATATAGCAAAATCTATAGATTTACTATACTTTTTAGGGTGGAGCGAATACTTATATTATACTTTTATAAATAATAAAATAGTAAATTAAATGTTGATTTTCAATATAAATTTTAACCCTTTGAAGCACAGCATTTTTTTCTCTGATTTTCTCTGAACATGATTATGAAGGTGGTAATAAATATATACCACTGTGCGAGAGTAGGCTATTTTTTGAAAAAGTGGTATATTACTTATACCACCATGCTTCAAAATGTTAAAATGCAATAAAATGATTTGAAATTAATATTTTATTTTTATGTTTTAATAATGCCCTATGTCTGAAATCACACCACAAAAAAACCAAAATAGTCAATATTAATAAGTATCTAATTTAGTTCAAGCTATATCAACAGCAGCTCAAAAAAAAAAAATATATATATACATACATATAATATAAAAAATTAAATAGTTAGTAAAAATAAATGTTCAGACAATTTTTTTGATTTTTGATTACTACTCATAAAAACGGTCTAAGAACACAGAATGTTGAACGCTAAAATAATCTAAAGACAACTGTTTTAAGAATTAAAAAGATGATATAGGGACTTTTGCTGATGCTTTTAAAAAACATACCTATAATTTTTTATTATAAGACTGTGTAAAAATGCATTTATTCGTTGGTTAAATAAGTATTATAAAGCCAGGGAGTAAAAACTGGAATGATTACAATAGCATAAGATGTTGCTATGTATAATGTGATTAAAATAAATTAGATCATATAATATAGTTATTTCTTATTAGAGCGGAATGAACACAGATATTTTATGTCAATAATGTATATAAATTTTAAGCACACAAAAGTAGCCCCAGGTGTATAAAACTAAAAATCTATTGTTTTTAGATCTGAACAATTTTTATTCAGTGCATCGAATATACTATTATTATTATTTAAAAAAATATTTTTCATTTTTCATTATATATATATATATATATATATATATTATTATTTTAACAACAATAAACTTTTTTTTTAATTAATCCATGTATTATGTTATTTTTAGATAGGTCAATAAATGTTTTTCTACTAAATAATTTACAATAATACTTCCTAAAAAAAAAATTATCTGGAAAGTGAAATCAGATACATGATTTAAAAAAGTAAAGTTATATGTTTGTCAATTTCAAAGAATTCAAACTATATTTTCAACTTTAATGACAATTATTAGATTTTTTTTAGCTTGAATTGTTGATTTCCACATAGCTTACCTACAATGTCAGAATTTTCCAAAGTTAAAATATTAAAACCACAAATTAAGTCAAAAAACAATTTTAAGAACCCCAAACGGTTAGTGATAGTATTTGATAGTGATCATACATATTTATATAGGTAAATCATCCTACTAAATGAAATAATTAAAATATATTCAAATAATGCCAATTTAACGTGAAATAATATATCATTAAAAAAATATATAAAAAAACTAAAATAATTTTTATTCTATGTAGTGATCATAATTGTACAGCTTTAACAAAAAAATGTGAAATAATTAATGTTTTAATTATTTGTACATCAGTATTGTACGTGTGTGCATGTTTAGAAACTAAAGCGTTAAGAGAAGTCGGTTAAGACACTGTATAATGAAAAAAAAAACTGTCAATTTAAATTAGGGTTGAGTGTAGAGATTAGATAGGCACTAATTATTAAAAAATACTTCATAAATAACAAAAAATGAACTTCTACAGTGTAAGTTTTCTGTTGGCCGCAGGCAAATTAATCGGTGACGGCATAGGATAACAGTCTGTAACCAATGGTAACAATAATAACTACTTATTGTATTAACTAAAGACAGAGTAGATAGAAGTAGCAATCAATCTTCTAAACGGACACGCATCAGTTATGATTTCACTATAGTATTGGCCTAAAACAAATAATTTACATATATATAAAATAAGTCAGTAAGTTCTTTAATTGAAAATAAATAGTAGATATATATGTCAACAAATTTTTCAACAAAAAATATGAAATGTATCGTTATCACCACACACAGCGGTTTGAAAAAGATAAGAATTTTGTACATCTAATTAATTTGATAATTTGGTTTAAGCAAAATGTAATATACTACTATACTATATATAATTATATGTATTCTAAATCTAAAAAACGTACCAATATCCAACGACGCATATTAATAGGTAATGTTTGCACACCGGGAAACGGAAACACGACAAAAGATCGCCCGACAAAACGCCGCCGGACAAAAAATCGACAAAACGTCGCCGGACAAAAAATCGACAAAACGCCGCCGGACAAATCGCCGCCCCTAAAAAAACCGCCTCTCAGTAATGCTAACACTAACAATACTTGTATACAATATACGATTATTAATGGTGTTAGTTGTGCTGCCAGCATGACATATTATTAAGGAGTAATTATTTCACATTTTATTCATTAATGAGCTAATGACTCAAACGAGGCTGTTTTTAAAAAATATTTCCAGATGGCATTTTGAAAGTCGGATAAGAAGTCCGAATGTTTTATAATATTTTTTATAATATTTTTCTATAATATTTTTCACCACAAAAAAAAACGATATTTTATTATCTCTAGAAAACTGTTTACCTATTATTGAACTGTTATCTTTGTTTTTTTTATAAATGCATGTAGGTATTACCTATATATTTTTAGTACTTATTGCAAAGTGTATAGGTGTAAAATGGTGTTATTGTTTTAAAGGAAGGCAAAAAAATTATACACAATAATTATTCGTGTACCAAACAACACATACTAGTACATTCCATTCGATGGAAATGTTCACAAAAAAGTTTAAAAAAATAACATCCATCAATAAACGTAAAAAATCAAAAAAACTTGTACATAAATATATGTATAAATAAAGTTAAATTTTTACTTTTATTAATAACAGTTAACTGGTTATTCATTGACTTCAAAATATAGATGATAAAACACAGGGCAAAACCGCACACTTTTTAACATTGCTGTATTCAAAAACCGCACATTTTATAATGACGTATAAACTATTATTTATATATATATTCTAAAAACATTTTTTTGGTACAATTTATATGTTGAAAAATTTAAGATAAAAAATTAAAAAAAAAAATTTTAATTTTATTTGCTGAAATCATTTCTAACGTTTTAAAGAAATTTCAAACGATCCCCGTCCCTAAAAAGTTCTTCCCAACATTTAAACAAGTGTTCCTAAAAATGAACCCAATATCATTCAAAATGATGTATTAAAAATATTAAAATGTGCCTATTAACTAACTTGTTTTTCAATTGGACAGACAATATTTTGAATACTCTTATTAAGCTTACGTCATTACTTCCTATTATCGTATTATTTTCTATGGATGACATCTCTCAGCGTATTATTTTTTGCGGTGTCTCTTGAATGTCATTAGAAGCCTTGCGTTTACAATTCATTTATTACGTACCTCTTGTACCTCTTTTTACCCAATATAAGTGTGCGGTATTCACCTGGAACCGGTACTTACCTGGAAACCGATGAAATGTGCGGTTTTTGGCTGTAACCAGTTCATTCAACCCCTGTTATATTGTATCTATTTTATCTTATTATTCAGGTTTACCATGTTATATTTCTCATTGTTAATTAGATATTTGTCCGTATTGTTTAAAAAAATTAAAATAAAAAAAGACTATAATGGCAGGTAGGAAAAATAACAGTCGAGTTGCCGCGCCAAAAGTTGCCGAAAATAGCATTATCCATACAAATTTTAATAACTTTATAATGTATTATAACACAATTTTAGTTTTGTCCAATTTTTTAAAATAAAACTAAAATATGTATACATACACGATACTTATATGAAAAAACGTTTTAATAATATTCGTTTTTCCGCTATTGTTACCTACTTATTTAAAAATAGAAAAAGTTATAAATGTATCTTGAGACATTTTGAAGGCAGAAGTGCTAGCTTTCAGATAATTTTTTCAAATATAAAAAATTAGTTTTAGTTGATAACTTTTTTATTCAAAGTGATTTTTCAAATGTAAATGAAATGGAGAAAATATGCTAATTAGTGTTGACTAGAAGGCTGAAATTTTGTATATTTCCTCTTTTTGAAGAATAACAACAATCTAGGGGTAGAGCAATAAATTGTGTTTGAGTCAGAAAATTGTGCTTGTATAACTACGTACAATTAATTAAGTAATATTAAATAATTAAAAATCAAAATTTACTGTGAATAAATTTACGTATACATTTTTTGTTAATTATTATATCATTGTGTTTTATTATTATTATTGTTGCAATTTATTTTATTATTACATACTTATATCAACCATAAACAACAATTACTAATTTTAATAATGGTCTTCACATTACTAATAAAAATGTTTTAATTAATAGCGTTTATTTTACAATAGGTAAAATAACCGTGTATATTGATAATTACACAGTATTATACTTTATTAACAATATTAGTTTTTATTATCAATTATATTGTTTTTAACGTCGTAACACTTATCAACCTAAGCGTTTTACTTTCTTAAACTGTTTTGCTGTGGTACGCAAACGAGTCTCTAAACTTTTTGCCTATAAGTTCATATCATACTTCCAACATGGCAAACACGAACAACAGCTACGCACTGTTACCGGCTGATCCGATCAAATTACTTTTTCAGATAGCTTTATGTATTTTACTTATAATACCGACAGTTCTATTGGCAATGGTCAAACAAATTATCGGATCTCAGAAAAAAATAATCAGAGGTCAAATAGTCGTGGTAAGTGATTTAAATATATTAAAATGTTCATATGAAAATCGATATGAGGTCTTTACTAACTATACAGAATGTTGGATAGTGGACAAGTAATTTAAATAAAAAATTAGTTTTTCGGAAATGGGATAATGTAGAGGTGGAATGTGATGTAACTAGAATAGAAAAATAAAAAATGTATTTGTAAGAGAACTTTAGGTTTGATTGGAAACATTTGTTTTAAGACTGATCGTTTATCATTGCAGCTATTCGTCCTTTATGATTGGTATTTCAATGGTATTGTAATAATGAACTCTATAATATTGCCTAATTAGATTACCGGAGCCGGCCAGGGTTTGGGGCGTGAGCTTTCCATGAGATTCTACAGGTTGGGCGCCAAAGTGGCTTGTGTGGACGTGAACGGCGATAGTGCCATCCAAACGGCTCAAGCGATCAAAGATGCCGGTGGTGTGGCCAGAGCTTACGCAGTAGATGTAACCAAGAGGGATCAGATCAAATCAATGCACGAGGCGATCAAAAAAGAGTGGGGTCAGGTGGACATAGTGGTGAATAACGCGGCGATAGTTAAAGGTCACTTGTATGTCACCCCCAACTCCGACAAGATCATCGAAGACATTGTGGACGTCAACTTACTAGGACAATATTGGGTAAGTTTGCCTAGAGATTGTTTTAACTTTCAGTAATCCGAGGTCTATGACAGTATATAACAAAACATATTATGGCTCTTATTTTCCAAATCCTTCTAATTGGCAACACGTTTCATCCATCAGTACAATATTATCTCACCCTCGCCTCGGTTCTTGATATACATTTTGATACCTTAGACACTAGCGTATATCGTCGTACCTAATGAGACACCGGTTAACACTGAGTGTACCCATAGTTAAAGCTATGTTGATTTAGTATAAATTACCTAAGTGCCAAGAGGTATCGCGTGACCTCCACGAGCGTCTCAGCTGATGTCATCGCTAATCAGATCAGATACCCTTAACAAAAGCTCCCTACTCCTGTGGCTTGGATTTAAAAATTAAAATCGAAATTAACACTTGACACGAACGCGACTATTGATGTGTGTGGTGCGTTTTGTTTTCTCAGGTAAACAGAGAAATACTTCCGTCAATGCTAGAAAGGAATAGCGGACAAATCGTCGCTATATCGTCCATGTCGTCGATGAGCGGACTGGCTAGCGCGTCCTCGTATGCGGCCACCAAGTGGGCGACAAACGGTAAACACGGCCCCTAATATCATTATAATAGAATTTGAATTTCTTAAGTACTTTAACGAGGTGTGCAGGTATGATGGAATGTTTGCACAACGAATTGAAATCTCTCAACTCGAACGTAGTGTCCACGACGGTGTGTCCGTACTTCATAGATACCACCCCGGACATTTCCACCTCCTGGGAACTTAGGTAACTGCCTCAAATGACCAACGGACAATCGGACTGAACATTGTAGTTGATCAAATTGTTTTATTTTTAGACTACCCGCAATGCCAACCTCGTATGCCGCTGAAATAATAATGAATGGAATACTTGAAAACCGGAGGATATTTTCAGTGCCCAACCACTTAATGTGTTTAGTGGCGTTTGGCAGGTATTCCACTACTATACTTACAAGCTAGCCTGACTTGAAATCGTTTAATTTTCTTATTTGTTTTGTGATACCTAATGCTCAATTAATTATACCATTTAATCTGTGACCTCCCCGACCCCAATATGCTTACTATATCCCAATATGACCCAACCCCACTGTGCATGTTTTTTTTATAAATCAACAATTTAGTCTTTTAGTTTTAAGTTAGTTTCTCTAGTAAGTTAATTTCTTATTGAGATGGCCTAGAAGAAAAATTATTGTTTTGTATTATTATCAAATTTACCCTGATATTAAATGGTAGAAATATAAAGTACAAAACAAATATATTGTCCATTTCTAAGTTCTAACCAACATTATAATGATCTCAAGCTAAGAGGTATTATTAATCTTATTAGGAAACGAGGTTTTGTTTATACTTTCAAATAGTTTATAGTTTTACTTTTTAGTAGGTCTATGTATACTGAATAGGTACCAGTACCATATACAGAAAGTTTTTTTTTTTTGGATGGGGAAGGCGCTTGTTATTTAAGCTTAAGGAATACATTTTAGAACAGTTGACTGTTACATACCTACTCTTTTACTGTTACATACCTACTACTCTTTTATACTATTATATACAAGCCCCATGGTCTTCGGCACTGTTGATACAACATGTTTTGTTATTTTTCAGGTTATTACCAGACAATTGGCAAGAGTATGCAAGTAAAATATTCAGTGTGAAAATCTTACCAACGCTTGATGATAAGGAAGTTGAAAAAAATTATCGAATTAAGAGTTCGGCTGAAGTATAGCATAATGATATTATATTATAAGTTATAACAATGTTGAAGACACTAAAATTAAATTTAAACTAAATATTTTGTACACTGCGACTTCATTAGCTAATGGCAAAAAGTAACAATTGTATGTTATGAATAACTGCAATAAATATGCTTATAATTCGTTTATTAGGTTTTTTATTTTATATCCTACGCACAAGTTTTACCAACAGTCCAGCTTTAAGATCCTAAGTTCTATAACTACTCTTAAAAACATTAAAACAATTATTTGGTAATTATTGGTTTGTGTTTACTTATACGACTGTTACCGTACTGTACTTTTAAAAATTTCTACATTTTTAATTTTTTTAAAAAAGGGTAAACTCTTGGTCCAAAAAAGTACGTGTACGTTTTACAGAAGTTTGCTTAAATAATAATAGCCCAACAGTGGATATTTATTGTGGGGATACCATACCCAAATATATAAAATAAAAACATATAATGCAGAACCAATACCAATACAATAGATACCTTTTCTACTGCACATAGGAACAGTAGATAAGTAGTCGATTAATCAAAGAGTCGTTGAATTCAGGTGGGCTATAAAATACCAGAAAAATGAAAATGGGCTTTTTAAGAAGACGTCATATCTCTATTTATTAAGGAGTTAGGTATAGACAATTTTTTGAAAAATCTTAATTTAAAGGTTAAAGTTTAAACTGTGATGTGTAATAAATGATGAGTCCATTAATTATGACTTTTTGGTAGTGGATTTGATTTTCGGACTATCACAGCATCCTTGATAACGATAAAAAAATGTCATCTAAACACAGCTACGCATATTCTCTATTATTGACTAAAATCTAAATAATAATCGTAAATTTATTTTTTACATAATATATAATAATGAGAACTTTATCTAGGTTCTCTCGTCGTTTTTTTTTATATTATTAGTAACCTAACATTCACAATTTACATATTTTTTAAATCTGACATTTTTTTTTCTTTTATTAGCCTTAATTCTGACCTTTTTTACTTTTTTGAAGTGCGTGTATTTCCTAAGGTAAAATGTAAGTTTTCTAAAAAAAATCGACAAGAGACAAGATAACCTTAGTTAAAGTTTTTCTCTCTTTTTAACATTTTTTTACTATGTTCTATGGCCATTTCGCTTTGACTTGCACGTTTTTACGATTATTTCTAAAGGGTATGACGTATTCTTAATATTGCCTTTGTAATTACATACCACTCAAATAAAATTACTGATTTCCAAATTCCAATTTTCATTAACATATGCCGAGGAATCATGTCTTATCTGGCAAAATGATAATAAAAAATAAGGTATGTCGGCAACTTTTGACAACCGTAAAATGGCTGCCGCGTGCAACTTGCTGGAATACCTATTAATGTTGCCATGTTGTCAGATAAGAAACACATGCGTTCAGTCATCAGTGTAAATCTGAATGCACGTTGATAATAGTCGACTAAAGTATAAAAGCATGAAAAGTTAGTGGGTCTTTATTATGTATAATTAGATGAGAAACTACAAGTAAGTGCGATTAGTATATTATATATTTTCTATATTTATAACTTAAGAGGTTGGTTTTAAAATGTCCCTCGGCAGTATTCTACGCAATTCTTTTCAGTAAGTAACTATTTGTTGTTTTTGAAACATAAAACAGTCTAATACAATGTTTTATAATCAATATTATATTTTAGACATATTATTGGACTTCCGTCTATTGGTGTGAAACCCGTGAGCTTTTTAAAACCAGAACTTCTAAACCCGTGGTCAGTTGATTTGATTCGTACGAAAACTCGAAATCATTTTCCAAGACCGAATGAAGCGAAACGTATTAGGAAACATGGCTGGTGGACTAAAATGGCAACGCTAAATGGACGTAGAACGTTGCAAAGAAGGATACTTAAAGGCCGTTATGTTTTAAGCCATTAACATTCGTGTTATATTAAATAATACAATATGATATCATGTAGTTTTTCTGTAATACCAAAACCTGTAACATTCTATAGTATGTAATAAAAAAAAATGTGAATGCTCAAAGTTTGTTATTAATTTTGTATGAAACCTTATTATTTGCTAATACTTATCGTTTTTATACTAGTGATAATGAAACTTCTCGGATGTCGTTCAATTCGCTTTATAAGGTATTTTAGTGATGTTCAGAAAGTTACCAAATTTAAGCCGAAAGCTAGTAGAAAAATCAATTACTGTACACCAATACTTTCAGAAGAGAGAAAAAAGGTAAAACCAACAAGTTATATAATTTTTTTTATGGATATACAACTAATTAGGGTGAAACAATTTTTAGTCAATTAATAAAATTGTTGCCTTACAAATATCTGGACGGTATCTAACTTGCACTTCATTTTTACGAGATGGAAATATGTTGGTCGATTGGAAAATGCTTTGCTTTCCAGAAAACATGTATAAATTTAACCTGAACGACATTTATAACTCTGTAAGTAATTAGCTATCATTGTTTGGCTCTTGATATAGAATTTGGATTTGCATAGGTCGTCGACATAATGAAAGATTTACCACAAGGCGATGCATACTTAATAGAAAACTATATGAAAATGCCTAGCAACGTGAATGTTGCCGGAGCCAATCTTTTTTATATAAAACTACAAACACTTGCTATGCTCATTGCACTTATCAATAGTAGTCAAATGAAGGATCTATCCACAAATACCAGTAACTTTTTTTATAGAAATTAACAATACATATATATATTTATTTGTTTAATACGTAGTGATATTTAAATTTTGTAGATGAGAAAGATAGTAAAGTAGTACTCATGAAAGCACGTTTGCACGCTAGGCTGTTTAGAATAATTGTTGGGACAGAAATAATTTCATCGCAAACGATAACCGAATCGATGTTGAAAGGTAATTTTCCTGAACATATTACGCCTATCACACCGGGAATTGATGCAGTCCTGACTTACAACTCGGTCCAAGATCCCGCAATTAAAGAGCTTATGTCTAATGGACTCATGATGGCATTAACCTTTGTTAATTTGGTACTAAACTGCAATCCAAACAGTTTACAGGCACTTAGTACAAGTTATAGCAAGAAATTGAAATCAAATAAAAAATAATTTAAACATTTGTACATTTTTAAAAATGTATCAATTTTATTATAAATATATAACATATATTTAAAACATTAAAAAAAGATGTAACTATTTGAAAATCTAAAGTTAAACAATTTCATATTTGTTCAAACATATCTAAATAATATCACAGATATTAATTATGTTTAAATTAAATTTTACTATTTAAAATATCGAAAATAAATTAATGATCAATAATTTTACAGTTAATATTCATATGCTTGATGGGCATTAAACCCATTTTATCTAAGGTTACTTGCATTGTAAGTTGTAAGGGGGTGTTTCTTTTTTGCGTGTCTGTTCAGATCATTTTTTTGTTGGTATTTCTTATTGCACTTTATGCATTTATACGGTTTTTCACCTGTGTGAACTCTCATGTGTATACGAACCTTCTCCGGACGACTAAATGCACGTGTACACACTTCACAGCTGTATTTCTTTTCGGTGTGTATGGCTTCATGCTGACGTAAGGTCGACGAACACTTGAATGACGAATTGCAGTTTACGCATTGATACGGCCTTTCCCCGGTGTGTTGCCGTAGGTGCACGACCAATTGAGACTTGTTCGGCAACTGTTTGCCACACATTTCACACATGTAAGACATGTAGTGTGTACGTTCATGGTACAGTTTCGACATCTCTGACATGAATGTTTTGTCGCAATAATAACATTTAAACTCATAGGTGTTGTTTGTAAGACCGTAAGCTTGTGCCCAACCTTTAATGCTAGGTACGTTGTGTGCTTTGATGTGATGGACTAAATTCTGGAGACTGTCGAAGGAGAACATACACAAATCACATGGAAAATATCGTTCAGGGTAGTGCAACTTTACATGACTTTCAAACTCCAACACATTTGAACAACGTCGAAAACAATGAAGGCAATCCAGTTTTTTCAAGTTATGACTCATGAGTATGTGGTATCTTAGGTTTTTACCTTGAAATAAACAATTATACTTATGTTATTCTGAAGAATAATAATCAATTTACATGTCTTTGACTATTTTACCATTAGTAAAGGTAAGTGTGCAGCGTAGACATTGTGTTTTATTTGTTTTTTCAAAAAACTCCCGGGTCACACAAATGAAATTTTTACTCTTGTGTGGTTTTTTTTTCCCTACAATATCAGCAGCTTCAAAGTTATAATTTTCTTTGTTTTCCTATAAAATGTAAGAACCAAGATACATTTTTTTCCAAATTATTAATGAATTTATTTATTCATTGTTCTTGAATAGGTATAATCATTTCATGAATAAAACAAAAATAATGTGTTAATATTACTTATCCTATACATAAATCCAAATTATATTAATGAATACAATTATTCGTAAATACAACAAATATTCAATGAATATTTTTTATTTAATTTGATTAATCAGTTATTAATTTTTATTTTTACACAACTCTGTATGCGTGTAATATTATTGAAATTGATTTGAATAATTATAAAAGTATTAACTTATAACATAATTACATAATGCCCGTTTTTACCTGTTCAATGTCATCCAATTCAAGTAGATTGGTTCTCTTAAAGTTGTTTATAGCTGTGACCTACATAAATCAAACAATTATTTATTGCTTATAAAAGGAAATGTAGAAGTACTTTTAGTGTCACTTTATAAACTATAAACATTACAGTTTATTGATAAAAGAATTAATAATTTTTAAAATATAATGTTTTAAGTTTTAAGTTATAATTGAAAAATACATAATGTAGTTATATGAAATTACTTTTGTAACAAAAACTTTTTTATGCGGTGCATTCCCCAGATTGCCAACAATAGCTGACATGAGCTTTGTGGTGTTATGGCAAAATTCAAACACAGGGTATACATCTTCTATTTGACTAACACACTTCTGACAAATTTTCAAAGAAAGCTGGTCTTCAGGGGACACCTGAAAAATATGCGACAATTCATAGATTTCTTTTAGTTTTAATGAACACAGTTTCTTTTTAATTAATAAAGAGCCAAAATTTACTTATTTAGTTTAACTCAACACTTGTTTGAAAATTATTATCACACTATACATACATGAAGCAACAAGAAGGCATTTATTTTATCAGCTAGCAAATTCGACGGTTGTCCTACGTTATAATCAAAAATATCTATCGATCCTGGATTTCCACAGATACGGCACAATAGTAACATTCTTTCCCGAAATGTCTAAAATCACAAAAGTAATAATAATTATAGAGGTATTTTTTGAACCTAAACGGACACTGTTTTCTATGTTGAATCTCTAAATGCCTTATCAAAATTGTTCGATTCTGAAAACTTCGCCATAAGTTCGTTTGTCTGAATACCAGTTTTAACTATACGGCTTATGGTTGTGACTTGGTTAACGCAACTTTCACATGCCATTGAAGAATAACGATCATTGAGGGTAACCTGTAAATAAACACAAAGTTATTTACTTATTTTATTTGTTATTTTGAACAAATATATTATATTAATATACATTAATAGGTAGTAAACTGTTGATCTTATCGGCAAGGTCCAACGATTGTCCGAGGGATCCATATATATTCATAGTACCAATATTGCCGCAAATACGACACAATTTTCGAATTCTCTCGCAGTACGACATCTTAAAACAAAAATGTATTCAAATAATTAAAAATATACTTAACAAAAATTACTTATTTAAAATATCACATAACTGTTGTACATAGGTATTTCAGTTGGACGAAATGTTTTGAATGTAATTATTATTTATAGTTTTCGTTATACCGATCCATATAATTCAAAATCAAAAGCCAATGGCTATTAACACTTTAGATTTAACTCCTCATTTGTCTAAAAAAAAAATTGGTGGAGCTTTACGTCCCTCTTCTTATTTAATGTACTTAAATATGATAACGTCATTTAAACAGAGTTGTGCACGAGACGAATTTAAATACAGTGGCGTATTTAAGGAAGGGGCTGAGAAGCTGCAACCCTCCCCGAAATTTCAGAAAATATAAATTATTAATAACAGTATGGCACTTTTTCAGTAAGTCAAAGGTTAGCCCTCCCCGAAAAAAAACCTGCCTACGTCACTGTTTAAATAAAATTTATGACCAAGTTTTACTATAGAATAAACTATCAACAAATTTAAACTATTTAAAAATCATAATCTGTCCCGGAATTCGAGTAGTCAATTATAATGTTTTTGTATGTTTTTAGTTCAAGTACGTTACCTAACTGAGCTAAAAATAGAATAGACAAAACAAACCCTATACTCGACGGCACAGATGTATTTAACAATTAATAATTATAAGTAGGAACTAAATAAACCGAATTTAGAAACGTATTCGAAGTAGGCCTGTAAGTTATACTTATGCACATAACCAAATGTGTCAGTAAATCAGAAACATAGTAACAGACATTTTTGTTTTTTTCTAGAAGTTTAGACTTCTTAGCAAAAAAAAAACCTAAAATTTTGCCTTTTTTAAATGTGCGAAAACAGTATTTGTGATGCATACAACTTTATTGAACCCAAAACAGTGTATAAACGAATTACAATATGACTATTTGGCATTTGATGTGTGGCAGAGTAGGAAAATTAGGCTTAATTATTCCTTTTTGACCTGCCAACGGTTCTTAATTATTTAATTATAATATAATGCATGATATTACAGTTGTGTTAAATACGGCAAATTTAAACAAAACAATTTTTTTTAAAAGGTGTCAGCAGTTCATATTTTAAGACTTATACTTGTTCTTAGTTCTATGGTTTACATAGATGTGTCAAAAAATGGTAATCATTTGAGAATTTAGGTAAAAATAATATCAAGTAAGTACATATAATTATAACATAAAATATTCGTAATTTTTTCTTTTGTTCAATGATTATTAGGGCGTAGACAAAGTCGTTTTAGTTTCTATGTAAAATTATGACAAAAAATAGAAGTAGGTACTTACGGTCAGTTTTTCGTGAATTGCTTACTTTAAATGTGAAACTATAAATACATTTTTAGCAATGCGAAATGTTGTCTAAAATATGTTGAGACTAAAAAAAAATCGATCGTAAAAAATAATTGATCGTTGTTTCACTAATTATCAGAAAAGCTATTGGTTATTCTTCGAAAAGACAGAAAGAAATGATACGTCATAACTCAGATGGTCGATGACTGGACCATAAGATGCAGTGTGTCCAATTTTTGCAAAAATAATATTGTACCTAATAATATAATGCCACGGCACACAGGAACATGTTTTACTGGTAAAACTGTAAGAGTAATCCAGATTTGTTTATGTTGGAAAGAGAAAGACTTGCTATAGGTGCGTTTGATTTAGATTTTCTGTGTAATTTTTTATAAACTCTATAATAAGAATCTGAATAAAACCAATTTTCATACGTTTTATTAAAATTTTTTTTAGATGTTTAGTACGTATTCAAAAGAGTAGGTAAGTCTTTTTTTACCACCAAAATGACTAAAATCAAAGAAAAAATTGCATACGATAAAAATAAACCCCTGAAGCGTATTCAAATTAGCCTAATAATAAATTATTATTAATTCAATTTATTATTAAGTTAATTCGATACAACTTTTTGGGTATTATTTTTAACGTATGCAATTTCTTCTTTGATTTTAGCCATTTTTGTGGTAAAAAAATACTTACTCTTTTGAAAAAAAACCATTTTTTCTCTAATATTGCCTATACTAAATAAAAAGTCGCGAGCAGATATGGTAAATTATAGTTGCATACTTGCATAATTTTGTGAATCGTACAAACATACAATAAAATATGTATGTATATTATTTATCAATATTATTATTTGTAGTTTACAAAATATACATTACACGTTCAGTTAAAATAATAAAAATATATTTTAAAATGTCAAATAATAACAAGCACTACTGTCGCCAGGGGCTTAAAATATATAAGTTGTTTGTATTTAAATATTTTATCGACATCCTCCAAGGAGTAAATAAAATGTACTGCTCCTGAATAATACAATTTTATTTCTTCCGTTAGGGAAAAGTTAGTGTTTCATAATTATTATTCTGTTTTAAGTATTATATTTTATGTTAAAAAACAAAATATGTACATTTATGGCCCAAGTTGCTCAGACACCCTGAGCTGAATATTTATTGTTTTTTTATCAATTCCTATGTCCCATATCCTTAGTTAGGAAACATAGGTTTAAATTAATAACTTTAATTTTATGGAAAATATATTGATGTTATTTAAATAACTTGTAACTTAAAGTTAATGCTCTTAAATTTTTAAGTAATTTTCATAGTATTTATACTATAATATTGTTAAACAATATGAAATAAAATGTTACATAGGTAATTTACAATATTTAAGTTTGTTTAAAGCACATTGTTTATTTTACTTAAAATATGCATTTACACAGAAAAAACATATTGTAAGTATGTAAATATATATGTACGTAGTTTAACAAATTTGGTAGGTAAAAAAAATAAATACATTTATATACTTTTTATTTTAGGTTTTCTATTCGTGATAAATATTAAATAATTTAATAAAAAAACTTATTTCATAAAATAGTTATAACATCTTATGCGTATACATTAATAATATATACAAATTTCAGTATTTATTTTTTAAATCTATTTTTAATATAATATTATGTACAATTTTTTTTTTAAATAAGATATAATATAGATGCACAGTTAAGGTATATATACTTTTGTACATCACACTCATAGTTTGGAAGTTAATAAAATTTGACTTATTTCCTACAATTCTAAAAAAAAATGTGTACAATTAATGAGCAAAATGGTACAAATTTAGTTGGGTTACAAGTGAAAACTGAAAAAAATTAAGTAAAATCATTTAAACTTTGAACGGTTTAACTAAAAGATTAACATTATATTTTAGACATATTTCATAATGTATTAAAGAAGAAAAATAAAAAATTATATTTAGACCTTATACATTTGAATGGATAATTAATTCATAGAATAAAAGACATTAAAAAATAATTATAGGATGGCTGTCTAATATAAATAACTATTTATACTTATTATACACTTACAACTAGTAGTTTTTTTTATTTAAAGATGCAATACTTTTCTCAAGACACAAACAATATTTTTGAAAATGTGATACAAACATAAAATGTAAAGATAAATAACAAGGAATTTTGTAACAAAATAATTTATAAAAAAAAAAATGCACTTTGTTGGCAATTAAATCATGGGGTGAATATATTATTTACATTATACTTTAGTATTATATTTTTGTTTTAATTTTATTGGTAACAAAATATATATTTTTTTTTACAATCAGTTTAAAGAAGATAATATGGTAACCCGGATTTATGTCTTTATAGACATTTTATATTTTCATAATATATTATATGTATTTTTTCATAATCAGCAAAATCAATCATTTTTTCCATTTTAGATATTAATATTATATCACATGTAAAATTTATCTGAGTTTTCAACAAAATTTAAAAAAAATTATGCTAGACATAATCATTGCACAACCGCAATAGGTGCTGCAGCGGTTGCAAGATTTGTATTCGCTGACTTAACACTGAACTCGGTCGTGTTGTTGACCGCCGATTGAGGCCCTTTGTTAAACTCGGCTGTCGACGGTGGAGGAACATGATTGACAGGTGAAGACGACACAAAACTCTGTTGATGATGATGATGATGGTTGGCGAATGGTGAAGACATTGCATAACATTGTGGGAAGTATAATTCTGGCCTTACGATTCCAGATGGTTGATTGAGTATTGTGTTCAAGTGTGGAGGACGTCCAGGTTTACTGATTTCTGGTCGTCGTTTGTTAGCGTGAGGATTCACATGGTTGTCTATATGACGTTTTACTTCTTGTTCAGTACCAAATCGTCGACGACAGTTGGGCATCGGACAGCAGAACGGTCGTTCTCCTTGATGGGTTCTAGTGTGCTGATCAAGAATAGCTTTTTGCCTAAAATCTTTACCGCATTGCAGACATTTATACGGTTTTTCACCAGTATGGATACGTAAATGTTGATTCAGTATGGTGCGTTGACGGAAGTTTCGTCCACAGTAAATACACGTAAAAGGTTTTTCGTTGGTGTGAATGCGTAAATGCTGAGTGAGGTGAGACTGCTGTCGGAACCTTTTACCGCATTCAACACAAGGATACGGTCGGGACTCTATGTGAATACATCCATGTTGAAGTAACGTCGATTTCTGTTTAAATTCTTTGTTGCAAATTGGACAGCGAACGTACAGAGGCATTCCAGCACTACGGCCGTGTTGAATCACATCCGGCAAACTTTTTCCAGTTTGGCCAAATATTTCATGTACCACACCTGAGAACATTAAAATGTTTAATTATAATTACAAAAACAAACAAACCAGTATTATGCGGTAGTACCTTTAGCGTCTTTAAAGTAAGCCGGGAACTGAGGAGCATTTTCTGGAGAAAAACAAGAGTCGTTTGAATCATACTGTCCATTTTTAGATTGCGGTAAAGGCACATCTTGGGGCCATAGTTGTCCGTTCTTATATACTAAATGAGGTCCTATGTCTGAAAAATAATTTGAAGTGTTCATTTAAAATTACACAAAATATAATATTTCTTTAACTAAAACTAAATATTCTAATTTCAAGTATGTGTCTTGGGGTTGTAAATTTAATCAAAAATCATTGAATTAGTTATAATAACTTCAAGGAAAAATATTCACAACCATTAGAAACAAATAACCTAAATCCATTTTCAATAAAAAAATAATTAATCTTCAAATACATTTAAATGATATGTATTACACAGTTGCACCTTTTAATCTTCATTATAATTTTTAAATTACTTGATCTCATTCATTGTATACTTTTCTATTTGTATAACAAATAGAAATTAGCATAAATGGTACTTGTACTATTTATGTATTAGTTATTACTATAAAGAACATTTTGTAGACATAAAAAGTTTATTGGCGAATGGAGCCACATTTTAAACTTCAGCGACATTTTCTGTTCAAATTTCATTCAATCATTTATGCGAAATAGAAATAATTTACTCTATACTAGATAACAGTGACCAAACGAATAACACAACATTCAATAATTTCTTATTAACTCATCTTTCTAATGTTACCAAGAATTTACAAAATATACTTTGTTTATTTAAAATTTTATTTTAAATTGTTGCATTTGATAAATTAATGAACAGTTATTTTTGTTCTTAATTTTTAGGAATCTTATAAAAGGAAAAAATAGGGGAGAAATAATCTTTTTTTTTTTATTAGTATCATCCATAAATTGTTTTTAAAACAATTTAAAAGGAAAATATTTTAATTATAGTAGAACCTAAATAATAATAATAAAATATTACCCCTATTGCTATTATTTTAATCTTCAATATATTAATTTTATATCAATTGTTTTTTTTTTATATAATAGGTACAAAAATCAAAATAATTAAATCTCAATAGACAATTTCTAATTAATACTTGATATTAATTACTGTAAAAATAATTAATATCTTTATTGTATTTACAAGATAAATGTACTTTACATGTTGTGTTAAAAAATAATTGTAATAATAATTAGAAAGTGTTTAAAGGATATTTGATCATATTTATTTAACATATTTGTTAAAAAAAAAAGATCAGGCGTGGTTAATAATATCACTTTATAACTAAATACATATAATATGTAATTTAACAATAAACAGTTAATACGTTTTTATATATAGTGACAACAGGCAGTAAAACATGTATTAGTATGTAGCAGTTAAGGGAGCATAAATAATGTTTTTATCATACGGATGTAGAGAAACATTTTAGCAAGCCATCCTGAAAGCAGACAAAGTATGGATATTTATCATAATATACCCCGCCTGACCTCACACTGAAGAGTTAAGTTTTTTTGTCACTTTCTATCACGACTCTCATTGGAAGACTTTCTTCTGATCTTAATTCGACCGCTTGTATCCTAATGTCAGTTTTAGGAAACGGTCTCGCTGGTATGTCCATGAGATGTAAAGGAGGTTTATTATTGCTGGAGCAGGAGGTAATAGTTGAGGAATTTTGGTATTTGGCTGCTTTAAGATTACTTTGCAGTAATCTTGAAGTGGCATTTCTAATATCTAAGTCAGTTATATGTTGTTCGTCTGGTGTTCTATCGCTTAGATTGGAATATAGTTTCATTCTGAAAGCATCAGCTGAGGACTTGAGAAAAGCATTCAGGTTAGTATGAAGTTGAGGGGGCGGAGGTGAACTTGAGGAATCGCTACTATTTAACAAGGAATGAGAGTGCTCGCCTTGGTGAGTGCGGACGTGCTGGTTCAGGATGGCTTTCTGCCGGAACGCCTTGCCGCAGTCACCACACCCGTACGGTTTCTCACCCGAATGGATCCGCAGATGTTGATTGAGTATGGCTCTTTGTCGGAAAGTTCGCTCGCAGTAGACGCACACAAATGGCTTTTCGTTAGCGTGTATCCGCACATGCTGTGTTAAATGGGATTGCTGACGGAAACGTTTACCACAATCGCTACATACAAATGGTCTGGAATCGGTGTGTATGCGTTCGTGTTGCATGAGCGTAGCTTTCTGTTTGAAATCTTTGCCGCATGAAAGGCACTTGAACATTCGTAAGTCGGAACCTTTTTTCCCAGACACTTCTTGTTGTTGGTGTATTAGATCGGGCATATTAGGAAAATCACCAGACGCTTCAGCAGGATTTAGGGGAGTCAACATGACTCCTGGTTGTTTTAAATAAGACATAAAACTTGACGGACTGAGCATGTGCGGAGGCCCGCCTCTAACACCGGAGTAGTAATTTGAGGGGTCTCCAGAACTGTACTGCCCAGGTTGAGTACGGTCTGAGTCAACAGCACTCTCTTCTTGAGGTGCCTCATCTTCGCCATTATTTCCAGAACCTTATTAACAAAATATATACATTTTTATGTAAAAACCAAAAATTTAGTATGTACTAGGTTGCAAAATCATACCTTGTACTGAATGATTAGCCGTTGGATATGGTGATGGTAAAGGCGAAGTAATCGTTGGTTGAGGTGCCTGTTCAGTCGACTGTTCTGTAGATTCGTGTTGGGACGATATGAGAGCAGGGTATCCATTTTGAGAACTGCCTGGGCCCCATTGACTACTGCTGCCATTTGGACCCGATTGATGGTGACCATCTTTGTTGTATATAACATATGGAGCACCGTTCTCTATAAATTTTGATAAAAACAAGTTTAATAATGGTTTTTAAACGTTATATGTTAGGTGTATCAGATTCGAGTAAGCGAATATAAATAATTTCAATGCGATTGTTTCACAATACCTTCGTCAGGTTTGGGTGTTTCCTGTGAATTAATGATCATTGGGAGTCCACATTAAATCGCAATATTTACAAAGAAATTGTGAGTGTACTACCAAGTAACTAGTAAGTATCTCAAAATAAAATCATAATCATAATAACAAAAAAAACGGAATTAAACCGATAGCGGAAAAATATTGAATAACTGATAAAAAGCACATTTTTTTATCACAAAATATTGGATTTTTTTTTTTATTCCTTCCTACGTAGTTCAAGAATCAAGACACCACGTTGCCATTTTAACATATGATTGCCGCTGAACGCCTTAGATGGCACCACGGGTAAAGCCGGCAACAGACAAAAAAATCGAACTTCAAACGCTTACAGTAATAGCTTAGTTTTTAAATTTAATACTTGTTCCACTTAATAATATGTTAAACGCAAAGGGAAATGTAAACAAACATAATAATAATTTTAAAACGAAATTAGTGAAATAGTGGTAATAGTTATCAAATTAGGGAGATTTACGACGGTATTAGATATTATTATTATAAGTATTTTCAAATGAAGTTAACAATAAATAAACAGTTAAATATAATGCAGATTAAACTAATAAATTTATAATGGTACATTAAGGCATTAATTTAAAGTTAAACAATGGGGTTTAAGGTTTCGTTGTTTATTTAAATTAAAAAAAAGATTTGTGACTTGAAATTCTATAAATTTGAAACAAGTAATCTAACAAATGTTTTTTTCGTTTCACCTGTTATGCACGATAGCATCAAAATTGTTCGTATTATCGCTGAGTGCACAAAAGGTATGACGATTTTACAGTATCAACACTGCAGCATTATAAAAAAAATACCTATCTAAGTATAAACTATATTGAAATCAGATTACTCAGATCTCAGTGTGTGGCAATTTTCCGCATTAAAACAAAAACCAAATGACAAAATACAATGATACTTATTTAGTATTATATTTTAAGAATATTATGTAGGTACTTAGGTTGAAGTTTCAACGAAACGTACACAATAAACGATTTATTTTAGTCAAACTAAAGTGGGCAAGTGGCGACATACTTGGTATCTCCAAACAAAAGCAATAGTATTTTTAATATAATACAAGTCCTACGGAAATAAATACTTATTACAGCCAAAAGCGGAAAAATATCAATAGGTCTTTTAAATCGAAAATGTTTTGTTAAACTAGAACAGAACGGTTTTTAATTGAAAAAAATATAACTCAGATTTCTTTACCATTAAAGAATGTAAAAAACAATCAGTGGCGTAAATTTTGAATTTTTTTTTGGATGGTGTCTCATATTATTTTAATTGCCTATTTTAGGGATATCGTTAATTTAGGTGACTTAAATATCTATTTTTTTTATTTTTAATGAAAAACGTTTAACAGTTTACAATCATATCATTTTCGCAAAGGGATGAAAATATTTCACACAATTTTTTTTTTATGCCAATAAATTCTATTAATTTGTATAATACTCGCTGATGATTATTTAATATGTTTTTTTCTAAAGCAGTTTTACCCGATTTAAAATAGGGCGAGTTTGATGACACAACAAATATCAAATATGTGGGTATTATATAATCACCCCAAAATCCTACAAGTTTGATATCAGGTTAATAAATGTGTTATAAATTATACTATATAACTTGCCTTTGGTAACAAAGAAAATACTTGCACATTAGGAAAACGAAACATTAAGTAACTATATCATTTTGAGATCTACATCATCAATCTTAAAAAATCTACAAAAAAAAAAAACTATCTAGTTTCCGTTTTTAAATTGCAACCTTACCTTGGGCAATACAATACATAAAATTCCGAGGAACTTTGAGGCCTGCTGCCAGACATGCTGCAAATGATGCTGAGAAATTGATTGCCATAATATTCCCTTCATCACTTCCTGCAATTGAAACAAAAACGACCAATTAGAAAATGTTAATGAATCAATATTAATTTAAACGCACTCGGATGTTGATTTATTATTTATGAATTCTTTTATATTACATTGTAACATTTTTATAAATATTATGAATATTTAATCATATTAAATAAGACGGGTGGTACACACATAAGTTGATAGTCCATGCAGTTTACTTTCGGATACCTGAATTTATTGCATCCACTCTATATCATGGCTGCATTATAGTCCAAGATGTGGATTAGCTATGTATATGTATTTAACCTATGTTGTTTTAACGTTTGAGAGTACAAAGTAATATTGGTCAAAACTTTTAAATGACATTCATTTTTTGATTTAATGTGGAACTGTCAACTAAATATTTAAAAATGTAATAACCTAATTCTCTAACGAACATAATTCAACTGTGCCATAGCAAGGGAGAGGGCACATGCCCCCCTTAGAAGTTAGAAATATACATTTTTGTATAACAATATAGTTGGGTTAGCATGTAAGGAGTTGACTATTGTAAAATACATACTATTCCTTAAGTAATAACATATAGGACTCACCACTCTGAAAATAAAGTGCTGGCATCGGTATTGCAATTTAATATTAGAGAATTTTTGCATAGCGTAAAAGAATCTACGGTATCGATTAGTGGAAAACTCTAAGGTCATTTAACCAATTTTCGTGTACATTATTTTTTACTTTGTTATAGTATAATGACTGAATTTCGACTTCTTAAAATTAATTCAACGTTGTTATCATCATACAAGGACGATTCATTTTGCACACTTGACAAACACAGGGTTAATTTTTCGGTAGATAAAAATAATTGAAAGACAACATTTTTTTTATTTAGACTTGATTGGTTTTGAGCGAATAAAAAATGTTAGAAACAAAGGCAAGTAAGTATAGCTAACATTTAGTTTTATTTTTCAATGAATGAATATATAAATAAATACATTTTACAGGTACATCAGTTTAGTATTTTAATTTTAAACTTACATTTCCAATATTCTAAAAATTTCAAATGGTAAGATTAAAAATAAATTATAATTATATATATATATATATATAAACAACATTCAGTCATTAAAAATATGTTAATAAAGCTGATTTGCTTAAAAAAGTACATCATAAATAAATATATATTTACACACACATCTTAGGCAAAAACATTTTTTAACAAATATAATTATGTAAAAATAATTACCATACTTAACCAACTGTAATTTAAAATAGTCGACCTTAACGTTATTCTAAGTGTGCAAATAATAATAATAATAATAAATAGGAATAATGTAATAATAATTAATTTATAAAAGATACAACCTTACAAAAAATAATGTTAGGTTTTAAAATCCTTTTGGTTTCTGGATTTCTAATAACGTTAAGAAAGTACTTAATTCATTTGAAAATAATTGTTCGCGTCTTATCACAGTTATAAAATACAATAATGCTATGTAACAATGTAAAAATAATTTAAATAAAAAATAAAGTGTAAGGTAGCAATACTAGGAATTGAGGTTTCTTAATTTTCCTTAAATAATGTTTACTCACTATTAATTAACATTTTCTTCCGTGTGAAGAGATAGAAAAAAAGAAATACAAATTCTAACATAATCAGTTAAAACAACATAATGACAACTCTTATTCAGACATTGGGTGAACTACATGATCTAATCATTTTATTACCAACTAATCTTTTAATTCGGTCTTTTCTAGTTCGTTTAGAATTGTCATATTTTCTCATACCCACCATTTTTGTTGTCTGTGTTTCAACAGAATAGCACGGTGTAAGAAATTTAGAACTAAGTTTCCATACTTCCATTTCGTCTTGTTGTTGCTTTACAGCTGCCATTCCTCTGTCAAGTAAAAGGTTAACTATACTAGTAGCTGTTGGACGGATGGTAGGATCCAAGTCAACCATTTTCTTTAACATTTTTTCAAGTCCTGTACTAAAAACAGGAGTTTGAGGAAGTGAAAATCCTCCATCTCGTAAACTATGCCATTCTGGTCCATTTTTAGGTAATTGCTTTTTAGTAGCTGCCTCGTATGCGGTAAGCGCAGTTGAAAATACATCAGCCTTTTGTAAATGTGAATAATCATCTCTTAAAAGTTCTTTAGGTAAATAACGGCAATCGCCATCTTCAATTGTCCGTACATCTTCAATACATATTGTATGTCCAAAATCACCAATTTTATAAACAATATCTTTATCAACAGTTTCGTCATCGTCAAGATCTTCAACATACAATAATGCCCCATTAGTACGACATATCAATATATTAGCTGCTTTAATGTCCAAATGTGCAAGTTTTTTAGAATGTATATGAGCAAGACCTTTACATACGTGACATAATAATCGTCTCAAGGCACTATCACAAAAAACATGATCAGATTCGTGAATCATTCGTTCTAATGTGCCACCGTTGCAAAATTCTGTTTGAATATAAATATGGCCTCTCTCGTGCCATGCAGTAAAATAGGAGACTATGTTTGGATGGCGCCCGATAACTGAATGGGCGTACACTTCTTTGCGTATAAAATATTCTTGACTTTTATACACAGTTTTTTTAGTTTTTTTTATGGCGTACGCAATGCCATCCATCAAATTGGTACATTTGTATACTTCACCGAAACCGCCTGTAGCAATGAAGTCGTCCATTCTGAATTCTTCGTTGAAACGAGATGTCTGCAAATCGTATATACTCACGTTGGTGACTTCGCCATCATTCATAAGATCTCTTATAGAAGGGTGGATCGACATTGAAGTCTTACTATCGGGCGTTAACAAGCTACTATCATGGCTGGTGTTATGTTTTTGATCGTCACTACTGTTATAACTCACATTGTTAATAGTTTGACAGAGTTTCTTGCGCTGCTTGTTCTTCAAAATCTCAATGCCGGTCGGCGTGAACGGGTTGACCGACAATCGGGGCTTGTTATTACGAGTGAAGTCTCCACTGGTGTCACATGGTGGCGAAGGGCCTCTATGACGTACCTTGTGCAGTGCTCGAGGCTTTAGGAAAGGCGTTGACGAGTCCACTCCGATCTCTGGCGAAAACGAACGGCCGACATCGGAAGGAGATGGCGGACAAGCCGTTATGATCGGAGCCGCCTTATCACCATCAAAACTGAGCCGTCGCATTTTCTGGACGAAAAACGACTCGTCGTCGCATACCATTTTGTCGTCATTGCCGTCCATGGCAGCTCGCCGATGTCTGCCGTAACGTTCGTAGAGCTTAATGAAAACTTTATACACAATGAATAAGAAAAAAAAAAAGTAATAATAATAATAACGTTTTAAAAGAAATCAAATCGAACATCAATAAATAGAAAAAACCAGATACGTATAAAATAAATAACTCGTGATAAAAGTAAAATACCGCGAGATCTTAACGAATTACGTTTCCGCTCGGCGACTGTTCACTGATGTCAAATGTCAATTCGCAGCTGCGACTTGCGAGGGAAAAAACGGCGCGCTCTACAGTGTTACCCGCGTAGTGAAGACTAAAGGCGCGCGCGACAACACTGTAAATTGAAGTTTTAAAAAAATTACCTTCCTAAATTTCTATAATACAAATTTTGTATTATTATTTATTATTTAGTTGTTATTTAAACAACACAAATACACTCTATTATTTCGCTACAAGGCGTAAAATATGAATAAAAAAAAAACACAATGTGAATTAAAATAAAATCGGATAAAACGCCAAATTTACCAAAGAGTAACTGTGCGTCTGGTAATCCAGTGGAAGTCGATAATAGCCCTCATGATTGGCGGCGGGCGGTATGTGTACAGGAAGAAAATCGAAATTTTTTTTTTTAAAAAGATTTGCCGCGGTAGTTTAAACTTAAAATGTACAAATGTGTGATAACAAATTCGTTCCACCACCACCGCGTACTGCTACGATAGCAACACCACAATATTTTAATACAGACATACAGTGATAAAAATAATGATATGATTGTGTCGTATAATAATAATATATGATTATTAATTAATTAATTATTTTTTTGTAATTATTATCAAATGCGTCCGGAACGATTTAGTTAAACGAGAGCGGCGGCACCGGCTTCTCGCCTTCGGCTGTGATAGGTAAGTACACACGGGGAAGACGGCGGTGCGTGTTCGACTGCCTGGCGGACGCCGTACATGACAAACGCCGCCGCGCTAGAGGAAGAGAGGGCATCGGCGGCAGAAAAAAAAACCCGGCGAGCGCGCGCGCGTATATAACCGGAATGAGGCATGAGCGGTGGCGGGCGGCAAAGACGGGACAGCATAAAAAAAATACCAGCGCGAGACGAGACGAACGCGCTAGAGGGAGCACCGCCGAACAACCCGGCGGTGTTGCCAAGTGTATCTACGTCCCAGACGAACCCTGTTTGTGTGTGTGTGTACATTCTATAATATATATATCGTATTATATTTTTTATAAGCATATATATATATATATATATATATACGCGCGCGTGTGTAGGAGAGCGTTGCTTAAAAAAGTGCGTCCTACACTCTACTCTCTCCTGCTGCCGCCACCACCGCACACGGTTCTCAGGCACGGCCAAAGAGAGAGAGAACGAGAGAGTTATCTGACAATCAATATTTTAGCAACCCGAACCGAGGGCCGAGTGGAACGGAGAGGAAAAAAAAAGGACCAACAAAAAATTATAATTTTATTTGTATTATACTGCCGACGTTTAGGCGAACATTTTTCTTTTTATTATAATAATTATCGTCGCGATTACCCGGGCACGGCCGGAAGGGACCGCCGCTGCGCTTACTCTCACCCAAAATTACCACTAATTTTTTTAGTAGTACAGAAAAAAATTAATTTTATATGAACGATAATCATTACAACGAATACTATAAGTAATCATACATCGATAAAAACGAAATCGGTCCTTTCACGGGCAACGTGTGCGCCGATTATTGTGTAGGAATATTTTGTGTATGAAAAATTTGGCTTTGTTATTTTATTGGAAATATCCAAACAGGCTAACCCTGTTTTTTTAGTTTATAATTAATTTATTGGACAACAGTTTGAACCATAACGTAATTTTTTTATTATTTTTTTTGTTAAGAGAGAGAAAGAAAAACAACTTTTTATTAATATTAAATAGGGTTTTCCGACATTCCAGAATCCAGGATTCCCATGTGACAGCATACTTGTCAGTGTTTAAACACATAAGATCGATGACAATTTCAATTAAACACGTATAACGTTAACTTAACTAAAAAATATAATATAATATTACATACAATAATTCATAATTGTCGTAAGTTGTTAGTATTAACTAAATTTACAAGTTTAAGGTAATGGGTGTTTTATGTCCATTATATTAATTTGATTATTTTTTGTTTTGAATACAAATAGTCATAATTTAAAAATTTTATTTTTATGGAATTAATATTTTTAGAGTAAATTTACTTTATATTTGATAGGTATCAAATAAAAAAATAAAACTGTTTTGAGAGTTTTATTAAGCGAAAATGGGCACCCCTTTTACACTTGCCTTTAATTATGACATAACAAATATAAAAGTTCTGGTAATCCCTGGCCGATCAAGTTTTTTAGTGCTTCCAAATCCATTAAAGTTTAAACACTAACTAATTGCAGATTAGATGCTAACATCTTAGGGCACATTATTGGTACCAGAACCGGGATGTCCAGTCTGTTGTCCTGGTCCTTGTTGGAATGTGTGTTTTGATCGGACTTCTGAGTATTATAACTGATATGATTATCTCACGGGTACTCTTCATACTATGATTTATTTTTGTTATTTTAAAAAATGTGGAGAACAAGAACAAATAAAACAGACGAGAAGTCAACTAAAATTTTGAAAAATATATATTTTGGAGACTTAATACAAATAATACATGAATGTAAAACACAGACCGGGCTTAGAATATACATTTTAAGTACAAATGTGTTAAAAATGATTATATCATAAAATTGTGACCAAAAGGTCCAGTAACAGAATTTTATACGACCAGCAACCGGTTTGTCATGTCGACTTGCTCATAGAATTGATTAAAATGGACTATAAAAGATGTTGAAAAATTACACCTACAACGAATTAACACCATCTCTGTATAATGATACCGACTAATTTTATTTAAACACGTTTTACACGCTCTAACGAACCTGTCGAAAATAAAATTAGCGACTATTAATATAAGATATGGTGTGCTTGGTTGTTGTAAAACTAATAAAATCATTCGTATCCGAAGGTGTACAAATTACCATTTCTTTTTCAAATACTCATTAAATATAATATAGGTGACTACCGGACAGTTATACCTCACGCCATAAAATGTTAGGTCAGGTTAGGTATCTAAAAAACATAATTTGTAATCATGCAAGACTCGTTATTTATTTGTCGAACTTTTTTCAAAATATTTTTATGGAAATAATTTTCTTTGTGTTTTTTTTTTATTTAGTACTTTTCAAAAATTTTTTTTATATAATTTGTTAATATCCTAAACAATAATGCAGAGAATATATTTCGATATTTCATATAAAATATAGTTTTTACAGGGTTTTTGGGTTTAAGAATATCCAAAAAACTTAACTGGGTCGTGCTTTATTTAAAAAAACCGTGTTATTGCTAACCCTGGTAATACTTTTTACTTATCATATTTAAGGTGTATTCGAGGTAAGGGCTGATGTGACATTTTTCCTTGGTCGAGGTTTTTTTATTTTTACGCAACTGCATTATTTTTTATTTATTAAAAAAAAGGTTGAAATTATGTTTTACTTGAACAGAATATGTCTCGATGACTGAACCATATTCTTAAATAATTATTTTATCCTTTTCGAGTCCCTTATTGAAGTTTTGAAATTTCGATCACTCCCCCTCCCCTTTGAATGACATCTGGGCTCTGGTTTCTAGGTACTAAAACCATTAATTTATTTGTCCATCATTACTTGATCATTTTTTAAGTAATTTTTAGGATTTAATCTAACTCGTATTGATTAACACATTAACATAATTAACTAGGCCCCTTCTATCTAGCGTATTCAGGTCAATTGTATGTAAAGTTATTACGATTTACAGAGAAAAAAAGAGTGAACAAAAGACATCACTTTATCACTTCGCAAACAGTACGTTCTTATGTTATTTTTTAACTAGTCAGCAATTGTAATTCATATTTTTTATATTGTAAACCTATTGTAATTTGTACTATTGCGCTCAAAGCAAATGTATCTTTCTTTACAGGGTGTTTATAGTTAATTGTAAAATAATAAGAAAACGATTTAGCAATCATGACATTCGGTAACCTAACGATTAACCTAACTAAATCAGGTTCGAGCCAAAGTCGTTAATATGTTATAAAATATTAATGCATATGTTGTTATTTTTTTTTTAATTACAAAAAAAACTAAACTGTAATGCACATTTTCACGGGAAGAAAAGATTATATATTTTTGACGGTGAGTGCAGTGTTTACAAATCAATTATTACCACTCGGTAATATATTTTTTATTATATTATTCATGCGTAGATGGAATAAATTGTGTGTCTAATTATGAGTTAGCCGATAAATATGTTTTAATTGTATTTTTTTGTTTTTACAGAACCAATGAAGAGGAACTGTTAATCACATGACTTTCCCTAAATTATATTTTATTTGTATTTAATTGTTTTCGTTAGATAACACAACTTTGGTTAGCTTTAGTCACTCATATTATACAAATGTCAACAACCATTCTGAAAAGGTCGCCCAGCTATTATTTAGTATTCAGTCTGGACAGTGGATTAAATACTGGTTTTATGGTATCAAGTTGGTGTTTCGGTCTAAATATGCAAATAAAAAATATCTGGTCGTCTCAATTTATTGCGTCTACAACAGGGCTACGACAACTTAATGTGCTCTTTGTAAATTTGATTCACATAAGTTTGTCCAATCAAAATAAACTATAACCAATTTGCATGGACGCTCATGTGGAAAACAAATACAATACGTACAAATATGTAAAAACTGATTCTGAATAAACTCTTTTAAATATGCATTTTCTAAAGCTTCTCAATGCAGGTTTGTGATGAAACAATATATTCAAGTTTGAGAAGCCCTCGTCTACGTCCTTGAGCGAGTGTTGGACAGACGATTGAAAAAGAGTCATACACACACCAGGCTGTTGCTGGTCCAGAGAATAAAATGTATACATTCGGCACTTATCATTAGCTATAGTGATCACTCCGTGATATATCACTATTTTTATGTTCTATATTAGGACAAGTAGTAAGCACGGAACAGTGGACACGACTAGGAATAATAATTTTAATCTGATCTTCTATTTACACAGACGTTTAGTTTTTAATTGAATTTGTGTGTCGTGATTTCTATAATCACTATTATTGAAAATAATTCAACACGTTTATCTGGTTTTTGATCGATCAAATTATCGATAACTATAACTGTACATTAAACATTATACATAATTATGCGAGAAACGTTTATTTGTAAGTGGGAAGAGGGTGTAGAAGACGATTAACCCCCTGTACCTTATCTCCCCGGACACCAGTATGATGCTTATTACTTCACCGGGTTAAGACCATAAAACACTAAATTATTTTCAATATTTGGTATATTATTTTTGTCTGATCGTACAAAATGATGAATGAATGCCGTTATGTAAAAACTATTTAACAAATAATTATTGATCTTATACACTTGCAATATGAATTTATCAGTAATTACTTTATCAAAACATTATTTTCCATATTATTATTTTTTCAGTTTTAGTTTTTGTTTATGTTATCTATACTGTAAACACATGTTTAGTTCAAATGGTATCATTTTTTTTGTACGATTTGTGCCTATTCTAAGTCTGTTTGAATGGTTCAAGTTATTTGTAGCTTACTCTTGATTGAAATAGAATAACTAAGAATTCTTGACACCATGGGGTCAACTGTAGTCGATGGGGGCCGATTTATTATTAGTTCAGTGTTAAATTATAACCACAAAATTAGTCCAACTAAGCTTGTTGCAGTGAGATTTCGACACAGATGCCGGACCTCATTTAAAGAAATGATTAATTAGGGCAAATTTTACGACTTTATTTGGAGCTCTATAGTAAGTTACAGAAAATATAATTTTTAGGGGGTGGAAGAAGGGAGAGTCAGTTTTGCATTAAAAATGTTGTTTGTC